CATCGGCCGAAACGGCGTCGGCAAGAGCACGCTCTTGCGGGCAATGGCCGAGCGTGATGGTCGGGGGTCTTGACGGGGGTTGGGGAGTTGGGGGGGGGGTTTGGCCAAGACTGCATGACAGACTCCCAGGACCCAACTTGCTGAAAGCTGTGGCATTTTTGGGTCCCTACTGAGGGCAAGCAGAAAGCGTCAAGATTGGAGCGGCCAAAGCGGTGGCAAACAGCACAATCCTGAAACCCTCGAGCCGCGCAGACGGGTTTCCAGATCCAAAGCTGCGGCAAATACATTGGAAGCACTCCGTGCCACTTCATTACAAAGATCATTCGGCCCTCCAGCTACTCCCCGCCAATTTACCCGGAGCCCAAAAGGAGTGTCCTCTACAAATCGTGGTCTTTGACTTTTCCGTGTTCATCTGCAGAGCAACAAGAATCAAACCACAAATTGCAAAGTGACCTCAGAATCAGCCCAACGCCCCAAGCCCAAAGGCCCAAAGCCCTTGCCCTGGTGGCCGGTTCTCGTTGGGAAACGAGGCCGGGTGCCAATCCCACAGCACTTCATGATCATGCACGTGGAGCAGGCCCGCGGGCCGCCCTGCAGGCTGTAAGTTTGGGTTTCATGTGGGGCAAAGGGGCGCATGAGGATAGGGGTGGATGGTTCAGACCTGATTTTGGTACAGATCACACTCCCTCTCATTTTTGAATTTGGGTTTGTGCCCGATGGGGACATGAATCAGGGATCCATGTCAATTTGAGGCAACACAGTGCCCAGAGCATGGAAGTCGATGTATCAACGCCTGAGGCCCCGAAGTCCCAGTGCGGTCTGGGCGTGAGGTTTGTATGAAGGGGAGCCATTCTCAGAGAGAGAGAGAGAGAGAGAGTTGGGTTATTTGGCTTGATCCCATAAATCTAGGGTTTGTATTCCCCATTCTTTGCAACCATCATTGGTTTCAAAATCCGGCCGTTTTCAAAACCTGAGGTTTTTCAGAAAGATTTGGATCCCTGGAAAGAAAGTTGCAATGGAAGGCAGCCATACTCAGTTGTTTCAGTGGCGCCCTTGTTCCCTCTTTTTTGGGGTGGCCCCGCCAAAAATGGGCCCAAGCCCCGAGAAGGGTTCCCTTTCCTCGGCTCTCCACAGCGTTGCCCCGTGTCACGGCCCGCCTTCTTACCGGTTGGGCGGCATGCCCAACTCTGCGCAGCCGAGGGTCCGCCGTCCGCCGCCGGGCTGTGGATTTGGGGCGAGAGCAGGACCCCCGGGCCAGGAGATCAAGGGCGACGACACGCCGGTGCTGGAGAGCGTGCTGCAGGCCGGCATGGCCCGGCATGGTGGCGGGGCAGTCTCATCTCCACATGCTTGTCATGAAGGCGAGGCGCAGTGAAGAGCCAGAAATTGGAGGTAGAAAGAAACATCAACTCTCTACCATGGTTTTGGGTACTTTTTATGTATGGCTTGGGTCATGAGGTGAGGTGGAACAGATTCAGGAGAGGTATTGGGTCATGAGCTTCTGCCCTCAGGCTGAGAACCCTACCCCTTCCTTCTCCCCCCACCCCACCCCTCAACCGCCGAAGGGGGGCAGAGCTCCTTTCGTTTCCTCACAGCCACGTTTTTCTTCGCTCGTCAGGCCGACAAAGAGCGCGAGTGGCTCCTAAAGGTGGAGCAGGAGCGGTGGGTTTCAGATCAGCTGTTCTTTCAAGCTGGTTCGAACCCATTTGGCGGGTTAGCCAGAGAGATGGATACACTGAACTCCAAAGTAAGCCATATGTAAGGTGCGTTGGTTTCAACGAACGGTTCCTGCGTGCTTCATAGGGGGTCCACCGTTCCATGACATCAGGTTTGTGGTACTGCGGATGGACGAAATCCATTTCTGACCACTTTGAAACGAAGGGAAACCATTGTTTGTTGGTATTTTTCCAGTAGAACCGAATCATTCCATTGGGTGTTTGAGTTCGGTGCTGCGACTTCTGGATTTTTCGGCCATCAGTATGGTTGACACCATCAGTATGGTTGACACCATGGTTTGTTGGCATTTACAGGGAAATCGAATCATTCCATTTCTTAGTTTCTGAACGGTGGTGCGGTCTCTGGATTTCGGCCATCCACGTATGGAAGCCTTGAGGATGGTATGCTGATCTGGCCTTCCGTAGGAGTTGCTGGCCACGGAGGACGACGGCACCGGCCATGAGCCGAAGGCAGCGGGTCAAGAGTCTCTTAGTTGCCTTGGCTGGTGCGGACCCGTGGCTGAGTTGGTTGTCCCTTTGGTTTTCCTTTGTCCTTTGGCTTTTCCCCGTTTTCCTTTAGGTTTTCCATTTTTTCTGGTTTGTGGTTTTCCAGTTGGTTGCAAACCTCAACCATACACCCAAAAGTATCTTGCCAAGTACTTCCAGGCAATCCACAACAGAATATAGTAGGTCCTGCCCGTACAGCAGGGTGAAAGTAGATGGTACAATTTGACAGTATTTTGGGTTAGCTGCTTGCCCATCTACTTTCACCATGTACTGTATATCTTACCCAGTACCTTCGGCAAGCCACTGTAGGTCACCATGTTTTTTTCTCTAGGTGTTTCATACTAGTTTCTGGGTTCCCCTGGTTCTATATTGGCATCTGGAAGCATTGGTTTGTGTGAGCGGTCAAGATCCAAGGTCGTTTGTAGGGGATGACATAAAACCAAGTTACTACTCGACCAATGAGTGTTTCTCAAAACGGAGCTCCAAAATAGGTTGTTTCCTTTCGGTTTCCTATTGTCACCACGCAGGGAGTCGAACCTGACTGGGTGGTCCTAGACGAACTTCCCAAAAGGGACCGGGCTTGGTGGTTCCCAGGACGTCGTTTTGGAAACCCCACTCAAAACGGGCGCCCTCAGGAACATCGAGCCCTATATTGGTGCGACTTTTTCGGAGGGGTTGGTTTGAAAGAGACACCAAAATCATTTTGGGGGTCCCCCAAAGCCTGTGTGGAAATGGGCCCCCAAAATGGTGGTTCTACCTTTGGTTGCTCTTCAAAACCCGCCATGGTTTTTCGGATCTCGCTGCCAGGTGAACGGAGTGGGCCTCATGGAGGTGCCCCGAAATTTCGCGGTTTTCGGGGCGGGAGCGGACATGGTTTGAGTTTTGGATAAGCATGGAACCTCAAAACACGTCGTTTTTTTTTTTTGGGGGGGGGGGAGATGTTCAGGTGGACAGCACAAGGACTCCTGTTTGGCGGAACAGCATCGAAGAGACCCTAGGGTAGAAGGGCCCCGGATGTTCGCAGATGTGGATTGCCATGATCAAAAGACCCGCGCACTTGGGGGTCAGGCCTCTTTGCATCGCAGGAATCCTTTTGTTGGGTCTTTCACCACCCGGTCTCACTCAGAAACATGTTCTGATTGAGCGTGTCCGTGTGTCTTTTTTTGAGGGTGCCCCGGGTTGGGCTGGTTTAGGGTGCCCCGTTTTTCGCGGCGTTTGAAGGAAAATCAAAGGGAGAACTGCCAAAATGGGAGGACACACACACACACACCCATTTGAAGGCTTCACGAAATCTGAGGCATCTGATCTATTTCTGTGCTTTCTGGGTTGGAAGAGCCAGGGTTCCACTTTTTAACTGCCTCCAGACGGACTTAGACCTCGGGGTTCTCCATTTTTTGGGGAATGACCAATCCTGGGTTTAAGTCGGTAGTGAATGAACCACCTCTGGGAACCTTGGGAAGAGAACCCTGGGAAACCCAACCCCAGTAGTCCAAAAGTGGACCCCCGGAAGAGAACTCCAAGTCTTTCGGCCGGGTCCGGAAGGAAGCCTTGGACTGGGTGGAGCCTCTCTCTCGCCAGGTCTACGAGCGTTTGGAGGAGCTGGGCAACGAGGACGCCGAGGCGAGGATCGGAATCTGAGATTTCCGGATTCGATGGGTTTGGGGGTTTTGCCCCGAAAACGAAAACCAAGAAATGAGCGTCCTCAAAACCGATTCGGGTCGTTGGAGGGTAGCATGGTTCTGGGACCATTTTGACACTCGGTTTGGATTGCGACTCCCCTTTTGGGTGTTTCTCAAAACGTGGATGGTTGGACGAAAACCGTTCGCACCGTTCAGAAACCACGGGTGAAACGGTTGATTGTTGGTATTTGCATGGGAGGAGAGACTCAACTTGGGACATCCAGCGCCGGCCTCTCAGCGAAGCGAGGCGCGCGCCGCGGTGATCCTGGCGGGGCTCGGGTTCTCCGGCGAGGAGCGGATTCGCCGGCGCCGGTGGTGAAATTCGGGTATGGGTGAAAATCAAAGAGCTGGGGTTGCGCAGGGTTTAGTTGTTGGGCAAGCCATTTTGGAGTGACCCTATTTTTGACCCACAGCCAAATTTGGACAGGGCTTCTCACCGTTCAGGACCAGAGGAGGCCCACCAAGGAGTTCTCCGGAGGCTGGCGCATGCGGATCGCGCTGGCGCAGTCCCTCTTTGCGTCTCGGCAGGCAAATTTCAAACCCAAAATGTGGGGTTGCCATCCACCCACGTGGTTGGATCCCCCAAAATGGCAGTTGTCCCCTTGGTTTCCCTTTAAAACCCACTAGAATGGGGGCTACCAACTCCAAAGACACACACTCAAATCGGATCTCAACCCTGCATGTCCCCCTTCTCCCCAACCTGAAACCCAGCTTAATTCGAGGCCTCAAGGCCGGACCTTGGCCCCGTGTTGGAGCTGGTGTCCCTCTTGTTTGGTGGTTTTTTATTGGGGAAGTTGGGAGGTTTTGGATGGTCACCTAAAAAGAAAGTCCACGCCGCGAATCAGTTTAGAAGTAAGTTTCTGGGAGGTTGGTGTGATTTTTTGACGGAATCAATCGCGCGGTCCAATCCATTCCGCTATCAATCCAGCAGGTTGATGAATCCGAGGTTGGCATGATTTTTTTTATTTCGCGGATTTAAACGCTTTGGATGGACGAAATCCATTTCGCACCACCTGAGAAACCCTGGGATTCGATTTTTCTGCTACTACCAGCAAACAATGGTTTCAAGCACACAGCATCACTCTTTTCGGTGGCCTTGTGGATGTGAGTTTCCCGTCCAAAGCGCAACAACAGGGATGGAACCCACTATGCACTGGAGGACATTCTGAAACATTATTGTTTCTTCTGTTTCAATCAAACTGAGGCAGACCAAGGTCGCTGTTGTGAGGCAATCCGGGTGTCTGGATTGGTGGTTTGGGGGTTTGAGCCCCAGTTTCGTTTGACGCATGGGGACTTCGCTGTTGGTGGCATGTTTTTAGTTTTTTCTTTTTGCTTCTCTTCACTTTTAGGTTTGTAGGGAGCTGCAAAAAGTATTAAGCAGCAGTCAGATGTTTGGTGGGTTGGAGAGGGAACCAATCCCAACCACCAAGAGGGAGATGCTGAAACCCAGCAAAGGCGGTCGACACCGGGCAGCCGGTTTTTTTCGCGCTTGTTGGGATCTGCATGCCTAATATTCTCCGAAGCAGGCCTCAGCAATCAATCTAACTACAACATACCACACAACAAATCATGTTTTGGGTCTAGCAGACATCACCAACTCAAAATGCACCAACCATCCCGACTGCATGTTTGGTTGGGTCTAAGCGACTTCCATGAAAAGCAGCATCTAAATACAACACATACCAAAGCAAGAACTCCATTTTGCACCAGAGCGGCCACTAAAACCAGCATCACCCGAGAACCATCCGCCACCAAACGGAGATCACAAGCTGCGGCGATTCGAAGTGAATTCGAGGTGCAGCCAGACTTGCTCCTCCTGGACGAGCCCACCAACCACCTGGACGTCCACGCCGTTACGTGGCTGGAGGCGGGGAGTGGCTTGAGTCTACAGATTAATAGATGAATGCAAGGAGCCGGTGTTCTTTTGCAGAAGCTTTTTTTTTGGGGTTTCCATGTTGATTTGCAAAGGCTTGAAGGAAATGGGGAATAGAGGAAGTGTCGCGGGCGATTTTCTTTGACTGAGGAATAACCTGTTCACCCTGCGGTTTGCTTTAGGGCAGCAGAGCAGAGGCAAACCATATCTTCAAAACGCTAACCATGAGGACGCCACTATGTTTGACGGACACCTCAATACAAACCCGTTGCCCATGGAATCGCGACCTGTGAAATTGATCCATACACCCATCCAACAAAAGCCAGGGCCAACGCAAGCCAAGGAAGCGCAGTTGGCTGTGGGTCAAAACCCTGTACCCCTGGTGAACATCAAAATAGGTGGCAAATGGATGTCATCCACCCCACAATGGAGCCATAGGTTCTGCAACCCATGGCCAGTTGGGCTGGGTGGGTTGGATCCAAGCCTTTGGCCAGGAGTTCCTCAAGACCTGGGAGAAGACGGTGGTGGTCGTATCCCACGACAGGCGCGAGCGCGCGCTTGCGCACGCAAGCACGCAAGCATGCGCATGCGCAAGCATGCGGATGGTGGGCGCCCTGCGGAAAACTGGCTCCCTCCTTTTGGATTTCCAAGGTTGTGCGTTTTTGTTTTTTTTTCCTAGCAGCTGAAAGCTAGGTGGACTTTGACCAGATAGGCTTCGGAGTGGTTCGGAGCGGCTTTGGGGCTGGGGTTCCGGAATGGTTCGAGGGGTCGCTGTTGGGGATGCCACCTGCGCTTCTTTTTTGTCGTTGTTTGTTTGTGTATGAAGTGAAGTAGGCGCCGCACACTTTTCCCGGCTTCGAACGGGTATTTGTTTCCTTTGGTTTCCTTTGCCAAGGGGTCTCCCATTTTGGGAGACACAGACAGCACGTTTGAGTAGAAAATCGGTGTGGGGTCTTCGGGGCTTTTGACCCCAGGGTTGCATTGGGAGCCGGTGTGGACCATTTGGCGCGTGGCTTTCTTGGCAATGGCTCACTCACGTAGTCGAGCCTTGGTTTGGCACAACTCACAGCTTGCAAGTGGCATAGCAGCGTTTACCTTCCCTGTTTGGCGGGCTGGAAATGTTTTTGCCGCAAAAGATGGGGGGAAGTTGAAACCGAAGGGATCGAAGGGCACGAGCCCTTCTCAGGTCCCTTTTCAAGCAAGGCCCCAGCCCCATCCCGTAGGGCGAACTTTGGCAGGTGCTTCCTGAACAACACCACCACCCACACCATTTTCCTGCACCGCAAGAGGCGCCATTGCGATGGATCGATGGATCGATCTGGGGTGGGTGTTGGGAGATGAGAACCTCCCAAACGGCATTGGGCGCGCATCCAACAAGGATCTACCATATCTACCGACAAAAGGAGCGGGGAAGGGGGGGAGGGCAGCACCATGTGTTTCTTTAGCCAGGCGTGGCAAGGAGCATTTCGTGTCTGAGCAAACGGCAGAGGAAGAACAAACAGCATCCTTTTGATCTTTTTGCGGCTATCCACTTTTTGGGGACATTTGTCGGGCAGCCTCTGGTTCGGGACTTGAAGCTCTGGCTGTTGTTGAGGGCACATGGGCGGCCACCTCTGCAGGCTCCAAGAGGAGCCCGAAATTTTCAATCCGGCGGAGCGCCCGCCTTTTTGATGTCCGGACGGCGCGGGCGTGGGCTTCGGAGGGCTTCGGCAGGTTTTTGCGCCGGCCGGCTTCGGAGCGCCGGCTGGCTTCGGAGCGCCGAACGCGCGAGGCTTTGGTACTACGGCGGCAACTACGAGACTTTCCTGAGAGTACGTGCCGAGCAGCGCACCAACCAGGAGGCACCAGGAAATTTCGACTGGGGGCTGTTGGTTGACGAGCATGTCTGTCTGTGAACTACACTCACTTCCCCTGTTTCTGGATTTCACTCCTTTTGGGAAGACCGTTTGGGGGGTGTTTTAAAATTGGGGACCCTAGAAATGGTAGTTTTCCCTCTGTTTTTCCTTTCAACCACCCACCAAAAAAGACACACTCGTTTGGGTCGCAGGAAGTGAGAATACAGCAATAAACTATCCATGGTAAGACGACAAAAACCCGACGGTGACCAGTGGCGAACCGCCAAGCGCTCCTGATTGTTGCCAGTTCAATTTCCGAGCTTGTTGCCAGGTTTCTTCATCGTTTCAGTGGGAACCGTTTAAACTTCCAGCCACTGAACTCGCGTCGGCGACTTGGTCGGCGAAGCCGATCTGGTGGGGGTGATCTGACCCCTTAAGGATTCCTTTGGGTATGTAGCCCCCAAATGGGTTTCCTGTTGGTTTCCTCAACACCAAGCCAAAAAGTGGGTACCGAGCCTCAAAAACACAGAGGAATCAGTTGCCTGGACACCCTCTCTCTCTCTCTCTGACAAGCCAGTGGATTGTTGCTTAGAGTCGGGGTCCAGGTGTCCTCGAAACCAGCTGCCCGCCAGACGATTCCGCGGCCTTCTGGGCGCTTTGGTAGGAGGGAGTGTATCAATCCAATGGAAGCCCCTGATGGCGGAAGGCGGAAGGGAAGACCACTTTCCTTGGGGACGCTGTCCACTTTGGAAAAAGGATCATCGGTTTTTCACAGTGTATCCTTCGCAGATTAAGCGACATCACGTTTCGGGGGGTTTGCAACGTCCATGAGAAAGGCTCTTTTCATAGGAATACAATTCGTATCTTCGGTGAATGAATCATAAGAAATTGCCCAGACAGTAAGGACCAAACCCAGGTGCGACCGCCCCTTTTCATTCGTTGGTTTAGACCTCGCTAGCCCCAAAATTTGAATGGCCGGTTTCCTCTTTAAACCAATCCTTCATGGGAGAGGGAGGCCAGGGGCAGCCCAAATGAGCCCTTATTTGGCCCTCAATAGCCTTATTTAGGGCTTCTTGCCTCCCCCTCCCATTTTTCCTAGCCCTGGGGACCCTTAAACGGATACCCTCAGAGGAAAGACAACATAGACACGTAGACACACACACACACACAAGACATCCTTTCGACGGAGGCGATCGCCCAGCAGCAGAATCGGAAGGCCCCTGGGGAGTGGGGGAAGCGGTGGCCGCGGGGGTTTCTCGGCTTCTTTGGAGAAGTTTTGAGGAAAAGACAACGGGTAGGGAGTGCAAAAAGCGGGACACGCCAAAAACAGACACATCCTTGGGGTCCAACAAGTCCAACCGATATTGTTTTGATATTTATGTTTATTCTTATTCTTATTCCTTTTCTTTTTATTAAAAACGAGTGGGTTTCAAGGGAAACATAACAACGCAAGATCATTGAGGCGCTTGGTGCTTGTGTTGATTGGTTCAAAAGGGGGCCGAAGGGAAGCCAAGGAAGCCGACCCAGTTTCAGGGGTCCGAGAAATCGAGGTCACACTGTTTTGGATAGTTCTGGAGGACCGAAAAGAGACCACACCGCCTTTTGCGGGTTTCCTCCATTTTCTCAAGGTCAACCTGGAAAACACACACATGGTGTTTTTGTTCCTTCATTTTCCATGTCAACCTGGGACAAGTTTGGCCACACTTTGCAACGCAAACGGCTGCGGGGAGGGGGGGGGGGTTGGGAAGTTGAATGGGAAAAAGTCCCAAACCCGAACCGCCGAACCATCAATGCGAACCGCGAAATCGAGGGAAGCTGACTTTCTGTTCCCAAGGAGTTTCAGCTCGCGCTGAGGTGGCTCACTTGAAGCAATTCATCCAGCGCTTCGGGCAGGGGCACAAGAAGATGGCGAAGCAGGCAGGTTGAAATCGGGAAAGGAAGACCCAGGCCGGGAAAAGACATGTGCCTCAGACTTTTCGAGCTTTTGACTAGCTCTTTCAGACTTTCGCATGGGGTTAGCAGTTTATGGCATATGTGAGTCATACTTTGAGGCGCAGGTCTCTCACTTTGTAGCGAGGGATGCAGTTGGATTCGCTTGGTGGCGCGATTCGGATGCCTTGTGGGTGCTCCGGTTTCGGGGATAAATCGAGATCTGATCGCCACCGAGTATTTGTCCAATCTAGGCCAGCTGGTGCGAAGTAAATTTGTCCATCCATGAATGGGACAAGCCACCTACCAGCTGGTAGGATTTTGTCCATCCAATGATATCCCTAAGTTTTCACGATCGGGTCGTGATTCAAGGGTCTGTGAATCACAGGTGTGGTGTTTGGAGGGTCCCGAGCTGTTTGGCACAGGAAAGGTTCGGCTCAGCATCTCTCTTAAAGGGGAACTATCCAGCGCCCGGATTGGTGGGCGATGTGGAAACATGGAAACCAATTCTTCGTTCTACACATGCAATGAGCTTAAACCTGAATCTTCAAAATCGCCCACAGTGCATTATGCCCCAAGCGAACAAACTCAATGAATACTTATGTCTACGAACATATACGCTAGCTGTGCACGTTTTTGCGGACACATATTTATATATGCACATATACATGCATTGTGCACAACACAAATATTGAACACACGCACGCACACGCACGCACATATGTATATATATCTATACATACATATACATGTACTATACACATTGCCTGCACACACACACACACACATGCAGGCAATATAGGTAATTATTAGTGTACGTGTATCAAACATATACATGTTCCAAGGCAGACATCACTGTACGAATGCCACGTTTGCGGAGTTAAAGTTGCCCGCGCTTTCGACGGGGGCCTCTTGCGGATCGCTCGATCGCCATGCGGCGCTTGGCACGATTGGCGCGGCCGATGGCAGCGCTGCCGGCGGCGTGCTGTGCCGTGCCGCTGCCGAGGTGGGGGCTTTCGGCGGCGGTCCTACTTGCATGACCACCCCATTCAGTAGGTTGACGAAGATCCATGGCTAATATTGACCCCCCAAAAAAGTCAACCCCAGTGATCACTTCAGGGGACCACCCCCCTATCAATAGAACCTTTGCCTTTTGAGAACTCGCTTGCCCTACTGTGGATGGACGAAATCCTATACCACCTAAGAAACCCTGGAATGGTGATTCCCTTGTAAATATTGGCAAACACTGGTTTCAATGGTTTCCCATGTTTCTTAGGTGGTCCATCCACGGTGGGTATGTGGGCGGCTCGTCTTTTTAAAGGCGGGACCCAGAAAATGGCTTCGGATGTCCCTTTTGGTTCCCCTGGCCACCAAAAAAGGGGTATCAAAAAAGACATGCCCATGTGTCAAACTAGCACCGAAGAAATGGTTGGCTTCGCTCTACCTGGAGTCTCCATGACCCTTAAAAAATGGGGTGATTACCCAAAGTAAAGGGGTCATGGACCCATTTGGAAAGGGTCATGGAGACTCCAGGTAAACAAAGGCGGCGACGGTACCCTCCAATCGAAGGGGCTCCTTGAAGGACCTTCTGCGAGGCCAAGAAGGAGCAGTCGCTGGACCAGTTCTTGAAGAGCGACAAGGTCCAGTGAAGGGGAGTTCTGAACCACCTTCACAACCCTTGGTGTGGTAGCAACAAACTGTACTTTTTTGCATCTTCCAACTAAAAATGAACGGAACAAACAACATCTAAAAAGAAACAAAACACGTTCCAACGTAACTGTGGAGCGCTGACCTGGTTAGCGACCCCACTGACCATTGAGGGGTCCCTTTTCAAGTGGTTCCTTTCGTTTAGGGGGATCCCCCTTGAATCCCCTTCACAGGCGAACTTTCACGGTACACCACACCTGCCAACCAAAAAGCCCTACTGTGGAGGGGCGACAATTTTCGCACCACCTACAGAGACCGTGGAATGGTGTTTCCTTGCAGATACCAACACACAATGGCTTCAACCATGGCTTCGTTTCGTGGTGCGATTTCCGGATTTCGCTTTTCGATCCGTACTACGGGCAACCAGGGCCTACCTCCATTGACCATGGGTGGTTCCTCCTAGCTTCTCTGCCTCCACAGTATGCACCCAACCACTTCATGGTTGTTGGGAAACATTGGAAACATCTTTGCTTATCGTGGTGTGGTTGAAATCCAAATCCACTTAACTGCTAAAGATTGAAACAAATGCTCCCCCTCCAAGGTCAACCAATACTCGAGTTGACACCCCCCCAGGCGCAGAAGTGGATCGAGCTGAACAGCGACAAGTCCCAAAGTTGCGCGGGGCCCGGTGGCCGCGTGGGGCGTTGTTTTTCTTCCTTTTTTCTCCCCCGTTTTCTGCGAGGGCTTTGTGTTTGGGACTCCCCAAAGCCACCCCAATGGTACTACTCTAAAAAAGAACCCCAAGATCTGAAATGATTTCCACTAGCCCCAGAAATTGGTTTATATACCCTTTTTTATGGTGGCTATATGGTGGCGGTATCTTGCATGGAACCCCTGTGGGGCAGCGTCTTGGGGGCAGTGGAAGCCATCTTAGATAATAGTGACTATTCATGAGATACTGTGGATAGACAAAATCCTGCACCACCTAAGAAACCCGCGAATCATGATTCCCCTGTAAATACCAGCAAACAATGGTTTCCTATGGTTTTCCTTTGGTGCAGGATTTTGTCCATCCACAGTGGGAGCGGACCTAGGACCATTGAGGGCCGAATCCCTCCGCTCTCCTTGCTATTACGTTCAAAGAAATTGTGGGCAGGTGGTCCCGGCGTTCCGGAACCTCCGGGTCGGTGGAGATTGGGCTCGTTTGCGCAGACAAGGGACCATGTAAATCCTAGAGGTAATGCCTGGTTACCTACACTCTGCCGAATTCTCTCTGCTACAACCATTTTACGTTTTAGGGACTGAGAATCTGGGAATATTCTTGTCGCACGGGTGGGCCAAGCTCTGGCAACGGGAAGCCCGAGAAACGGAAACGGGCCGTGAGGCCTGGTGAACACGGATACCATCGACTGGATTCAGACTGCCGCCGGCGGGGTGCGGCGAAAGATGATCGAGAGGCCGGATGGACGTGGGGCTCAAGGCTTCATGAGCCTTTGTGCCCCAAAGCTGCAGACCAAAGGCTGTTTTGGGTGTGCTTTCCCGAAAGGAGACTGAAATGGGTTACTCGGCTTTTGGGGGACCCCGCAAAAAATCGTGGTGTTCCTTTTTCCCCACCCGACAGGAAGGGGTTGATAGATTTTATGTTGGAATCCGCGTTTGCGATGCTTCTACACCACGCCCCCACCCAGTATCCCGCTAGAGCAGCTCGCCAGTGGATCCCGCCGAGTATCCCGCCAGAGCAGCTCGCCAGTGGATCCCGCCGAGTATCCCGCCAGAGCTGCTCGCCAGTGGATCCCGCCCAGTATCTCGCCACGCCAGTGGATCCCGCCGAGTATCCCGCCAGAGCGGCTCGCCAGTGGATCCCGCCGAGTATCCCGCCAAAGCGGCTCGCCAGTGGATCCCACCGAGTATCTCGCCAGAGCGGCTCGCCAGTGGATCCTGCCGAGTATCCCGCCAGAGCAGCTGGCCAGTGGATCCCAGTATCCCGCCAGAGCTGCTCGCCAGCGGAATCTGCCCAGTATCCCCCCAGAGCGGCTCGCCAGTGGATCCCGCCAAGCATCCCACCAGAGCGGCTTGGCAGTGGATTCCGCCAAGTATCCCACCACAGCCCGCCAGTGAATCCCGCCGAGTCTGCTGAGTATCCCAGACTAGCTCGCCGGTGGATCCCGCGAGTATCCCGCCAGAGTACCTCGCCAGTGGATCCCGCCGAATATCCCACCAGAGCAGCCCCGCCGAGTGTCCCGCCAGAGCAGCCGCCAGTGGATCCCGCCGAGTATCCTGCTCAGTATCCTTTGCCGCCGAGTATCTGGCCAGTATCAAGCCGGAGCGGCTCGCCAGTATTCGCCAGTGGATCCCGCCAGTACCCCGCCAGAGCAGCTCGCCAGTCTGGTTTTGCTTAACGCCCCGCCCGGCACACAGTTGGGTTTACATTTCACGTTGGTGCCTTCGTGTTTTGAGTGTACCCTGAGGCTCGGAGAGGGTGATGCTGTTGTGTTGCTTTGGCCTGTGAATAAGCAACTTCGTTTAATCCCCCGTCGGGTTTCTTTTTGGAAGGGGCTTGGCTTTTGTTAACGGAACCGATGTTTGAGTTCTCGAGATCGGCTCGCAGACAAGTGGAGTTTGACACACAGACAGGGGGATAAGGAAGATTGTTGAGTCTTGTTGAGCAGTCATAGGCCCCAAGCCACTCGAAAACCATGCTTGAATTCACACAACCGTGTTCACGGTCGTAAGCTCGTGAGTGTGGAGGGTGGGGATTGCTCGAAGCGAAGTAATTTTTCTTTTTATTTTTCTTTTTCTCCCGCACTTTATCCCAAAAACCAGCAACAGTGACTGCCAAAAGCGATTGCCACTTGGCTAGGTGACTACTTGGCTCGCAGGCAAAAAGCAGCTGACCACTGGCCCAATGGATTCCGAGCCGTTGACCGCTCGCCCGCGCCGCGTAGGCTGGGCGGGGAGGTGGCGCGGGCCACGACGGTGGTGAGCTTCGAGCCCAACGCGTCCTTCCCCTCCCACCGCCACGAGGGAGGAGAGGAGAGACGTTTCGGGTGGAAACTGGGCGCGTCGATTTTGGGTTTGGAGTTGGGTGTCCCTGAAAATTGGGTTGGGGGTAAAGGGAAAGAAAGAGGCAAACCCCACAAGTTTTGGGGGTCCCCTTATTTTGAGACATAGCAAAATGTGGCTAAAGGAGGGGGACATGTTTCAGGCCGTAGACTTCCGGGATGGATGCGGTGAAACGGCGGTATTCTGTATGCCAGTCTTTGTCATAGGGGTGAACAGACAAGGGGTTGACCTGGAAGCCGTCCAAATAGGGCGGTCTGGGGTAGATTCCTCATCCTCCTTTTGTATGTTAGATAGATTTATCATCATCCTCTCAAAAGGAAAGCAAGCCAAAACAAACACGTCCCAGGACCCTTCGAGCACAACCTCCTTGGGCGGTGCGGGGGATGTTTTTTTGTTGAGATCCTTTCTCACCTGGTTTCAAGGGCAACAGAAGGAAAGCCGCCATTTTTAGCGTTCCCCTATTTTGACACATGCCGTCATGGGAACGTCTTTTTTTAGGGGACCCCCTAAAGTCCAAAATGGATTTCGGCTTTCTGCTTATGGTTTCCCTTCAAAATCCACAGCAAGGGGGTACCAACTCCAAAGAAGACGAGGCACCGGTACCACTCCAGGTGTTTGTCTCCGTGCGCCGATCAAGTCCAAGCCCCCCCAAATGGTATGGTTTGAACCCCTGCTTCTTGTGGGCAAGTTTGGGATTCCACTCCCTGACCTCCAAACCTCCAAATCACCTGGATTGCCAGTGCTTGGCCAAAATTTTCGAAGCTGTGCATCCAAACCACCGCCAGTTTATCAAAGCCAATGGCCGCGTTATCAAGACCGGCCAAGCCCAATGGCCGTGATCAAGAAATGGCAAAAATCTTCAAAGAAGCCGAGCTAAGCAAAAACCAGGAGTTCATCGTGCTGGAAGGGGACTGGTTTGACGACTGGGCCACCCAGCCCAGCTACACCTACGTGCGGAACTACATCGGATCCAGGAGCGGCTCTCTCGAGAGGTCCAGGTCCAGACCGCCTGGGGAACCGCCATGGGGGTCCTAAGCTGTTTGTTTATCTAGGTCCCCAAGTAGTGCCCTTTTACCCTTTTTTTGGGGAGGGCTTCCCTACTAAAATAGACTTCAGACAAAGGGTACCCTTATTCTAGCCTCTCTACTGGAGGACCTAGTTCTGGTGGGTTTGCCTGTTAGTTCTCCTTGTTTCCCCATCCAACCTCTTGAAGTCTTGTGGTGCCAACACCCACAAAAGACACCCTGAAGAGTTGTTGGGCCCATTTTGGTGGCAAAGCAGTCTGGGCTTTTGTTGGATCCTCGGCGCTTTGCACTTTGGTGATGTGGTTTCTCCACCGCTGGGCCCAATGTTGAGGGCCGATGCTTGCTGAAGTTGTTGGCTGTCAGTTTTATAAACATAGGTGGTTTCCCCGTGGTCCGTTAAAATGCGCCCAAAAAGGATAGGTCTCCCAGTTGTGGACTACTCACTGGAGATTAACATGGAGCCCAGCAAGTTGGATAGAAGGCACCGGCTTGGATGGGTCTTATTCCATCTGCCAGGGCCGTTCTTTTTTTTTGCAAAAGGATATCTGTGTTTATAAAGGATGAATTTAGATTCCAATGAAACCAGCTTCTAGAACCATTTATGCACAGGGCCAGAGGGGATTTGTACCCCAAGGTTTCTTCGGTTTTCCTTTGGATTCCCTTTGGTGTTCCCTCAGTTTCCCTTTGGTGTCCTTTTGTCCAGCAAACAGGGTCCAGATTGCACCAAAGTACAATCACGGGTGTAGGATCCTTCTTAGATGCATGTTTGTTTCTGCTAAGCGTGTGACTGTTTTCGGGCTTTCTAAGTCTAGTGTTTTTTCGCAATGAATTCAACAGGCAACCCCACTCCCCCCCTCATGAAAATCATGTCCATCAAATTAAACATCACAGCTTTTTGGAGGAAACAGGCTGGTGAAAAACCTTTTCTTGCTGTTTGCGTTTTTTTGGGCTGTGATGTGTCGAGTTGCAGTTGTGAGCGGGGGAGTGTGGGTGGGTGGGGTGGGGGGGTGGGTGGGGTGGGGGGGGTGGGAGGGTGTTACCATCGTTGTGAAGGTTTGCCCGCACACGAACACAGCAAAAAGCCTCTGGAGAGCCACCAATGTCCATCCCAGCAATCATGAGTTTGCTAGAAGACTCTCTTTGACGAGAGCACGCAAACAACCGGCTTGCTTCATAGTCTCAATGTATGGACAGAGGGTGGCAATCATCGCAAGACTACCCAGCTCACTCGAATGTGTTTCGCTACACGCATAGCTTGTTTGGAGGCATCGGCTTCCCATTCAGAAGGATTTCAGCCGTGATCGTTGGCTGCAGCTTTTTGGTTCAGATGTTCGATCAGTTGAACTGCAACTATGCAACACTGGGTTGTTGACCATTCCTGCATGAAAGCAATGCTGTCCTAATTCTCCCGTTCACTGCCAAGCATGAGCCAGAGATGGCAAATTGCGTGTGACGCAGATTTCGCCTCCAGTTTCCGGCACTGGGTCGCCCAACTTTGGCGCTAGGCACACTCCTCGCATTGGCCCCAAGGGCTGCACGATCCTGGTGAAGCTCTGCCAGACGCTTGGGTTTCACGAAGGCGAAGTCGACATCTCCTTCCCTCCGAAGGACCCCCGGCCCAACACCCTCCCCAAAAACCCTCGCCCCCCCCAAAAGAAGAAAAATAAACGGGGTTTCTGCGTTTGGAGTAGCTCCATGGTTGCACCAGCCATTCATGAAACTTCGGCGGGTGTGCCAGGGTTTATTCTTGCTGGTTCTCAGCCGGGAATGAGTTGGAATGACCCTATAAACCATCTATCATGCTTTCCTTTATTCGGGAATCCCCGGATCCGGTTCATTCCCAAAATCGGAGTCGTAGTCATTGCCTGCCGATCGCGCTTAGCGCACTGATCGCAAGTTCCGACATCCGCCCAGGATGTCCACGGAGCAGACGGAGCCGGACCACAGCCAGTGGGACATCTCTTCCTCCAACCCCAGCTGGAGGCGGATCCGCCAGAAGGCTTGCCGGTCGTCTGTTGGAGTGGATACCCTTCGTTTGCGTGTTGGTTCCAAAAAGGAAGCCAAGAGGCAAAACTGTTCGGCCATGTTGGGGGTCCAGCCTGAAAAACAGACAAGCCGCCCATTTGTATGACTGTTCCTCCCCATCCCCGTGGTGTTCCCTTCACTAGGGCCCCTAGTAGTGCCCTTTTACTCCTTTTTTTGGGGGGTCCGGGTTCCCCTACTAAAATAGACTGCAGAAAAAAAAAGTCGGGTACCCTTATTCTAACCTCTCTACTGGACCCATTTTTTTTGTCGCATTTTCCCCCCATGGACCACCGGAAGCCGCTGATTTTTTGAGCCGCAGGCGGTCTCCGAACGGGAGGAGGGAGCTGCGCGTGTACGAGTCGCCCTTTGAGGAGGCCTCGTTGAGAGCTCCCGCACGGCCGGACGGCGGGGTCCACCCGGAAGACAGGGCTGGGTCTGTGCTCCTCGCAGAAAGAACCACAAAAACACCCTGTGCCTCCTTGCTGCTGTGACTGACGCAGTGCTCAGCTTCTGGACGTTGCGTTGGAAAGCTTCATGAACCTTATCACTTAGAGGAAGGAGAAGTCGTAACAAGGTTTCCGTAGGTGAACCTGCGGAAGGATCATTCGCACTGACCAACCAACGCTACGTGAATAACTAACTGTGAGTGACTGTCAACGAACTGCTTCGCGGCAGTTTGAAGGCAGGTGCTCGTGGGCGACGCGGGCCGTTTGACAACGCTGCAATCGCAGCCGCGTGAAAGATGGTGAAAGAAACCATAAGTTGTAAATCCACCGATGAATGGACCTGCTTCAAGGTCTCGTAGGGGGTTTTAACTGACCCTACCCGGTCCTCCAGTTTAAAAGCAACTACATGTGAAACGAAAACCGAACATGCCATGTTCTCTGGCCCCCCCCTCCCCCGATTTTTGCAAAGTTACGATGTCACCGACATGCACCGCAGTACATCTGAATCCCGTCAGGTTCACTTTGAGAGATGGGAGCCTCATCAAACAGGCGCGTGGCGTTTTTTGCGAACTCGGTTTGTGGGTTGCTTGGCTTTCACGGAGAAGATGAGACAGGCAGAAAGGGTTGCGGAATTGAGGGGAACAACAAATTTCGAGGGTGTTCACCATGTAGTGGATCCTGCAAACCCTCAGTTGGTGACTCGAGATGGTCAGGAAATTGGATTTGTCGCATGCCGACGAACCAAGAAGCAAATTTCAGCAGTTCTGAGGCCTCCAAGCCGAAACCAGGTTTCGGTCGGTTCATCCACCAGCCGTTGTAATTGGGGTGTTCAACTTGGTTCCTTCGAATGTAGATATTTGGCGAATCCACCAGCATACAAGGGCCTTGAACCTCACCATAACGTTTGTTGGTGTTTCCAGGGGAATCGCATCGTATCAGGGTTTCTGAAAGGCGGTGCGAAATGGATTTCGCAACCATCCGCAGTAGGAATGATGATGCGTTGTTCGCCTCCCATCCGACACAGGCAAAGTTTTTTTCTGGGGATGTGCCCCAACCGATGTGTCCAAAGCTGCATCGTGAAGCTTCGCGTCTACCCTAACACCAAACAAAGAAGTGGACAGGGGGTCTCCCCAAAACCCTTTTGTTGGCCGGGGAGGGTATGTGGTGGCCTGGCTAAGATGAAACCGGGTCCCAAAATGATTGATTGAGAAGCCAAGCGTCCAATTTCAAGGACTCAAGATCTATTCCCGACAGATACGCACAAATTCATGACTCGCAGGAGGGTCGCACCAAACAAGCACAGCCGCTTTCAATATTCACTCCCATGATGACACACGAAGCGAATGGGGGAGGCGACAACCCTTATACGATGGTTGACTTTTACAGAAAGTTGCAAGCATCCATTCGCAGCAACTCAAAAAGCTTGGCGTTGACATTTCTTCAGCGCATGATGATCATTTCCGAGGTGCCAGTGTGACGCAAGATCACTTATGTTCTTGTGTCGGGGCTTGCCTGGTCTCATGGTTTGTGCTGTGTGTGGCTCCTGCTTCGAGTGGTGTATGGGAGTCGATGTCTCCGTTGCACAAGAAGGTGGAAAGCCCGCAGATTTTCGATAAGGCGACCTGTGCCTGACACATGCAAGTTCTGCAGCAGTTGAGAGGACAGAGACGCATCTTTTCTGACCGCAAGACTCTCATACGTCTAAATTAAATGTATTTTTCATTTCCTATCTAATCTTCCCCAACACAACCCGAAGTTCGAACCATGGTCCTCGCGAACGTCTCTGGCGCTAAGCTGGCGCTGAATGAGGCGTGCGAGCAGAAGTACGCGCTCAGCGCGCATGTGATGCAGCCGATGTCCTCGCTCTGGATCGCCCTGGCAGTGGCGTACGCGAGCTTCTCCCTGGTGCAGATTTGCCGCCTTGAGGCGCGGAGAACGTTCCGAAACGTCCTCACAAGTTTCCCCGTGCATGCTGTGCTCGCACAGCTCCTGTATCACTGCACGCACCTGCACATCCACCACTCGGTGGACATGGCGCACGTGGAGGTGCGGGACTTCTACAATCCGTTCCTGGTCTTCCACTTTGCGCACCAGGCGGGCACGCTGGGCGCGTTCTACTTCCGGTCGTGTTCGAAAGGGTTCTTGCCGCCCTTCTGCCTCGTGGTTGGCGCGTACCTGGCCACGGGCATGATTTACCCCACCATCTGGACCTACTTGCCGCTGGTGGCATGGTTTCGCTCCAAGCTGGGCAAGGCGGCGGTGGCGAGCTCGTTCTTGACCTTGCTTCTGACGGGCATCGAGGTGAAGCTCTGCGACGTGGAGGGGATTCGGAGCGGGGAGCGCGCGTTTCCGTTCCACGCGCTGGCGGACTTCGGTCAGATGCTGTCCGTGTTGATCCAGTGCTCTGAGCTGCAACGCTGGGCGTCGGCGGGCGCGACGAAGGATGCGGACGCTGCTTGAGCAGTGTCGCCGAAGGCCAGGGGCGGATGAGCTTAAGGAGGTTGCTGTGCTGAGCAAGTGATCTTGACGTGGTTGGGTGCGACGCCGGAGCTCGTTGCACCAAGCATGTGCATATACTGGTCAAGCCCGCTACAGCATGACGTGCGCGGGTGTGATGTTACTTCAGCATCGCGGTGTCGCATGGCAGTTATGAGAGTGTTGACAAAGATCGACCTTTCATAGCGTCTAAAAGACTGGATGTCTCACGCCGACAATCAGGTGATTAAGTTTTGTTGAAGTGTGTAGACCACAGCGAGCTTCTGTGAACGTGAAGGTTGTCTTCTGGCTTTCGATGGACATTTATGTCTTTCAAAACTCAGTTGTTCAGTGGCCTTTTTTTTGGTGGCTGCCCCACTAAAAATGGTCTTTCCCAAGAAGGGTTCTTTTTTTCCAGGGTCACTGAACAACTGAGAAAAAAACAATAAAACAAAAACGTGTTTAGCAGGTGAGCAAGCAAGCAGTTTGGACGAGCTTCTTCACATTGAGGACTGTAGTGGCTTACATCCCCCAGAGCTAGAAGATATCACGGACGACGAGTCACGGTTTACTCAACCTGAGTGTGCTCCCCGCGGCCTTATTGCCGAGCTTGGTGTGCTCACTTTGCCTAAAAGCCAACGTTGCACAACTCACAGTGCCTTGAAACGCTGGGAAGCAACTGTTCCCCCCAAAGAACTGGTGATCTCAATGCACACACACACACGTGCTCCAGGATTGGGCTCTTTCATTGAGGCAGTGAGCCTTGAACTGTGAGATTTCGCCGAGTTTGGGCTGACAGATCTTCATGTGTGTGCTCAATTGGAATGAGGTGAACTCTGGATCAGCCTCACGGACAACCCAAGTCCTGTGTGAAAGTAGATGGCGCAATTTCCATGCGCGTAAGTGGTGACTAAGCCAAACAGGGGGAACTTTGTCTACTTGCAGGATGGGGGTGGATATGGATTCAGTGATTTGCACGGCATGACTTTCACCCAAATGTTGGAGGGCAAGTCTGAGCGGCGGCAATTTTCAGCTCCGACCAAGCACACATTGCGTTTAAAACCACGTGGGTTGAGCAGTTGAGGCCTCGCGTTTCGGCACAGACATGACACATGTGGGCGCGTCTTTGTTTGATGGCACCCCTTTAGGGGGGTGGGTTTTGAAGGGGGACTAAAGGGACACCGCCCATTTTGGGGGGGTAGACTTCGGATACTTTTTACATTTTACCAGTGACTCCATGTGAAGCAAACAAAAAGATATACATTCTACAACTGGGCCTAACTCTTATCATGTTTTGGGGGCGCCTATTTTGAGACAAACCCTTCCGCCGCAGCCCTCACGTGGCTCTCGGCAAATCATAAAAAGTCCCATCCGCGAGCTTCTCGCGCGACGTCTCCCCATGGAGGAAGCTCAACCGGCTGCGACGGCAGCTCAGCTGTCCAGTGGATTCCACGGATCACATTTCAGGCGTCCCTTAAGAGCATGCTTGGCACGTGCGGTGATCTTGGCTGTGGCTTTGACCGCGCCATAGTTGAAGACATTGCAGAGTTTCCCATTAAGATGCCCATCAACGATAAAGGGTTCCCCAAAGTTGAAGGCATGGCAGAGTTTATAACACTAAATAAAGCCAATCCACAATGAAAGGAGACCGGACCGCGTTTTTTGTTGCGTGGTCGCGTGGTACCATTAGATATAGAGCCAATCGACTATACAGGAGACCGGATACATTTGTTGTTTCGCGTGGCTCCACAAAAACAACAAGACCCAATTTCCCATTCTAATCCATCAACGATTAAGGATACCGGATATTTTTGTTTTTTGTGCGTGACTCCGAAAGCAAACAGCAACCAAGAACCAACAACTGTCTCCCCATGGGCTTCGCCGCCCAACTAGGGGTGGTGTTTGTTTTGGGTTCCCCTGAGTCTTTTCTTGCTGGTGCTCAGCAGGGAATGAGGGAATGACCCCCTATAAAGCCTATAAACCATCTAGGTTTCCGGCTCATACATTTTGCCCATTTGAAACATGGCTTTTTCCACCAAAATAAAGGGAAACCACCATCTACAAGTTGCAATGTTCAGGTGTGGAATGTAAAGGATCCCTGCTTCAGGCGAATTCTGGGTTCACTCCCTCATTTCCTACTTCTCGCACCGGTTGCATGCTTTCCCCACCGAGGAAGCTGCGCCGCCCTTCGCGTCTCGGCTGACCATCGGCGCCGTGGGCATCAACAGCTCCGCGCTGGCGGTGGTGGGGCTCAAGGACTCCCTGGGCAAGGTCTGCGAAAAAGACGAGGCGCACTGCGCCTCGGGTCGAACATGGGGGGGGGGGGGTTTGAGGGGTTCTGAATGCGTGGCTCGTCTTTTCTGGCAAATGGGTGGCTCTCTTTTTTGGGGATACCCTTTGCTGGTTTGGAAGGCGAAGCCAGATGTGAGACCCCAAATGAGCGATTAGTCAAATCACCGAGACGAGCAAATGGGTGTGGGTCAAAAAAAAAGGTAACCCCAAAATGGCTTGCCCTGGCAAATGGAAACAATTTGACCCATAGCCAAATCGCACATAGCAAATGGCTGACTGGGAGTTGTTTCTTTCTCGCTCCAGCCACAGTCAGCAATGGGGTCCCTCCAACAGCACTTTTTCGACCTTTGTTTTTGGGTAGGCTGAGTATGGAGCAGAATCTATTTCTTGTTTGGGAGCACCGAGAATTGGGGCCAAGATGCCGGGGCCGTTCTTTTGAGGCCCTTGAGCCTATCATTTGGGGTGATTTTGATCATGATAACGTGAAGTGGCCAGCCATATGGTTCCTTAGGCGTTTGACTTTAAGAGTTTGGAGGGGTAGCGTATCCCACTAAAAGTTCAACCTTCGGCACGGGATCAGCAAACTGCTAAGGTACCTTGCTGTACAGGAAGGGCGGCTTTAGCCCAGCGGAGAAGCAGGAAATCATAGACTTTCGTCGCCACTACCTCACTGACCGTGCGAAGCCCGTTCGCGGCTTGGTGTGCAACTTTACCCTGGCGCACTGGAAGGGCGGGAAAAGCATGAAGGTCGAGGGAGAGCTCCAGGAGTTTGTGAAGGCCGTGCGCGCCAAATTTATCCCGCAGTGGGGTTTGCCGGAAATGGAAGACGCACGTGGAGTGGTACATGTGGAGCTGAAATCGTGAGCGAGGTCCTTGCACAGTAGCAGGGGTATGGGTGTGTCTCAAAATATCAGTCGCGAAATTGTCGGGTTGCAACCCCTAACCAGGATCATTAGTTCCGCCGTTGGGGAACTAATGGATCTCTGAGACTGTTGCCGAAAATCATAAGTTCAGCTGAAAAAAGTTGTAGCTTCGTGGGGGACTCATTCTAAGCTTCACAACTTTTTCCAGCTGAACTTATGACTTTCGGCAACAGTCTCCCGACGCTTTCGCAAGCGACGCAACCCCCAACCAGGATCATTAGTTCCTCGACGGGAGACTAATGGATCTCTGAGACTGTCGCGCAAAAATGGGAGCCGGGGCGCCAAAGCCTGAAAACGATGAGTTTCTATTAGAACGCGCGTTGCAAACCAATAGCGGCACAACCCCCAAAACTGGTTGGTGTCCTTGTGGTTTCCTTCTCATCTCAAAAAGGGAATCCCTATTTTGAGACAGACCCGGATGCTCAACTGCCCTTGTCGGTTGCAGTTTTTGCCGACAACGAGCAGTCTGACTCGCCAATGCTGGCTCCTCAGCTTTGCGCAGTTGCAAAATGCGAGCGATTTGTCAAGGTCGCAGACCTGTCCCGTTTGTTGCTGGTGCGCAGTAGGGAATGAGGGAGATCACATTCCAAAACCATGTGTTGTTTCCCTTTCGAACAGTATAGTATGGTCTGTCCAGGAACTCCTCCAACAAGACATTTGCTTCTCCTTGGCCCTTTCAAAATGGATTTTCTCTCGCTGATTAGACACTGATACGGTGCATCGTCGCTACTTGGCGTTAAACCAATCATAAAAGGTCGTTTCCGTTCTGAACTCACTCCTTGTCGTCACACTTTACTTTGGGGATCCTAGCCGGTTTTGGGTATGGGGGGTCACCTTCCAGTAGCATCTTAAGTGTCATGTTAGTGTGTGGGGTACCCGTCCTCTGTTTTTTCTTTGCTTTCCAGGGTTTCATGTACGACCTTGTGTTGGGACACGAATCCACGATGAAGCTAATCCCAAATTTCTACCTGCCGCGTTTGCCTTGCTCTCTTCGCATTTTCGGGCGCCGCCCGTTCTGGCTTCATCATTTTACCATGATCAAAGTCACCCCCTAAGTGGGTTAGAGGGAAATCGCTTTCATTTTCTGACTTTCAGCCCAGACAGCGTGAAGAGAATGACCCCAGCCGTTGCGCGGCCGTGTCGCCCGTCGAGCGACGTCGAGGCCAGGTGGAGGTGGACGGCGCTGGGGAGGAGGTCTTCGTGGTGGAGGGTTCCTTCGTGGATGAGCTCGGGGAGCACCGGCGCTGGTCCTGGTGCAGAGCCTCGGCGGCGGCCCGGGGGGGGGTGGTATGGGGACTTGGGGTCCATTTTGCAACCTCCTGCTTTTTTAAGGTATTGGTTTGTTTAGGGTTCTTGGTTGCAAAATGGACTCTAGGTGCATGGCACGGGGGGGGAGGCGGACCCACGGATGGTGGGTGCAAGAAATGAAGGATCCGAATCGGCCAGGAGCCTAATCCTGAATTGCCCTGTGACCCATCGTGAAATCCGTGAGGGGACAAACAGTGTAGATCAGTGTCATTTTTTGCATACGCCAAGTCGAACCTAGGTTTTGAGGAGGACCCTGATGGGTAGCTCCGTCTTTTAAGGTTGGACCCACAAAAGGGCAGTTTTCCTGTCAAAAGAGTACTCGCAAAAAAGCGAGCCCCATATCTTGCGAACAGGGGTGTGTGGGGCCGATCTTTTTCCAAGATGGGTTTCCAAAGCAATCCCAGAAACAAATAAGAAAAAAAACACAGCGCAAGCAGGGTGCCAGCAAAACACACACACACACACACACACCCTTAAATGAGCGCGCTCGTTGCGTTCTGTTTTTGTCCAGGACTCCTGCAAAAGCGTGCTGTGTAGACACAAGGCGATTCTGAAAATGGGGTGTTTCGCGCATGAATGGCGCGCGCCTGCACAAACCTACCTTACCCTACTATCCCCTTTCCCCGAAGCCCCAAGCCCTAGCCCCCGATTTAGGTCTGTCTTTAAGGGGACGCTTTCGGTTTCCTTGGCTTTCCTTTTTGGTTTCCTTTTAAGAGCCACGGCGCCGCGCCTCAGAAAATTGGCCCTCTCGGCTGCAGGAACCGCCGAGGCACGCCGCCTCACGCGGCGTGCCGGGCCGGAGGGGTGCCTGCTGTACATCAAGAGCCGGCACTTGAAGAGTCCGGAGGATTGTTTCGTTTCGCGGCTCTCAGAGAGAGAGAGAGAGAGGGAGAGAGAGAGAGAGAGAGAGAGAGAGAGAAAGAAAGAAACAGCGGGAGAGACAGGGTGCTTCGTTTTTATTCCTCCTTGCCCGGTTTAAAGGCAAGCCAGAAGGAAAGCCGCGCTTGATTTGTTTGAGGGTACTCCTTGCTTACTGGGTCTTAAAGAGAAACTTAAAGGAAAACCGCTTGGAGGGTCCCTAAAAAAGACAGGTTTCGTGGTTCATTTGTGAAGTCAATGAATGAAGCCCTTTTTTGGGGGGCGAGGTGTGTGCCATTTTGGGGGGGATTTGTCTAAAAATCCAGGTTGATTAATCTAAGGTTGTCAGTTCTCCCGCAAAACTACCCAAGCATGGCATCTGAAAGGGGGGTTGTGAGTGGTTTGATCTGTAGCCTGCTAAACATCGACTCATACGAACCGTTCGACGAGGGGCTAGGTCAGCACTTGGCACCCTTGACATGCAATTTGCTTGTCGGACGTCTGGCCCCGTGGGAAACTAGTCTTTGCTGTGGATGGACGAAATCCTGTACCACATTGAACACAGAAGACATTATTCTTTGTTGGTATAGTTACAGGGGAATCATCATTCCAGGGATTCTTAGGTGGTGTAGGATTTCGTCCAGCAGTGTATTCCGTTCCAGGTTTTAGAGTTTTGCACCACCACAAAGATCATCACAGCTACAATCAAAGCTTGGTATTGAAGGGCCCAAAACCCATGGTACAAAAAGCAATTGGGCGGTCCCCTGCCTATCACTCATGAGATGGTTGGGAAGCAATTCTTCGCTTACCTGGTTTTGATTGTGGCCCAAATGATGTGTTGAGATACCAGTATGTCTTCTCTGGCTTGATCAAAACGGGTGCAGCGATGCCACATGTCTGGATTTGGTTTGCGACGAAGCACCCATCATGAAGATTCCTTTCTTAGGGGGTCTCCTTATTTCGAGTATTATAATTTATCCAGAAAGGCTCCTGAAGTTGGACAAGGACCCTTTTTGGATGTTTATTTTAAAGCGAATAGAGCAAAACCGCCACCAATGCCTTGTTTTTATTTCTCTGCCCCAACGGGATGAATAGTTTACAGGCTTATGTTGAAAGGGCAGCTCGTGCCCAATCATGTAGAGTCAGCGAATCCTCAATTAGTATGTGTTCCATTTGGTTTCAACCTCCATCCAAAGCACCAGCCAATGATAAAACAAATGGTGCCCCCACTATGCACAGCTCCTTGAGAGCTCCCGGTATTTTTTTCTGCCGTTCGCGGACATGCCGCAGGTGGACATTTGCGCCCTCCAGAAGTAGCCGCGTGCAGTTGCTTCTGCCTTCTTCTGGCGCCGACGGCCGGACGGTTTTCGTCCAAGGGTTGCATTTTGATCCGATGTTTTTTTGCCATTTCGGGGTTGACTACGCACCATGGGGGCAAAAGCTGAGGCACCGTGGATGGACGAAATCCCGCAGCAGCTAAGAAACCGGAGAAACCACTGTTGGCTGGTATTTACAAGGGAATCATCATTTCGGGTTTCTTAGGGTGCGAAGTGGATTTTGTCCATCCGTAGATCCAACAGGATTAGAGGGGAAGCAACCCCCCTCAAGTCAGGAGGGTTTCTGCGCGTTCGCGACCAAGCCAAGCGTGATTTTCCTGGAGGCCAAAAGGCAAACCTGGCGAAAAGTGCCCCTAAGCATCCGTTGGGGCTTGGTCATACCACACCCCGAATTGTGTAGGGAATTTTTGGGGCCCCAAATTCCATCACTACACTTTGGGATGTTTGAACTTTTTGCAAAAGAAGCGGACCTGCGGAAAATCTTTTGTGAAGCTCATTTTGGAAGGATCATGCAGCTTTTTCAGTATTTGTTGTTGTCCAAAAGTTGGTTACCTCATGTTGGCTGGCACTCAAGGGACACAAATCGGGGAGCCTTTCTCAAAGCTGCATTGTTGCTCGGCCGCGCCAGGCTCATCCGCCCTTTTATTTAAAAGTAATGCCTGGGTCACCCATTAAAAAAAACCTTGGGTGGTTTGCTCTTGGAGGTATGCCCAGCTTCTCTCTTTCAATATGTCAGGGACCTTCCCCATTCTTTCCAGGGATCCTTCTTTCTAGAAAACCTCCGGAAACCCATGGAAAACGGCGGTTCTTTGAAAAGAACGATGGTCGAAAAGAATGGGGAATCAACCCCCAGAAACATGTCAGGGACCTTCCTCCCCCCAGAAGCCGCTGGCAGGGCGCTGATCGCTTGATGCTTGCCGTGGCTGCTAACCATGCACAGGGCGGCAAGCCGTGGACAAAGAATCTGGAGCGTGCAGGGGTGCTTGTTGAGAGACGTGGCCGTGGGTCAAAACCAATGGTACCATGTTGGGGTAGGTGCACCACCCATTTTGGTCTATTTAGTGGGGATTGGGATGTTCACTGGGGGTACGGGATTTTGACCCATGGCCATATAGTATCAACCGAGGGCTCGTCCAACACAAGAACCAGGAAAGCAAGACAAGCAGAGTTTCAGAACGAGACGGCTTGGCCTGCTTTGACTGTCAACGAACAGTCGCCTTGGTCCATACATACCCGTGTCTTGTGAAGGAATTTGAGAAAAGGACGCCAGCTATTTGAAGTCTCTGATTTGAGCGCCGCCCTTTACCCCAAGAATACCCTTTACCCCAAGCAAGGGAAATGTTTGATTGATCTCTTCCGTCATCCACTCGCGGGTGGAGACAGGACGGTTCTTTGCCTCCCAGGTTACAGGCCTCGAAAAAAACAACTTGGAGAGAGGTTTTGAAACCCACGGAATCCCCGGAAAGTCATAGCGGTGCTGGCTTCGGATTCATCCGGAGACCGTACGATTTTCAGGGGTGGCTTCTGGGAAGGACATGCACTATTTTGGCCTTGCCCTGACCAGGTTCCTGACATTAGGTAGCCAGGCATTTTCCTTGAAGATTTTGATGTGTAGTTCCCCAACTACAACGAATTCGCCAGGGCAGGGCTTCAATGTTCCGCGTTGCTTTGCAGGAGGGTAAGCCTCAAAATTCTGGTGCTCACTGGGCGCTGGGGAGGCCCAAAGTCGGATGAAGATGCTGACCAAGCTGCAGGAAGAAGCTGTGGCAGTAGGTGGGACCGGGGGGGGGGGGGTGAGACAATTCCTGAGAGGTTCATCCAAGCGGGGGAGCACTCCAACGTCCAACGGGGACCTCAAAATGGGGGCGGGGGGGGGGGGGGGGGGTCCGATCGGAGTGCATTTTCAGGGTTATTCACAAAAAAATAGGTTTGCGACCTAGTGGTTTCCGCTCAAGTATGGTGATTTGCCGAGGTTCAAGTGGTGGCTGACCCGATCTCGTCTTAAGCCTCATGTATCAAGTTTGCTAGTCCCCGTCTGTCAATTGGAAATGCGCCAGGCATCAGGTACTGTAGCTTGTTTGGTGGATTGGTCTGGGCAGTTGAACCTGGGGAACTTCTCCCCGTAAATCATCGACCCCAAAGCCACCAGGAGGGAAGCGAACTGTCGCCCAAGTTCCGCTTGTTGGTCAGGCATCCCTTCGTTGGATTGGGGATTTGAGCGTAAATGGGGTTATCAGGCGTTTGTTGGGGAAACCCCCACCCCCGGAACGCCAATCCAAACCGCCAATCCAAATCCAAGCCAACCCAAACCAAGCCAAGCCAAACCAATCCAAACCAAGCCAAACCAAGCCAAGCCAAACCAATCCAAGCCAAACCAATCCAAGCCAAACCAATCCAAGCCAAACCAATCCAAGCCAAACCAATCCAAGCCAAACCAATCCAAATCCAAGCCAATCCAAACCAAACCAATCCAAACCAAGCCAAACCAAGCCAAGCCAAACCAATCCAAGCCAAACCAATCCAAGCCAAACCAATCCAAGCCAAACCAAACCAAACCAATCTAAACCAATCCAATCCAAACCAAGCCAAACCAAGCCAAGCCAAACGATTCCAAGCCAAACCAATCCAAGGCAATCCAATCCAAGCCAATCCAAATCCAAGCCAATCCAACACAATCCAATCCAAACCAAACCAAACCAAGCCAGGCCAATCCAAACCAAACCAAACCAAGCCAAACCAATCCAAACCAAACCAATCCAAGCCCAAACCAATCCAAGCCAATCCAAACCAATCCAATCCAAGCCAAGCCAAACCAATCCAAGCCAAACCAATCCAAGCCAAACGATTCGAAGCCAAACCAATCCAAGGCAAACCAATCCAAATCCAAGCCAATCCAAATCCAAGCCAATCCAAAACAAGCCAATCCAAACCAAGCCAATCCAAGCCAAGCCAAACCAAGCCAAACCAATCCAAGCCAAACCAATCCAAGCCAAACCAATCCAAGCCAAACCAATCCAAGCCAAACGATTCGAAGCCAAACGATTCCAAGCCAAACCAATCCAAGGCAATCCAATCCAAGCCAATCCAAATCCAAGCCAATCCAATCCAAACCAAACCAATGCAAGCCAAGCCAAACCAAACCAAACCAAGCCAAGCCAAACCAATCCAAACCAAGCCAGGCCAATCCAAACCAAACCAAACCAAGCCAAACCAATCCAATCCAAATCCAAGCCAATCCAAGACAAACCAATCCAAACCAAGCCAAACCAATCCCATCCAATCCCAAACAAACCAAACCAAACCAATCCAATACACACCAATCCAAGCCAAGCCAAACCAACTAGGAAAATGCTGATCTGGGTTGGCGTCTAGCCCACCTGAGACTTCGACGACCCCTACCTGCAGCTGGACTTCCCGGCCGCCTCGGCCCTGCCGCCGCCCTGCCCGGGAAGCCCAGCCAAGCCAAAACGGGAATCCCGCGGTTTTGCCGTTTTTTTTGGAGTGGTTTGGATTTGGATTTGGATTTGGTTTGGATTTGGTTTTTGGGAGTGGTTTGGGAGTGGTTTGGGTTTGAACCCTTGGTTCTTGCACAGGGCTGGGGTTTTTCATGGTTCAGCAAGCATTATCAGCTAAAGTTGGGGTTTGGGGCTGGTTTCTCCAATGCCAAATCCAATCCCGTGTAAAGAGATAAAGTAGTCAGGGAATCAAAGTCTTTGGTATCACCGAAAGGGATAGTTTCCACAACCGTGAGACCTTCGTTCCACAGTATGGGTCTGTTTCCAAATCATTGAAGCAGGGAAATTGTAGTCTCCCTTGCAGTAGTTGCATTTTGAGCGGTTTTTAAAATTACTGTTGCGACCCAGTGGTTTCCCTTCAAACTTCAAACCACCAATTTGGAGGATACACCTTCACTGCTCCGCCACAAAAGCGCTACGTGTAGATTTGGGTCATGCAGTTGGGGTCCAAGCAGTGTTGCTTTCTACTTACGTTTTATTGTCAGTATTGGATCCTCATCATTTTGAAATTTGATTTGTGTTTCCGGGAACCAGAAGACTTGAAGACTGGCGTAAGAAGTGGTTTCGCTGCTTCTAGAAAACATCTTCCTTAGAGAAGAACCCTCCCTGGATACCTGTCGCCGATGTGCAAGCCTAGGCATCTCGGTCATCGAGGCCGCCTTCGGCTACACCTCAGACAGAATACTCTACGAGGCACGGGCGGCGCTCGGAGGGTGGCGGGGACGCGGCTTTGGTGGATGTTTTTGTGTCATTGGATGGCGTGGTGTTCCCCCTCTGATTTTCTGTGTCCTTTCCGTTGTCCTTCCTTTGCTGCAGGAGAGCAAACGGAAATGGCCTAGCTGCCAACTGGCAACAAGGCCGCCGTTTTCTCCGCAGTTGTTTCTCTGTGAGCATCTGACGAAATTCTTAGCAAGGCGGGTCTCAAAATTCATGTGGTCGTCTTTTCTTCGGCCCCCACTGCCAGTTTTTCGTTTTGGTCTGCGAACCAAATCCCCAAAACCTCCCCCCCCCCACCAAAAGCACAGGGAACGCCAGACTCCCCACGCGATGGGTTTCGGCCCCTCGCGCCGCTTCAGGGCTTGGACTTCGGGGTGGACTGCGACTCCCGGGTGGCCATCGTAGGGCCCAACGGCGCAGGCCGGACTCGGGGCTCGGGGCGCGTTGGACGCGCCGGGGGCTTCGTAGGGATATGTTTTCCCGTGGGTTCTGGTTCCCCCGCCTTTTTTGCCTTTGTGTGTCCTGGAAAAGGGATTTCGGAGAAAGGGCGAGTTTCCACAACCACGCAGGAATGTAGGCCCTGAGCAGATTGTCGATCGCCTTTTGTAGGCTGAATGGTAAACGCATTCCCAGGTCCCTTTGGGGCGATTCGGTCACAAAGACCGGCCGTGCTCAGCCGGGTCCTCTTTGGGGAAACGCTGTCAGCGTTCCAAAGCAAGGAAGTGAAAAGAACGCCGTCCGCGAGTTCACCTGCAAAAGCGAATACATGTTGCGAACAGCCGCGTGGGTTGCGCCCCAGTTTTTAGGATCGGGAGGTTGGCAGGAATCCCCCAAAGCCCTCGGGAACCAACCCCAAACCCACTCCAAACCAACTCCAAGCCCACCCCAACCAATCCTCACCGGATTTGAACCCTCACCCACCCTAACCCACCCTAACCCACCCTAAACCAACCCTAAACCCAACCTTAAATTCATTCTAAACCCACCCGCCAACCCGAAACCCAAACACCCACCAACAGCTGCCCCCCCCCCCCTCCCCGAGCCGTTCCGCACGGAACCCGCCCCGAGCCATGGCAGGCAAGTCCACGTTCCTGAAGCTCCTGGACGGGTCCCTGGAGCCCACCAAGGGCTTCGTGAGGCGCGACGCGCCGGATGCGCACGCCATAGCTGGAGTTTCAACGGGGAACCGAACCATGGCCGTGGTGGTCCGAAAACCGTTTTGGGATCCCATTTTCGTGGGTAGGTGAATTCACCACCCATTTTGGAACAAATTTTAGTGGGGATGGGGATGTTCACTGGGGGTACGGGATTTTGACCCATGGCCACATTAATGGAGAAAGACGTATATGGCCGTGAATCTTTTGAGAGTGGGAACCACCACAAAAGTGATTGGTGGACATGAATCCCCACCGAATTCTGATGTCTACAAAGGGTCCCGTATTGAAACTCATTGCCATATATCGACATTCAAGCAAGGAAATTGAGAGATACATTGAATACTATATATTCATTTATGCATACATATGCATATTCCACCCCCTGCGAATTGTTCCAGGTGCTTATCAGAAGGGGAGGAGATTGCGAGACATACATGTTGCACACTCGCAATGGCGCAGCTGCCAAACATGTCAGCATGGGTTTGCGGATCTTAAGCGAGCAGAGGCTTTCCAGCTACATGGACTGCACCAACGCCGCAATGCAGCACACATAATTTCGGCTTGATCACAGTCAAAGGCGAATCAAGCAGTGTACCTGCCACAGGTAGGGAACCAATTGCCTGGCGTGATGATCCCAAATGGTTGTGGAACTGGGCGCAGCGATGCTCTCAACGTGGTGATGTGTAGCAGGGGTAAGGTCGGTGCGCATGTGCAACATTGCCAACATGTTGCTGAACAAGTGCATGACTGAGATATTTCTGCAGTGAACGGCTTTCTGCGCAAAAAAGAAGCACACTCAGAAGTTCCATTCATCATTCGTTGGTTTTCGAGCATGTAGTTTGGGCAGGCTATTTGCAAATGTCTCTTTTGCGCAAATCAGAGTATGTCTCGAGAGTCTTGAAGCCAAGTCCTTTAAGAGCTTGAAAGGAGATGCTCTAGGCAAAAAAGGATGGGGAATCAGATTGGACCGTTGGTTCACCGCAGGGCTGGTTCCCCTGCGTTTTTTATGGGTTTCGACCTCAAGGTAAAACGAGCTTGCCCATGAGAGTCCCCTTTTACTTTACGGCCTTTTGGTAGGTGCTCCCCCTCAACAAAACAAGAGGTGGCTTTCCTTCGGTGTCCCTCCAAAAATCACGAACACCCGGGCGCCCTCACCAAAAAACCACGAGGCCTTCTGCGTCTTTTTTCTGGGAGAGGGACGCCTTTTGGTGTGGGCCACCGAGAAGCTTCCCACCCGGGTCACGGGTCCGCCGAGCCGTAGGCGGCACGCCAAGCTTCAGCTGGCGAGGCTTGCTCGATGCCGTGTGGGGGAGAATCGACTCGGATCACTCGGGGGTCATTTTTTTGGAGCTGCTTCTGGGGGGTTATCAAGTCAGAAGCTGGTTGTGGTTTCGACCTGCCACTTAGGGGCTGACTTTGAGAATGGTACAATCATGGGGCGAGTCCCTATGTCCCTTTTTGGCGGTTTTAGGCCCGTGTCCCATGAAAGGTAATTATGTGTTTTTCTTGGTGGGGGTGATGTTTTAAGGCGAGTCCTGTCCTGGTTTTGGGGAAATCGAATCGGATCACTGAACGGAGGGGAACATCAGATTCTGAATATTCTATCTATCCACCAGGCCGATTCATTTAGGGCCTGAAAGCAGTTGGCAGCAGCGCTCCTGATCTAGAAAGGTCGAAGGCAGAGTTAGTTTTTACAGTTGTTTGCCCCAGGTACATGCACACCAAGCCATCAGGAGAAATCACAAGACTCACAACTTGACCAAGTATTTTAGCATTCGACCAACGCCAGGGGTCATTGTAGCTCCGGTTGAAGCAAACCTCTTTTGGGCCATTGGGTGTCTCTTTTGTTGAGGTACCCTTATGGCTGCAATTAAAGGGAAACCCAAAGGAAAACTAGCAATTTTTGGGTCTCCTACAAACAAATCGACACCCATTTCAACGTGAGGCTCTCTGATGCTTTTGGACATACCCCTGGAAGCGGCCCAGACTTCCCAACGCGCCTTTCTCCTCCTTTTTGGCGGGAGGTTTTCCCCTTGACATGTTCAGTGCCGGCAAAAGGCAATCGCTTTTGCACTCCAAGGGAATGAGTTCCACTGGAGGCGTGCGGGGCGTTCTTTTTCCCTTCTCCGACCGCAGATTCACGCAGCATCACATCGAGATGATGGACCCGGCCGGCGACCCAAGCAGATGCACGACCGTGGCCTTTGGCCTTACTCCTCAGATTGAACCCCAAACAAAGCAGCGTAGAGGACGCTCCTGTTTGGAATCGGGCCCCCCTTCTGGGTTCCATGTGAATCTATGGGGGAGTACTTCCCCGAGTCAAAGTCCTCGATTCTGCCAATCCAAAGGCTTCACCTTTCAAATTTGGCACCTCACATTCAACCAGAAGTTCGAAGTCGAGACTTTCACATGCGAGACCTGGAGTTCCATCGTTGTTTTGACTGTCGCGGATCTTTTTTTTTGGACGAGTACAAGTGGTGCGACTCCAGGGTTCGCCCTTTGACCGGAGAATCAAGTTGGACCTCATGAGTTTACTCTGGCCTGGAAGTTGGCAAAGTGGACCCTGAGTTCGCCCCTTCAGACCCTTGGCTTCCAACCATGTAGCCCCAAGGCATTGAAGGATCGCGGCGTTTTCCCAAAGTGAATTGGGAAGTCAATTCAATCAGGTTGAATCCCAGGGTGTTTTTTGTGCAACCCGCTAGATCAAAGGAGACTTGCGGGCCGGGACGTGGAGAAAGCAATGGCTTCGAGGGGTTTTCCAGGTTCCCTCTTTTACCAACCTGAAAGTACCACGCACAATCGAGGGACACGTTCCCAACTGGGTGTGTCAAATTTTGGACCCCCCCCCCTGCCCCGCAAAATGGGGTGGTTTCCTGCCGGTTTCCTTTTCGAGCCGCCCCAGTTCCGGGTCTTCGCCCTTCGCCTGAGAGACGCGACCAGACTTCAGGACTCGGATGCGGTGACCCACATGCGGAAGCTGGGGTCCGGGGGCATCAAGGAGGCCGATGCCGTTCTGCCTCAAAGCGACTGGGCCTTTCTGCTCGTTGGGCGGGGGCGGGAAGTGTCCGTGAGTCAGGGAACCAAGGAGCTACTGATGTTTCGCGAGATTTCGGACATGGCACCAAAGAGCTCAGAAACCCAAGGGATTGATTTTCGATGGCCCTGTACCGACAAACGTGATGGTTTGAACCATGGGTTCAAAGTGGGACAGGATTTTGGCCATCCACAGTACGGTTCAAAAAGACCTTTCTCAGATTCGGGTTTCCCAAGATAGGCATGGTCTCTTAACAACGTCAAGGTATTTATTTTGGTTTCCCAGGAGGCTGCTCCACCATTTTGAGAGAGAAACTCTCCATTTGGGGTGTCTGACACGTCCCACTAAAAGGACAACTTGTATCAAGAGATTGACGGACGGAATTTCCCCAACCATGGGCTTAGGTGTTCCCTAAGCAACCAGTTCGATTCACCCCACGAATCAGTGGAGAACCTCTGAATCAGGCGAGAGACTCATATACAACAAGACAAAACACCACAGCCTCGGAACACTTACACAGCACTTAGACTTGCGCAGCACTTAGACTTGCACAACAAGTACGCAAAACACCAGCACACTCACTTGTTCACACATGCCTACGCTAAGACAGACACACAAAAAGGAATGAGCGGTCATGCGAAGACTAACACCCCACGCATTAGGCATGTGTCAGGGAACTTATGCGATCTTAAGGTTACAGCCGCACAGCTTTCCTTCTTCTTTGTGTCACTTCCACAATGTCACAGCTCGCGGTTGCTCAAGGCAGACATGGGCGAGGCTCAAAAATTAAGATCCACTGCGCGGGGCAACACATTTTGGGCCCTGATTCCCATTTTTGAGCCACACGTCCTCTGCCTATGGTCAACTTAAGCGAACCAAAGAGCTCAGCGAATCGGAGGCTTAGCACCGGCACTGGTTTTGCTCTGGAGATGGTTCGCGGGGGCGGCCATGCTCAAAGGACCTGGGGTTGATGGTCATTGACCCCGGGGTCTTAAGCCGCAAAAGATTGGCAGTGACCCTGACCCACATGGTGCCTAACTAAGTAGCAGTTGACATAGCGACATGTGGTGTAAAGACACCCCAAAACCCCATTCCAAGTAGCCAGGCCCAACTAGGAAGGGCACACATGATGCAACCACCTTGGGCAGGATGGCACCAGTGAGGTGACCATCGAAGAGGTGCGCGTGCACTTTGTGGATGGGCTCTGCGGGTGGAGGGGTGTAAGTTTCTTGCCTTGCAAGCGTGTCTTTGGTGCATTTTGCTTGGATGTCAGGACTTTCCATTAAACCACTCAAAGTTAAACTTTTAGCAGGGGAGCAAAAAACAACTGAGTTGTAGTCTTCGCATTTTCAGCTTGGTTGGACGCTTAGGCTCATCTTGATGGAAACTCATCCATGGCCCATACCTCCAAAAGTATCGAGACGCCGGGATCTAGGGAGGATCTGTTCGGACGGCAGAGCGGCTCTACCGATTCAGTCTGGGCCGAACATTGGAGACATGTTACCCCCTATTTGTTCATACGTCCTCTCCCCCAAAGTGGTACATACTACCCTCATAATGTGAGTGAGTCAGGGAACCTTAGCTGACGTATGGAGGGGGTGCATGGCTTAACCATTTGTGAGGTGTCCTAGTCCTTTGGCTTGGGATGGACCCAACCCCATCGAAGCATGGCCTGCGCGGCGGAGGACTTTGACTGCCCTCTGTCTGTGACGATTTTGGACAGACGTTCTATAGTCTTCTGACGTCATTGGACTTGTTCGGATGCTTTTTTTGGGTCTCTCTTATGAGTGCGGAGCTCTGTTTGCGCAGACACTATTTTGTGGTGGGATGACTCACTGGTGATGAAGCAGCTTTTCTCTGCCGGACATGGAGGCATAGGCATTGTCTTATGCCATTGGTGCTCTCAGTTGAGGACTGAGTATTGACAAGTGAGCATTGTCCCCCTGTTGCGGACATGCATTGTTCATTTCTGTGTGAGCCTTGCTGCTTATAGTTATTGTCTGAGAGGCTCTTGCATTTCTTTGTGTTTGGCGCGCTCTGGCGCACCTGTACCGTTTCACTTGCTGCCCAACGTTGAGCCGCTGTACTTCACATAGGATGGCACCCGGTGGAGTGACACGAAGGACCCATTCCTCACGTTGGACACCCTGCTGCCGCCCAACCCAGATAGCTGGTGTTGCCACATCCACGTGACGAGCGCTGGTGCTGCCAGTGCCGTTCATCATGGTTGCAGCTGTTCGGCTTCAGCTTGGCACCACTGCAAAAATACGGCAGGCTTCGAGCGGCACCCTGGTAGCGGGTGTCCCTGTACAAGGTACCAGGTGCCTCCCTCAAACAGCAAGGGGCTATGTACCCTCCGAAAAGCTCAACTCGCAATACACCCTATTGAATTTACTCCTAGTTCGTGTGGTTCCTCACAAGGGCACCCTGCGAAATGGTGGGCACCCTCAAAAATGCTGGGTGTACAGGTCACATGTTCACAAAAGGGGTCCCAATTAAGATTCCTACCAGGTATTCAACAAAAGTGACATCTAGGCATTTTTGCACATTTTTACAGTTGCTTCTCGACCAAATAAGGATACGCGTGAGGCACGTCTGGATGTTTCAAAGTAGGAATTTGGGCCACCAACAACGGCGGCTTGTCCGTTTCCCTTGAAAGCCAACCCCAAATGGGGACGCTAAAACACACAAGCCCACATGGAGGTCACCGTCTCCACTAGTGTTTTCAACCAGCACAGTTTGATTTTTCCCCAGCTGAAATCTGTGGGGTCCAGAGCCCAGATGCGCTTTGATTCGGGGCAGCTTTTAGGGAGGGTTCCAGGCGGTACGGGGGCTGTTCGTGTTGCTGAAGCCGAAAGGGGATGCCTTCTGCGAAAGGGTAAAGGGTAAAGGGTGCAACTGAAGCTACTTACCCTCCCACAGCTAACATGGACGTGGGAGGGTATCTAGATTATGCCTTTTGGTTTCCTATGTTTTTGTCTGTTTAATTCGAAAGGTGCATCAGCAAGCGAGCCATTGGCAGGCGCGGAAGTACCTGGGCCGCTTCGGCCTGCACGGGGACTTGGCCTTGCAGCCCGTCAAGCCGGGGACTTGGTCTTTTCACCGCCCGGCCGACCCGGCGAGAAACGCAAAACGAGGGGATCGCACCTGGATTTGTTGCAAAATTAGAGCAAGGAACCGAAAAAGGGAGGTCCCCGGAAAAGGAGGTTCCTCTTTGACAAGTTTTGGCTGTTTTGTGGGTGCCGTGTTGATCTGCAGGACAGTATTTGTTGAACGGCAACGAGGAACAGAGGAAAAGCAGGTTTCCGTGCGCCGGTCCGCGGTTTCTTTACTCAGGGCCTTCATTGATCAGGATATTGACATGTATACGCAAGTAATGTGGGTATGCATGCTTTTTTGCGGCGCGGTAACCTTTTGTTTGGGATGGTTTAGCAAACCACAGGGAAGCCGAAATCCATTTTTTGAGGTCGAACTCCATTTTCTAATACACACACACACAGATATATACACACACATACTCACTTTGCTTTCCGCTGGGGAGGGTGGGTTGGTGATTCCAATCCCCAAGTGACAAAGTAGCCGGGGATGGACAAATCAACAATTCCGCTTCATTCAAACCCCTCACAAAAAGCATCAGCCACAAGCGATACGCCGTTTTTCGGCCTTGAGGCTGAACCAATATGGGAAGCTGTTCTCAAGCGCTGGTTTCAACCGCTTTAGTTCTGGAACTCTTAAGCTATACGGTTCATCCAATATGGGCTCTTGCGCAAAACGGGCGGCTTCCCTTTGGTTTCCCTCCAAATACCTTCCCGAAAAGGGTTTCGTGAAATGGCCACCAAATCGCCCAAAGAAGGTCACTATTTGATGGCCCCATCGGGTCCTGGATGGGATTCGCGAGTTTTTGTTGGTTCAACAAAAAGGGCGACATCAAACAGGGTTTCCGAGCCATTGCCCTTTTGGCACCTCCAACAGTGGCGTTTGTTTCAAGTGACATCACTAAGTTGATCACCTTTCGATTGGGGGGGGGATTCCCAGTTGCCCCTGCTTTTTCCCATGTCGCAGATGTCTTTTTTTTTGGGGGGGGGAAGCTGCGCCTCTTCGTCTTCTTGTCCTTAAGAATTTCCCCCACCCGCCCCCACCGCTTCCCGGTTGCGGTGCCCCGCTGCCCCGTTCGGTCCGAAGCTCCGGAGCGCTGGGCGAGGTTCCTGAGCGGGGGGCAGAAGAGCCGGCTGGCCTTCGCGGAGCTCGCGTGGCCGGGGCCTCGGGCCTCGGGAGTCGGAGTCGGAAAGTCGGGGGAGCCGTCCACGGCCTTTTTCTTTTCCCCCCTCCCCCCCACCCTTGTTTTTTGTTTCCTTTTTTTTTTCCAGGGGTCGCTTTGGCGCCCTTGGTTTCCAGGACCGAAATCGAACTTTTTCTCTTTTTTTTGGGGGGTAATTTCAAGAGAGAAGCAAACTCAATCTTTCTTTTTTTGGTCTGAAATGAATCTTCATATTTATTTTTATTTTTTTGGGGGCAACATTTTAAGAGAGACCCAAGGAGGGTGGTTTTTTCAAAGGCATGAAAGGGGGGGGAGACCAACCACCAAGGTGTTTACCAATTCAGCTCCCATATGAAAGGTGAAGCCAGGTGCCATGTGCCCTCCAAAGACCCTTGAGGGATTGGGCTGTTTTACACGCCGACTGAAACAAGACATGAGGCGAGGTGGTTGGGGGCTGGAGCCGGGGTGGTTGGGGAATCTGCTCCAGAGAGGGTGAAGAAAGCCTGCAAAATCCCAAGGCTATGGCCCTCAACCCTTTTTCAAGAGCCGCGAGTGAACATGATTTGCAGGGGGCTTGTCTCAAGCAGCTAGGTGTTCTCCCAAAGTGCCCAGCCAATGTGGCTGTCTCTCGAAATCGTGGTCCCCTCGGGCGGTTATTCAAGGCAAGCCAAACAAACAGAACCACCACCTGGACCCCTTTTGGGCGAGAAAACACCCACGCAGCCTTCCTTAGGCTGGTCTTTACCGAACCTCGCCACCCGGAGAGACCTTTGGGAGACACACGTGTTCCCTTGTTGCCTGCAAACGCTGGATGTTTTTTATCCTCCCAACATGGCACCGGGGATCCTTTTTGGGTCACAGGAAGCCACCGGAAGCCGACGAAGTCGCTCGAGGTCGTCGCCGCACATCATGCTGCTGGACGAGCCAACGCCGGGCCTCCATGTGACAAAGACAAATCCCCTCCCCGAGTCTCTGGGAACTTCGGGCCACGTTCGGGCAAACCTGGGATGCTTCCCTTTGCTGTTTCAGTGGTTGATTTTGGAGGGGGTCCCTTTTTAAGCTCGACTACACACAAGCAAAGTGCCGAAGCTGTTTTTTCCGTGAACATCCACTGGTCTGGGATTTGGTTTGTTTCCCTGCCCTCCAGGAAACAAGGCTCTCGTCTCACTTGGGGGAGTCGTGCACGGGGAGCCTTTGCAATCCAGTTACCCTTTTCCCACTGCAAGTTCCTCTTAAGGGAACATGGCTACAGATTCGGAGTTTTGACCAGATCGGCCCAGTTTCAAATCGGGTTTTCGTCTACTGACTCAGAGCCAACTTGCAAGAGCCATGAGAATTGCCCATGGTCCTTCCCTAGCATCACCAGGCTGCTGATCGTGCGTTTGTTTGCGGCGGAAACCACAGTGGGGGTCCCCCACACGGGAACTTCCTTTCCATTTGCTTAAGATTTGTTTTTATTTTCCCCTGATGGTTTTAAAGGGAATCTATCGCTACTGTTTTTTTCTTCCTGGGGCCTTAACCAAATGGAAGGGAAAGAAACATCGGAGCACTTGTGGCAGGATCTCTGAAGGAGCCCTACCCTTTGATCACTTTTCCGCTTTTTGGTTCGGAGAAGCAAGCAAGCCCGCCATTTGGCTGTGCTTGTCAAACCGTTTTGGATCCCATTTTGGTTGGTAGGTGAATCACCACCCATTTTAGAGCCTATTTTTAGTGGTTGGATTGGGATTGCCACCCCCAAATGAAACAAATGCCTGGTTTCGCTTAGGCTTCCCTTTGAACACCAACACACGTGTGGTGTTTCTTCTCCCCTTTTCGAGAGAGACATATTTGGGGTGTATGACGCATCTCAGAGGCCCCCGCGGCCCCAATGGCCCCTTTGGTTGTGTGTTTTTCGGGACCATTTTGGAGACTCAGCACCTCATTTGGTTTGTGGGGTGTATGCCACGGCCATGGCCCCTTGAGGAACCACTTGGACCTGGAGACCATCGAGGGCTTGGCCATGGCTCTCAACAAGTTCGAGGGCGGGGTGGTGCTCGTGAGCCACGATGACCGTCTGGCCGGGATCCATGGATCGATCGGGGGACGGGGGTGGGGGGCCGACGGACCCGGGGGGGGGGGGGGGGGGGTGGGGGAAATTTCAGGCAGAGGTGGGGGCGTAGGTGTCCTTTTTGGTTGGTTTGCTTAGAAATAGAGGGCCCTGGTTTAGATGGGCTTTATTCCATTTACCAGGGCCATCTATTTTTCCTAAAGGCCACCTATGGGTGGGGGTTGTTCAACCTACGTTTTGTTTTTGTTTTCCGAGAAGGTTTCCGGGAAACCTGCACGACTGGGAAGGGAATCGGACCGGTAAATCTAGGTTTTTGAAGAGGGAGCCTTTCGGAGCTACCTGGAAATGTGGCAGAGCATGATAGGTAGTTAGGGTTGTTCAACAGTTGTTTTCTTCTTTTTTTTTTCTTCTGAGAAACCTAGGGGTGTTTTTGTCCGAGAAACTGATGAACCCTGAAACCCAGGGGATGATGTTGAACCATCCTGACCCAGGGTGCTAAGGGTCCTTTTTTTCTCCCTTGTTTTCCTTGAATAAAAGGAACATCGGGCAGAACCAGGGACCCTCATGATTTTCAGTAAAGTCATTCACCAGTGGATTCCAAGGGCAACTCCAACTTGTTTTTCCCTCGAACAAGTCAAGTTGCGTCAACCAGACCTGCTCAGACCTGTTCAGACCTCAACCACCAAAAGGGTACCAACTCAGAAAGCCACCTCCGGTTTTGGGCCAGTTTGGCAACTTTTCCCAGGTGTCGATGGTGGCGGACGAGCTCTGGGTAGTGACTCCTGGACCTTCCAAGGCGAATCTGCAAATCGAATCCGTCGAATCCGCGCGGAGTCGATTTCGATGGGTTGCCCCAAGGCTCGAAGCGACGTTTCGCCCATTTTGGGGTTGTCTTTTTTGGAGGTGCCTCCCCCGAAATGGGTGGTCTCCACTAGTTTCCCTTTAAAAACCACCCACCAAAAGGGGTACACCACAAAAAGACGCACCCATTTGCGGTGCGCACGATTTGTGAAAGTGTTTCACTGGTTTAAAGGGACTCTATCACAGGACATAAGTTTTCCAGGGGTCCGGAAAACAATGCCCAAGCACAAAGGGCTGACAAACCCTTTTGGAGCCTGTTCGACAGGTTTGCTCTGAGTCTTGACACGAAACCGCCTAGCCGGGTAGATTAGTTTGCTTGGAGCCTCGATTGGTTTCCCTTGAGCTGAATTTTTCCTGGATTTGTAGCCCTCTCTCTTGTGGGCAAATGGGGAAACCCCCAGCCCGGAGCACCAATGACACAGCCAAACCTCCTAGAGGGAAGCGGAACCTTGCGGAGTCGCTGGAGCCAGAGTTAACGAGTCAACGAGTCAACGAGTCAACGCCCAACACAAGTTTTCCAAAGGGCTTCCGGTAGAGCACACGAATGAGACAGAAACTGACAATATGACTGGAGGTTTACTCGCTTTTTTTTGTTGGGAAGAGATGGGAGGCAAACCGAAATTTCTCACAGGCCCACCCTGTCCTCATGTGCGGATTTGCCGAAATCATTTCGTTGGATTCCCATCGGCCAAGGGGCTTGGAAGACGCATCCAGCTTGTTGTAGCACATTCCCACCTTGGGCCAGGTGTTTGATCCACCTACACCCAAACCGCAAAATTCCAGGCCTTGACCTTGGGCACCCGCATGTACTGTAAGTCTACCTTCTTGGTTTGGGTAATTACCCGGCAAGCAGGCGGCCAACTGACCGCCAAGAAACACCAATCTATACATTGCTGTTTTGAAGACAGGCTGCGAATTTTAAAAGAGGGCTCGCCTCAAAAGTTGGACTATGAATTTTCACCGACTTCTGGTGTCCGTTTCATATAGGGCTATTTTTTCATTCCAACTCATTCCCTGCTGAGCAAGTTTCGGGTCCCTTAAATGGCCACTTCTAAGAGACGAAACCTGTTCCAGGAGATCCCCGGAAGGGTCACGGTCTTCGAAGGCTCCTTCGAGGCATGGGCCGATTCGGACTGGTCTCTCAACCGACTTGTTAAACATCTTGGGCTTAAATACTGTGGATGGTTGCGAAATCTGGGAAGCACCACGAAGTGAAACCATGATTGAAACCCATAACGTTTGTTAGTATTCTCATGGGGATCGAATCATTCCAGGTTTCTCAGGTGGTCCGAAATGGACTTTGTCAATCCATCCACAGTATGATGCAGAATATGAGAAGCAACTTAACACTGCCCTCTACTCCAAGAACCCTTAAACAGAAAGGGTGCAAACACAAACAAACCTGGTTTTGAACCTGTTGCCTTCCAGCAAAAATGGTTTCCAACCAAAAACCGCGAAGAGCTCGGTTATTTCCGCGAACCTTTAGAATAAAAGGGTCTTGGAGAGGGTGATTTTCTGCCCAATTGAGTGAGCCAATGGAAGGGCGTGGAGGATTCCTGGTAGGATGTGATGCGAAGTTGGCGCGAGTTAGGTGGAGTTGCCAAGTTGGTAGAGGGACTTTTCGAGAAAAACTGCCAAATATTTTTATGGTTAAAGGGAATGTTCCGCTCGGATTTTTTGCCAAATTGGTGTGATTGTTAAAGGGGAAGTGTTACATTGGGAATCATCCAAGGGATTCAGAAACACATCATTATTACAAGCACTAGCGAGGGGAGTTGCCACATGTTTTGATTTCTTGGACTGTTGCAAGGGGGGGAGGTTGGGGGTAGCGGCCTGTGACTCCCACAATGGGTAAATGACGGGGACGGGTAAATGAAGCGAGTGGAGGGGTCCCCTGGAGATTCAGCGGGGATCTCAGCGCGAAGTAGTCGATCCCAAGTGGCGTGGGGTGTCTCCGATGCTGGAACGATTTCTAAGTTTAAAGCAGCCTGAGCATGAAACAGAATCTGAAGCTGTGATTGTTGTGTACCCATGCGGGCCAAGGAGCGTAAGTGGGTTGTTCAATTTGTGTACTTCTTTCCTGCTAACTTACGTGGAACACGAGTTTTTTTTTCATTTTGGACCTCCTTTGGCAGGGACAAGCTCCTGGAGGTTCCGTCCGCTGTGAGTATGACATTACACTATATGCGAGTTTGGTTTCAACCAGACCCTGGGCTCAATTGAAGGACGATAGAAAAGCCATGTTGGCGGATGAATAGGGGGGATGAATAGGGCGGATGAATAGGACGGATGAATCGGGCGGATGAATAGGGGGGTGTTTCCCCAACAGAGGATCCCCCAAAAAAAGCCTCCCCCATTTGACCAGCCCGAGGTTTACGGGGGCCCCGGATTAAGCAAAACCCCCTGGTATGTTGAGCTCTCAGTGTCCAAACATGTGGGGCTTTACTTTCAATGGAACACCTCCCTCGTTGAATTGAGGCCTTGGGCCAAACAAAAAGCGCACGATTCTCCTGCGAGGAGTACCGAGAAATGCTGCGAAGTGAGTTCATTGACAAGAACCTCACCAGCGGCGGCCGGATCAAGCGCAAGACCTGAGCGTGCTGGACTCCCGATTTGAAACATGTGCGCGACCCGACGTGTGACGATGGAAGGAAGCAAACGGCCAGATGCTGGCAGTAATTTTCCATATCTACTTTTGGGGGGTTCTGACTTGGGTCCGAAGTTCACATTGGCAGTCTCTGGGGGACCCCTGCCTCAACAGTTCTATTTATGCATAGTCGACTTAAACAGAATCTGAAAATGTGATTTGCTGCGTACCCTTTGTTTCCAAGTTGGGGACCAAGGCCGCGGGCCGCTTGTTTCGATCTTCGGGAAATCTCGCTGCACGAGTCTGAAGAACAGCTTTGTGCGATGCGAACCGACGGCGTCAAGAGGGCGCGCGCCAATGGTCGCGCCGGTTCCCTCTCGCGGCTCGCTCCGGTTCGTTCGGGTGGCGCTTTCTGAATGAAACCCCCAGGGTGGGGCTAATCGATTTGGTGAGTCTTTGGAGGAATCCGGTCCTTTTCTGGGGACACCCCGTTCGGCTTGGTATTGGGGGGACAGCGCCTCTTTGGCAACTTGCGGCGTTTGGGTTTGTGGCCCTTTCCGCTGCAGCCAAGAGGCGAGACGTTAGCTTCACATAGACCTGGCGAGGCCACAAGAGCACCGAATCCGAGCAAAAGCATTCGGACGGACGCGCAGCTTGGGTGCAGATGGACACCTCAAACGAATCAGACCGCTAATTGGAATCACACCTCGGCACTGGCTTTGCTTCGATCTTGGCGTTCCCATCGGGGTAGGAGGGAAGCAAATGTTGGTCGACTCCCACGGATGTTGCCTTGTTCGAGTATGCGATTTTGCTGCTCTTTGACTCAGTTTAGCTTTGCTGCCTTCAAAGGTGAACAAAGGGGTTCGAACTTTCACAGGACCCTGTCTTTTTCGCATCCAACAGGAACCCATTTGTTCGAATCCGGACGGGCAACCGGCCCCAGACCGCGAGGCCTGGATTTGGGGGGGTCGTGGACGCTTGCGGATGTTTTTGACCAAAGCAAGGCTCAAGGAACCATGAGTCAATGTATTTTAGGGGCCTCCTTCTTCCTCCGCCCCCCATAAATCGTGTCGAACAGGCGCTGTGTGCCAATCGCTTGAGCAAGAACCAGGATGACTCACATGGTGCTTCTCGAATACGGGGAGCCCCAAGAGAACAGACCAGAAGAAAGGGCTGGTTTCCTTCTGGGACTTCTTTTTCAGGCCACACCATTTTGTGCTTTTTTCAAGAAACAACAACCGGAGATCACCTTTCCCCGCCCTTCTAACAGATCCCCGTGAGTTCTGACGCCGGTGGGTTTTCTTTTGGCTCAAAGGGAAGCCGACTCCCCAGGCCTCGGCACAATCAACGAACCTCCAATCATCCACATCACTCCAAGACATATATTTGTACTTGCGGACCGCCCTCAAAGTCGGCATGTGAACGAAGCCTCCTTGCTCTTTCACTGACCCAAAGCCGACCTTCTAACCCCTTCGGTTTCCCTGTTTTGGGCCATACGTAGTCAAGATCCTAAAAGGTGAACCTTTTCTTTCCAGGTCCTTGCGCAATTGCATCTGTTTGGTCGCCTTGCAGCACAAGCACAGGCTCAGCGCACGAATTCGACTTTGCATTTGGGCCTTGCAGATCGAAGGCGCGAGATTGGGGCTGCGCCGAGATTTCGGAGCCTTCAGTGGGTGAAATCAGTGGAAACGAACGCTGCCTTGGTTGGAATTTGAACGGGAATCCCAAAGTAGGCCAACCTTTTTGGGGGGCTCCTCTATTTTGAGAACCATGTTTTGGTTGGTTTGTTGGGGGGAAGATGGGGAAGCCAAACGCAAAGCAGCCAGCCAGTTTTGGTTTGTCCTTTTTGAGGTTGGGTACCTTTTTGGGGATGGTTTCAAGGGACACCAAAGGGAAATGGGACGTTCCCATCCACTTTTTGGTTTCTTTTTTAAGGAAGTGTCTTGCTTTTGATCGGATGCCCAGGGTCAAACCGCAAACCGCGGCTGGTGGGTGGGTGTCCTTTTTTGGTACCTGGCAGAGGTGCTGAGAGAGGAGCTTGGAAAGGCATTTTAGTCTGGAGCACTTTTTGGGGTTGGACCATTTTCGTGTCAAAACGTTTTTGGCCAGCGGGCCTCTTGTGTCCGAAAGGGTGCTCCATGTGACCCGAGAGGGGGGGTGGTGGTGGTGTGTTTGGGGGATTCTCCAAAGGGACGATTTTTTTTGAGACTTGTTTGCATGACATGCAGAGACATCTCCGGTGACTTTTGAGCATCTTGGCTCCAAGAGTCAGTTGCATCGACCTCCAAACGTTTCGAGGCACGGTCCGAGAGAGAGAGAGAGAGAGAGAGAGATTGAGAGAGTGGGGTACTTGGGATAGGGCGCTTAGTGCAGGGTTCCCCCAATATTTTCCCTCCGCTTGTTTGTAGCCATCACCTTTAAAAGGACCCTTTTGAAGCGAGTTTCCTGCGGCTGGGGTGATGTTTCGAGCGGGAATGCAGGGAACCCTGTGGACAGATGGCTGTGGCTGGGCTTGGTTCCCTTGCCCTTGGGTATGCCCTACGAGCTCGAGGCTGTGGTTCCCTTTTCGTTTCCTCTCCCAGGAAGTCCACGAACCCATTTCACCCGCCTGAAAAATGGAACACTCGAAAGGGTATTGAACCACTGCTGATTCCCTGGTGAGCCTTCCAGCCTTCCAGCCTTCCAGCCTTCCAGCCTTCCAGCCTTCCAGCCTTCCAGCCTTCCGCCTTTCCGTGCCAAAAGAATCCCCAGTAGCTCGGTGTCCAGCCATACCCATTCAGACTTTTAGCGTTGCGAGGGATTTATGGCGCGGGTCTGTTTTCAGGGGCCCCTCAAAATGGCGCAAGGGGTTTCCTTTTGGTGTCCCCTTAAACCAACCCCAAGAAGGGTAGCCTCCAAAAAGACACACCCCCGGTCCTACCCAAGTTGGACCGTCAGCCAGGGATTAGAGGGACTAGCGGACCACTCAGTCAGGAGTGATCAAACCGTCACGAGGATGACAAGGATCATCACTGATTTGCACGGGGCTCCTTAAAAGATACATTTTGCCAACATGGCGTTTTCCACCAAAATCAAGGGACACCACCATTCACAAGGCAATGTTCAGGTGTATAATGACAGTCCATTTTTCCTCGAGCTTGGGGTAAGCGAAAGCGAGCTCGGCCTGATGCGGATGTCTCAGGCAATTGCTTCATTTTCAGTCTGTGAAAGTATTGGGCAAGAGTATGTCCTCGGTGCGCTCCCAAAACACCTTCGCTCGATTAGTTCTACTTGGGTGTTTAACTAGCTGAGCAGAGGCCGCCATTAAGGGGACTAACCCCAGTTGCTCCAGTGGAACTCATGGTTGTAACTTGCTTTCTAAGTTGGCTGACCATCCAAGTACAGGAGGGTGTGTCTTTTTGTTTAAGGGACCCTAAACAAATGCAGTTTTCCTGTTGGTGAACCAACCCCAAAAGGGGTACCCTCAAACAACGATAGACCCAGGGCAATCTTGAGTATCGCATTGCTCCTGAGGTCCTTCAGCATGGAGCTCCGAGTCGGTGGCAAGTTTCGGCTGGGCCGCAACTCGGCGACGTTAAGGCCTGAAACAAGGCCAAGCGACTACCCGGTTGGGCCAGTGGTTGCCACTGTCTACGCGCGGGATCGGAGCCTGTCACGGGACCTGCCGCCGGGCGAATTTGCCCATTTGACCAGAAGCATTGGGTCTGTCTTTTTTGGAGGGAACCCAATAAACAAGTATTGGTTTCCCTTCACAACAATCCCAACAAGGGTACCATCGACAAAAAGTCTTTTTGTCGAAAACAAACATCCCTTGGTTTTCCAGGTGCCTCCCCCACATTTTGGTGGGAGGGGAGGGATGGTACGCCTTAAGTCCGTGGAACCATACCCTGACGCCAGTTCAAAACCAAGAAATGTAGATGAAGCTTCCCTGCATGAGCTTCACTCAGACATATTCTGATTTGGGAGGGCACGGGGGATTTACAACACATCCAAAGCCATCCGCTTAACACATGTTGCCTTTTCTCACTGTGAAGTAGCTTTCGAGAACGATTGCCGATAAAACAAGGCAGGGTGCAACTCTCAGGGACGTACTCCCCAAGTTGCAGGGGCTTCAGAGTTGGGTGTGTCATTTCTTGCTGGTACCCAGGGTACCCATTTTGGGGTTGTTGTTCTCGTGGGAAACCACAAGGACATGCCTCAGAGGCCAATCCCGTTTGGAGAAAAGCCCAACTTGGGGGAATCAGTTGCTTGCTGCTTAATTGGGCCCCCAACGCGTTGGGTCCCATTCTGGGGCCTTTGGGGGGAAGGGGGGTACTTCGATGACCGGCCCCCCCCCGCCTACTCTCAAAGTAGCAAGTAGATAGTGCTTCCACTTAACAAGTCCTCTTAGGGCTTTGCCAACTTCAAACAACTCACTTCGGGGACTGAGCGGGACGTGAGCCACATACGACATGGCCCTGACCATGAAGGGGGTCCCTGCGCTCGTCAGGCAAGATCGGGTCCGGGTCCTTTGGGGACATCTACATTGGCACCAATGCCAGGGCCTCCAGGGCCGTCGGTGTTGCAACGGGACGTCGGACGTCATTTGTGGGTGTCAAAACCAATGCTACCCCTGGCGAACATCATTAAATAGGTGGTACATGGGTGTTCATCCGCCCCAAAATGGAGGCATAGGTTATGACCCAATCACTGGGATCCCATTTTGGTTGGTAGGTGAATTCACCACCCATTTTAGAACCTATTTTAGTGGTTGGATTGAATCGGATGTTCACTGGGGGTGCGATTTGGATTTTGACCCATGGCCATTTGACCATGTCGAAGAGCCCCTGAACATCCCCAATCCCAAATTCAGATGTGCAGTTTAAAGCCGCTATCGGAACCCCTGCCACATGGGCTGTGCTTTTGCCACCCTTCAAGGTTGGAAGAAAAGGAGGAGTGAAAAGGAAAGCCTTTTGTCGGCTTTGGGGTGGCCTCCATTTGACAGATGCTCATTTGGGCCCGGGGAAAATAAAACAAACTAGAGGGTTCAGAGGTTCGAGGCGGGTGGTTTTTGGCTAGATGATGTAGCTGGGGGCTCAATGTCAAGGGCCCTGGGCCTCAAAACTTGGGTTCGGGGTACCCAGATCTTGCTCCTGGTGCTAAATTTGCTCCTAGGCACTCGGCCCCATGTACCACTTGGGCGTTGGCGAAGGGTGTGGGTCACGCCCTGCAAGTCTTTGATGGCTGGGTGGTTTCCCTGGGTACAGGTAAATGGAGCTCAGAGACCGATCCAGTTGATGATTGGATCGGGGAGCCGGTTCCCACCCCAACAAAAGGACGAGCCACACAGGGCACCCAGTTGGCTGGCTCCTCTTTCTGTGCTCGGAGCAGGACCCAAGAATGCCACGCTTCTGTTTTCCCTTGGGTTTCCCTGTAAACCCACCAGCAAAACGGGCGTTAAGCCTCACCTCACATACCAAAAGAACGACGCCCCACCCAGCTCTCCCACGTTTTTTTGAGCTGTCCCCCGCTTGCTTGTTGGAAGCACGAGCGCTACCTTGCCAGTTGTGGCTCTCCCACGTTTTTGTTCGAGCGTCACCCCGGCGCTTGCTTCTCCGGGCATCCGAGCGCGGTGAGCTGTTGCCAGTTTTGGTTAGGTGCAGACCAGCGAGGAGGTGGCCATAAAGCTGGAGTCCATCAAGTCCAAGCACCCCCAGCTGCTCTACGCCCCTGGGCTCTGCAACAGAATTCGCCTCGATTCGCCTCGATGTGTGTCTGTGTGTGTGTGTGCGCGCTTCTTTTTTTCATTTTTTTTTTTTTTGGGGGGGGGGGTTAAAGAAAAGCCAAAAGGACAACCACAATTTTTTGTACCCCTGAAAAAAGACACGCCCCTGTGGAATCCAGCCAACGTGGGTGGTCTCACTTTTTGGATGGGACCCCTGTTGGCAGCTTCTCTTTGGTTTCCCTTCACAACCACAAACAAACGGGTACCCGGCGTGAAAACGGGAGATCGGCTTTTTCCACTCTAGATTTGAAGTGCACAATTTCTGACAGGATCAGGGGTCTCAGATACGTTGTATCTTATCTTCCAAATGTGAAGAGCGTCTCAAGATACTAGTGGATGGACGAAATCCTTCACCACTTCGAGAAACCATGGTTGAAACCATGGTTTGTTGAGATGTACCGGGGAATCGAATCATTCCAGGCTTGCTTGGGTGGTGCGAAATGGATTGAAGGTCCATCCACAATATGCATTTTCTCCGTCGCGCAAGTTGCCTTCCTGAGATGAATTGGGGCCCTCAGGAGTCGAAGCTGTACAAGATCTTGGCAGGAGATCGATATCGATCCGCGCATCGGAATCGAAACACCAAACTAAGCACTGGCAACTCTAAACTAAGTAATGGCAATCCAACAAGAAGTGCTGGCAATAATAAACTAGGTATTGTGAATACTACAGCACTATTTAGGCCATCCAAGCTTCCTGCCAGACCTTTTATTGGACTGGGTTTGACCTGTTCCGGTCAGGGGCGGGGTGGCTCATGTCCACTGAAAGGAAGATAGGCGGTTCACCCCCCGCTTTTCCGCCTTCGCCTTCCGGAATGCCCCGCTTGAAAAAACCGCCCAAGCGCCTCACTCTCCCCCGTCTCAACGCCCTTTGTGGATGGAGCCGAGACTTGAAGAGGGGAAAATGGTTCGCCGGAGAAATGGTGAATCCTGGATGTTGGTTAAGGAAGTACGGTCATTTGGGGATGGGTCAAAATTAAACCACCAGGGGACCGCAGGTAGTGGTCCATGTTTCCATTTACCAGGTTCTGGGTACATATTTTTGCCCCACAGCCATTTGGCAACCATGCTCTCTGGTTTCGCAGATTGCTTTTGCTTTCGCACGCGTTTCCTTTCGTGAGCAAGCTTCAAGAGTGGAGCGGATTCGCAGAAAGATCGCAGCGATCGCAACCAAAGGGAAACCACCTATTTTGGGGGTCCCCTCTTTGGAGACGGTTGACTCCGGATTAACAATCCCTGGTTGCTTTTGATCGGGAGTGTCCCCACTGTTGGAGGTTTTTTGTTTTTTTTGTTTTTTCCCACGACCGCCATATGAATCGGACCGTTTCTACTTAGATCCGGGGTCGAAAGCAAACCAAGCACCCACCAAAAGGTTTTTTTCGCTTTGGGACCCTCAGGAAAGAGACATGGCTCAAGTCCCACGAGTTGTTTTTTGGGATTTGCCTTGTATCCCCTTGTTTTTCGGGTATCCCCTTTTTGGGTATACCACTTTTTTGGATATCCCCCTAGTTGTCTTGGGTATCCCCTTGTTTTTTGGGTATCCTCTTGTGGCGTCTTTTGGGATGTGTGCTTTAAGGAACCCTGTTGAACCCCTACTTTTAGAGTGTGGAGGGGGTCATGACATATGACATATTTCCCATCGAACGGCAGGAGGGGTCGGAGTGCCCAATGTGCACTGGTACGGGGTGGAAGGGGACTACAACGTCATGGCTCGGCGCCCAGTCATTTGTTTCCCTCCTGTTGTTATGGAACACAAACACGCAACAACGCACACACAAACAAACAAACAAACAAACAAACAAACAAACAAACAAACAAAAAAGCGCAAGCATGCAAGCATGCAAGCATGCAAGCATGCAAGCAAGCAAGCAAGCAAGCAAGCAAGCAAGCAAGCAAGCAAGCAAGCAAGCAAGCAAGCAAGCAAGCAAGCAAGCAAGCAAGCAAGCAAGCAAGCAAGCAAGCAAGCAAGCAAGCAAGCAAGCAAGCAAGCAAGCAAGCAAGCAAGCAAGCAAACAAGAACAGAACAGAACAGAACAGAACAGAACAGAACATAACAGAACAGAACAGAACAGAACAGAACAGAACAAAACAAAACAAAAACAATCAAGCAAGCAAACACCAAAACAAACAATCAACCAACCAAACAAACAAACAAGCAAACAAACAAACAACCGAGCAACCAAACAACCAAACAACCAAACAACCAAACAGCCAAACAAGCAAGCAAGCAAGCAAGCAAGCAAGCGAGCAAGCGAGCAAGCAAGCAAGCAAGCAAGCACACCCACACCCACACACCCACACACACACACACAGACAAACGCACACACACACACACACCCACACACCCACACACCCACACAGCCACACACCCACACACCCACACACCCACGCGCAGACAAACGCACACAAGCACACCCACACATTCACACACCCACACACCCACACACCCACACACCCACACACACACACACAGACAAACGCACACAAACACACACACACACAGACAAAAACATAAAGAAGACACACACACACACACACCCGCACCCGCACCCGCACCTGCGCCTGCACCTGCGCGCGCACGCACACGCACACGCGCACGCACAAACCAACCAAGTTGATTGATCAATACACCAACAAGAAAACACACAGCACAAACCACCACACATACAACATAAAACACACAACACAACACAACACAACACAAAACACAAACACACCACAGAGCGCAGCACACAGCACACACACACACAACACATAACACAGAACACAGAACGCGTAACAGAGAAGACACAGCACACAACAACACAACAGCACAACGCTACAGAACAACAGAACAACAGAACAACACCACAACACCACAACACCACAACACCACAACACCACAACCCAAGCAGGCAAGCAAGCAAGCAAGCAAGCAAGCACGCACGCAAGCAAGCAAGCAAGCTGTCGGTGGGGGGGGGGGGGGGTGGGAAGGGGTGGGCTCTTGGGTGGTTGCTCAGATTGCCATCCACTGATGGTGTCTCAGGATGAGGCTTTGCACTCGGGCGACTTTGATTTGGGTCGGATTCGGACTAGAGCCGTGTATGGTGTCAATCTAATTTTCCCTTGGAGCTTGCCGACATGGACCAGCCACCATCCCGTCCAGCCCAAGCTTCCGGACTGCGAGCTCAGGTCATCGACCTTTTGGGGCCGTCCCTGGAGGACTTGTTTAGCTTCTGCAACCGGAAATTCAGTCTGAAGACCACATTGATGCTGGCCGACCAGATGATCAACAGGCCAGGGAAAGGGCTGTCAGAGCCATGGATGATTCGATCAAGGAGGCACAGGCACCGTGCTTGTTTTTTTTTTTTTTTTTTTGTCTTCTTTTTTCTTCTTCTTGCTCGTTCAGCCATGTTTTTGTCGCCGTTTTGGCTTTTAGTTTAGTTGGGTGCGGTTTCCATTGCGCCAAGATCAATGATGAGCGGGATCACCCGTTCACCCTTTAAACTACTCGATCACCGAGAAAAACACTCACCGTTCCCAGTCATACCCTTAGACTTCAACATGTTTAGAGAGGGGTTTCGTCCCACTAACCTTAAACCTACGGATGAGTGAATCACTAAGATCGGGTTCCGTTCATGCAGCAACTAGCCGCTCAAAACTCGGGGGCTTGGTTAGTTGGAAAAACTGGGCTAACCCTTTTCCCTTCTTGGCTTGGTGTCCCCACTGGCAAATTGGGTTAAGGGGCAGGTTCAAGAGGGACTACGGGATATGTGTTGCATGTGTTTCAAGAGGAGCGAGGGGGATCAAATCCTCAGCCACCAACCAAGCAAATGAAGGGTGACGTCAGTCAATCCATGAAGGCTGGTGGATTGAGAAATGGACGTGTGGTTTCTCCCAAAAGGTACAGCTTTTCCTCTTGAACGTAGGTGTCCTTTTTGGTTGTTTTGGTAGAAACATAGATGGCCCTGGTTTACTCTTGGTTTAATCATCTACCAGGGCCATCTATTTCCCCTAAAAGGACACCTATGCTCTTGAATGAGGGGCCCCCGTCAGAAATGGTCGGACACGAAGAAATGCACCGAGTTCTGTCCACCAAAGGGTCCAACCAGCTACCTCAACTTGGCTCCCAGCCATCCGGTTCCTTGGCTTTTTGGCTTTCAAGCGGTTTAGCAGTTTTTGTTTTCATTTGACCCACTAGCAAAACCAGCTGAAGAACAATGGTCTAAGGGATGGTCAATTGTTACCCGGTTTCGGGGTCAACTACAAATCATTTGATACCTGGTTTAAGAACAAACAAACAATCAGAGGATCCGAGGATAGGCCAGTCGACCAGGGGTTTATTCATTCTGGATGTCCATCTCGGCATGAGCTGCGCCCAAACCCGACTTCTGTTGTCCACCTAGGTAGGTTCTACCTGGCGTAACAGGGATGATAGTAAGGCCGAACTATAACCATTGTAACATTTATGATCAACATCTTCGTAACCACAACCTTTTATAACTGTAAAGTTTTGTCACCATCACCTTTTACCAAAGGTCAATGGGTTTCGGGCTTGCTCGACTGAAGGGTGGAGTACATGCACGCGAAGAACTTCATCCACCGAGACATCAAGCCCGACAACTTCCTCATCGGGCTTGGCAAGAAGGCCAACCAGGTCCACATCATCGACTTTGGCTTGGCCAAGAAGTACAGGCCGGGGACACCGGGGACACCGGGGAAGGCCCCGGAGAAAAAAAAAGAAGAGGGCAAAAAGAAGAAGGAAAAAAAACACCGGGTCCACCTGAAATATGGAATTGCGGGAGGGTGTTGGGTGAGTTTTGGATCCTCCAGAAAATCCGAATATGAGGGGTTTAGAAGATGTCATGATCTGCAGAGTGGACTTTCGCCCCTTGGGTGGGTTCCCCATGCGCTGAGTTTGCCCCACAGAGGGTAAGCCCTTTTTGTACCAGGGTTGCTGGGCAGCTGGGGCATGTTGGGAGTATTGACTCATTCCAGGTAGCTGGGTCTAGGGGGTTGAGTTTCAATGTTGGTGTTCCTTTCCAGGCCAGAGGGTCCCAAGCTTTCCTACAGCCCGCATACCATACTCCATGACGGACTTGGGTTTGCCTCTCAAGGAATTTGTGAGATACTTTTTTGGCAGGTACTCTTCTTTTGCAGGCACAAACAAAGGGGAAGTGGGGTACCTGAAGATTCCCAATTTGCGAAGGCGCCAAACGAAGGGGGCAGTTGCCAGCGCAATTTGCAAGAGCGCCTAAGAGGCACTGCCTGCGCGAAGCTTGCCGCTTGCGGGAGAGTGAGGTATCTCACCTTTCGATCAGCCGCCAACAGCAACAGGTCCTTCCCACCGCGATTTTGAGGCGGGGAGCCAAGGAGCCGGAATTCACATGTGCCCAGGGAGCCCTTCGGAGCCAGGCTCCGTAGTTCGTGTTTTGAAGGCTCAGGTCGCGCGCCTGAAGGCCTGAAGGGCTCAGCCATCGACCCAGTGCCCATCTTGGCCGGCTGACGAAATTTTGTGAAGAGGCGATCTATGGGTCTCATTTTGATAAAGGGGGTTGCCCAGAAGGGAGTCCCCAAGTGGTTGGTTTTCCATCCCCAGTGAAAAGAGGGCCCATTGGACGCCCCTGTACCAAAACGAGATGTGAAATCCTCAGATGCCCTGTGAAGTAGGTAGGGCCTTGTGCAATGCCGTCAGGTTTGAGCTGCAACCCAGAGATGTAAAAAGTTGGGGCACAGCTGTTTGGGGTTGCAAAGAAGATAGGACCTCTCCTCACTGATCCCTGTGGTTCATGTTGCAAAGGGCCATTGTTTTTTTTGGGGTTGGAACATCCTTTTTTCTTCCGTTTCCCCTTCTTTTTTGTTGTTGTTGTTTTTTGTCGAATCCTATTTTTACAGGTGCTTCCCAAGTCGTGGTTGTCTTTTGGTCTACGACCCACATTGCCTCGAGGGCTCCGCTTTGATCCAGGTAGTCTTGGGGGTACGGGGGGCCCCGATGGCTTCAAACCTCCAAGCCTCGTCGAATCGATCGCTGCGAGGGACCCGAAGACGCAGCAGCACATCCCCTACAGAGAGAACAAGGCCCTCACGGGCACGGCGAGGTATGCCAGCGCCCGGCGCTGAGATGCCTTGAGTGGGTCAGGGGTATGACCCGACCTGAAAAGTATATACATGTAGTGTTTTTTTTTTATTCTTTCGTTTTCTTTTTTTTTGGGGTGTGTGTGTGTGTGTCGAATATGGCTGCATGTAGACGATGCTGGCACTTGTTCCGGGTTGGGCCATGAGAAAAACTGCGAGGTGAACACGCACCTGGGCATCGAGCAGAGCCGGCGCGACGACTTGGAAGCGGTTGGCTACGTGCCTTGCCGTGGAAAAAGGGGTCCTTAATGTCCCGGTTGCCCAGTGCCCTCTTATTCCTTTTTTTTGGTTGGGGGGGGAGGGTTGCCCTTTGAAGTCAACCAACCCAAAAAAATGCCCGTTCTTTTTTTCCCCTGGCCACTGGGCATCTGAGGTGGGCAACAAGCCTGGATTAAAATGTGGAAAACAGAAGCTGGCTTAGAGGCAATCAAAACCCGCAACGTAGTGTCGAGTGACTGGGTCCACGGGTCAAGGGTCACCTTGCAATGGCTCCCCTCACAAGGCGAGCGTGGCCCAAAGGGTGAGGCACTTTCTGCGGGGCATAGAGGTACGGAGCAGGCCTCACCTGGCAAAAAACGACAACCACTTGGGAGGCTGCCGCCTTAAGCCCGCCTGGGCCAATTTGGGGCATGTCGCTGGAGGTGACTTTTCGTTAGGCCACCGAGGTGGCCGACCTTAGGAGGGTCGGCCGAGGCCGAGAGAAGTCTTGATGTTTTGAGGGGACAATTCTCATCTCTTTGTCCCAGACTCCCTTGAATTACAAAGTTACAAACGTCGAAACGGAGGTTTTGAAAGCAGACAATTTTCACATGTTGTGGTTGTAAGCGCACAGGGAGAGGCATTTGTTTGTGGTGGGTGTGCCTCCATCTCCGAAAAGCGGGGCTCCATGTGGATTCTTTTGTCGGGCCATTGGCCCGTCCTGGGCTCCGGTCGTTTCGCATCGGGTCTCAAATTTCGGGTCCGAAATTGCTGGAAGGCCCAAGTCTCTGACCAAATTTGGTCACAGGTTGGCAAGCCCAGAGTCAAAGAGTCAACGAGTCAAAGCGTCAAAGGGATGGCGGGAGCCTTTCCTTCGTGGCTTCGGATCCATTGGGCTGAAGGCTCCCACCGATCGAGACCACGACAGCGGGATGGAGCTTTTCCGAGCATCAGGGTCCATTGTCAGAGCTTGGGGCCCAAATCAGTGCAACCTGCAAAAAGCAACTCCTCCAAAGGGCTCCTTTGGCTTGTTTTCCCCGCACCATACTTCTTGTTTTTTTTTGGTTGGTTCAAGCGCTTATGCAACCCAGCTGAACTGCAAATCCCAACAAGGGGGTCCGATTCCCAAAAGTTTCCTCTAGACATGGGTCGGGGTTCCAGGAGAAGACTTGTCGGGGAGGGCCCTCCCACCAAAGAATATGGAACCCGACGTTTCGGGGGGTCCTAGAAGATCATTCCCCCTTTCAACCGCCCGCCCGCCCGCCGCGAGCCGCGAGCGCTGGCCGCGCAGGTGCTCATGTACTTCAACCGCGGCAGCTTGCCTTGGCAAGGTCTGAAGGCGAACTCCAAAAAGGAGCCCCTCGGCACCTGGAAGGGGACAAAGGACCGCGGAGTCGCGAGCGAACGCGAGCAATCGCGACGCTTCCACGGCGAGGCCGCGCGGGGGTGATTTCCCCGTGTTTCTTTCTTCGGTTTTTAAGTGCCATTATGATGTCCGGTTTTGCCCTCATTGCTTGCCAGGTTGGGCGTGATTTGCCTTTATGTGGCCTTTCTTGACCTTTGGCGTTGGACAAGGCTCTTTCACCGATGCGTGATTTTTGGAGGGTACTCTTTTCACCTTGGCTTCAAGAACCTTCAAACATGAAACATCTACCCTCCCAACATTGGTTTGTGCTTCCAGGCTTTGCCCTAGAATGCCTTGCGGTCGTGGACTTGCGCTTTGCATTTGCGACATTTGACAAGTGGTATGTGTCAAAGAAGGGAGATTGCGAGATCCCCAAAGTGGCGCCCCTGCCGGGTTCCGTTGAGGTAAATGGGAAATCACCCCTAGCCTAACCACCCATCACCAAATAGTCAGGTGACCCTAAATGGTTTCAAACCAGCGGGTTCCGACTACTCTCGGCAAAGGACGATGCGTTTTCCGTCTCCGACCGGACCTACTTGTTGGAACCCACTCAACAGGCCAAGTTAGAAGGACCCTGAGAGTTGTGGAGGGGTTTTTACGACAAATCCTACTAGAAGTTGTTCTTTTAGGCCAGTGATCAACAAAGCACCAAGGCAGTACTTGGGTGTACCGACGTGTTAAATCCAAATGACCTAGGTTACCTTCCCTTCTTTAAGCCCCACTGAGGCTAACCAGGTTGCAGGTGGATATGAATTTCAATAGTTTCGTGGGTATCCTTTTCAGGTTGGTTTAAGGGAGACCAAAAAGAATACCGCCATTCTCGGGGTCCGATTTTGACGCAAAAGGTGAAGATCCAAGTTTTCTGACAGAGTGGAGCTGAGGGTTTTGTCCGAGGAAGTACGAGAAGATCATGGAGAAGAAGATGTCCACGCCCATCGAGGCCGGTGGTTTCCCATTTGCCCTCGAAAGAGAAGGGCTTAAATCCCCAAACCACCAATCCAAACAACCAACTATGAATTCTACCACATGGGGGTGTCTTTTTTTGAAGCTACCTGTTCTGGGGGTTGTTTTGAAGGGACGCCAAAGAGAAACCTTCTTATTTGGGGGGGGTCCTTCTGAAACGAGCATCGGTTGGAGCATGTCTATCTAAGAGGGTGTCCACTACCCCAAACCACCCGCAGGGCAAAATGGATGTGTAAATATATACGTATACAATATATTTGTAATATATATATATATATATATAATTTTATATAATATACATATATACAATATATATATATATATGTAATATATATATATAATTTTATATAATATACATATATACAACATATATATATATATGTAATACATAAGTATGTGTTTATTTACATTCTATCTTGTGGTTGTAGCCGAACCTCTGAGCATGGGGAACTATTGGTAAAACCAGAAGGTAGAAAAACCTGGAAATTGGCCCCGGATTCAGAACTCCTTGACTTTGACCCGGGAGGTAACCCTTACAGCTCTGATGTAACAGGCGATTTTCGAAGGCGACTTCTCGACTGATTTTTTGAGACCCGGGCGAGACACAAAGCCGAGGTGCTGTGCAAGCACTTCCCCTGTGAATTCGCCCGGAGGCCCAGACATGGTCTCCGAGCCCATTTTGTTTTGAACCTCCAGTGGTGTTTGTTGCAAGGTTGGTCGCTGCTGGTGGCTTACCCGTCAGGGTTTCGAGCCTCAAGACATCACGGGTAGACAATCGGTCGAAGGTTTTCCCTTTGCCGACGTGTGTGTGTGTGTGTGTGTGTGCGCGCGCCTGTGTGCGTGTGTGTGTGTGTGTGTGTGTGTTGCCTTGGGGAACCCAACGAGTGTTGGGGTTGCTTTAACCGGAAACCACAGTTTTGGCTTCTGCGTTTTGTTGGGTGCTGGTTGGGGTTCCTTTAAATGGACACCAGTGGATCGGCGGCGTTTTCGGGTTCCGGGTTTGGGTTCCTTTGGGGGTTGTTGGGGATGCGGACATCCAAACCCTTCTAGGAAGCCAGCGACACGTTGAAACATCAACGAATCAGCTGGTTGCTTGATGGGCGTTTGGGCCAATTGGCTGTATTTAGGGGTCCAATCGGGGCTTGGTATGCGGAGTTGCCAACTTGGGGGTGTCAAAAGGACATCTTTTCTCGTTCGGAACTCCCCAGATTGTTAGAAAGTCGCTACAGGACATTCAGGAAACCCAACAGGTTTGGTGGGTATTTGGCGAGTTTCCGCTGGTTTCTCTGACAGATTCCATTGTGACCGGGACCCGCCTTCAGTCATTAAAACCTCCGCGTCCGAGCGGCCGAGCGGCCGAGCCGAGGCCACGTACCTGAACTACTGCCGGAGCCTGCGCTTCGAAGACCGCCCTGACTACGCCTACTTGCGGCGATTGCTGAAGGACCTCTTTTTCAGAGAGGGCTACCAGCAACTCGGAAAGGAAAGAGGGAATTGGACCCCGCCAAATGAGAGGCTCGGGTTTCGACATTTCCTGGTCCTTTTGGTTTTGGGGGGGTTTTGGGCTCAAAGGACCTGTTCGGCGGCCTGTTGGCCTGGCCCTTGATGGAGTTCCAAGTGGCAAAGAGTTCGAGATCCACACCCACTTAAAAATGGAACTGGGCGAGGGTTTTGGGCGACCCCCCTGGAACTCCATTTCTGGTTCCAGTTCCCAGTATATCCGGCATACTAGATGAGTGAAATTGGGGACCAGAGCTAAAGCTTCTCGAGATTTCGCCGAGCTTTTGACGACTTGAATTCCCATATTCAGAGGCTCCCTAGGGGATTTATCTACACTTGGGGTTCCACTTGCTTGTTTTTGTTTCCTTTTGCTTTTTTTTTTTCAAACAGAGTCCACAGTGTGACCGCTCGGGGCGCCCTTTCCAGCCCGAATGGCCAAGGTACGACTTCGTGTTTGATTGGACCATCCTGCTGCTCGGCGAGCGACAGTTGAACGGCTGACCGTCCTTCATGGATCTTGTCTGTTTGTCTGCCTGCTGTCCTTCTTTTTCTTTTTTCTTGCTTTCTTGCTTTCTTGCTTTCTTGATTTCTTGCTTTCTTTCTTTCTTTCTTTCTTTCTTTCTTTCTTTCTTTCTTTCTTTCTTTGCTTCCTTGTTTGCTTGTTTGCTTGTTTGCTTGTGTTTTTTTTTTGGTTTTGCCTTGCTTGCTTGCTTGCTTGCTTCTTTGTGTGTTGGAGAAACAGGCCATTTTGCCACAGGGGCGTCGCCATGTCTGCACCCCCGGCCTCCGAAGGGTGAAATCAAGTCGCAAGAAGCCCGGAACCACGTGGATGGTTGCGAGTCCGCGAGTATGATGCAACCATGGGAATGAGACCAACGGTTTCTTACGGTATTTGCGTTGGGGGATCGAACCCTTCCGTCGGGCTCTGAAAGGCGCGACATGGATTTCGCGTCCACCCGCTGTATGGCGGTGTCTTTTTCTGGGGATTTGTCACGAAGGGGACAACTCCCCTCATAGGACGGGTTTATTCATCCGGGACCCCGGATTGATTTTGATCACTTGGCTGGTGCGATGGGTACGGAATGGCAACGAGCCCGGGTGTTGGGAACGAACCGGTTTTGGTTCCCGAAGAAAGGAAGCCACGTTGGATGGTTTCGAGGGGTCATTCCGTCATTGACTGCTGAGCTTCAGCAATGACGGACTATGTTCTTGTAAATATCAACACACGTTATGGTTTCAACCATGGCTTCAGAAACTGTGCGAAGGGATGTCGCAACCATCCACAGCACGGGCTCCAGCCCTCGACCCCCAGGAACTACCAGTCCAAAGACGGTGCCTCCACCCGGCGCCGCGAGGCAGGTCGGGAGGGGAGGAGTGGAAATCGCGATGAGAATTTGCCGCAGTCGGGTGGCTCGACGGTTGTTTGGAGGTAGCCTTTTTGGAGTTGGTTGAAAGGGAAACCATCAGTCTGACGGAACCCTGTTCTAAGACCAGTGGAAAACAATCAAGTTTCACGTTCTGGCCCATCCATTTGGTTCAACTGAGGCACTCGCTTGGCGTTCTCTGCACCCATCGGTTTCTCAGTAGAGAAACCAGATTTTCCGAGTTTGACTTTTTTTTTGAAGAGAAGGATCCCGGGAATGGAAATGGATCATTTGGGAGGGAGGAGAACTCACGAAATGTCAACCAACACCAGGGGCCTCGCTTATCTTTGCATGCCACGGGGAAGCAAGCAATTCTAACAACAGCTACAATGCGCAAATGCGGAGGGGGCAAAAAACTCCGGGCTTTTGGTGCTCAACTTTCAAGTCCCCCTTTGGAGCCGTTTCAGATTTCGCACCCGCAGAACCAGCATTACACCAGGGTCCAACTTGGGCGGAATGCATTGGGTTCATTCCCAAAGCCCCGATGATGGTCCGAAGTGGACAGTTGCTTCGTGGGGCCCGCAGGGCTCCTTAAAAGATACGCTTTGCCCAGTTGAAACGCGGTTTTTGTCCACCCAAAACAAAGGGACACCACCATTTGCAAGGCGATGTTCAGGTGTATGTCAGGATCCCTGTGGAGAACCTCCAAGCAACCAAACAACCACCATCTTGTCTTTGATCTCTCTACCATCTTCAGTTGATGCTCTTTGTTTGGTGGGTTCTCCACTAAGCGTACTAGTAGCCAACAAGAACTGGTTCTGATCCTCTGCATTTCAGCGGCTGCATTTGGGCGAATCGTGGCAAAGCATGTCTTGGGGGTGTCTCAAAGGGGTGCTCCGAAGAACACCCACTCAAGGGAAGTGGGGTGTGTGTGTGTAGACACCCAACACTCTCTTGTCACGGCTGGGGGGATTTCAGGAAAGCCCATTGGTGGGTGGGTGAGTGGGTGGGTGGGTGAGTGGGGGTGGGGAGGGTGAGTGTTGGTGGGGAGGGCACGGTGGACTACAACTTGTTCTACTTGCCAATGGTGTAGAGCGCTGCCGTAAACCCACGGCAACCCTTCGAAGGACGGCGGTAACGATCCCATGTCCAGAATCCCAGAAACCAGAAAACCGCCAAGCACAATGAAAACGCACCCGGTGCGACGTGACATGGTGACAATGACCCTCTCAAAGCTTCCAGATACCAAGACCATTTCTGGATTGCTATTGAGTTGGATCTTTAGACTTTAACTTTTGGGTTGAAACAGAGTTGTTTGCAGAGGGGTCAGCAGCAGCAAAGATGTTAGTGCCACACTTTTTCTTTATTTTTGAGGCCATCCACTCGATCGGAAGTGTGCGCAAAACAATAACCCCCGTGTGATGTTTGGGAATCTGCTCACAGCCCAGGATGAGGAAGGCGGCGACTAGGGTGCCGCGGGCCACACGTATTTGCCCGTGAGCGCAGTGAGTAGTGCGAGCTTCTGGTTAAAAAAATCATGTTTTCAACAATCAAGGAAGTGGACAGGAGGGTTTAGGAAGACTTATGTATTGAAAAGGCCCCTTGTCCTCTTCCATGTTTGTTGGGGGTAGGAGCGTTCAGCTTGCCCTGAATTAGTGGTTTCGGTTGGCGGTTCGGAGGCGGGGTGGTAAAACACAAAAAGCAAAGCAAGGTCCTCAAACCGCCCATCCAAACCACCAATTAGGGGTTACCAGATGGGGCTGCTCGACAGGATGGTTGCACAGGCTGGATCATTTGATTGTTTGATTGAGTTGCAGACAGTTACTCGCTGTGCGCTACGGTCATCCAGTCACTAGGATATGCCTTCCGCATGGTTCTGCAAGCCGACGCCCGGATGGGACAGACGTCCGGTCTCCATATTCGTGAGGTCCGGGATTGTCTACTTGGACGACCACGGGTCCCGCGTCTAAGTGGTGAATTTCCCCGGCGCGTTTTGACGGGCTCCAATAAAGAGGTTGCTTGAGCCAAAGGGCAATCATGCGTTTTTCGCAGCTGAAAGGAAGCCCTGTTCTGGGCAAAATGTTTGCGACGTCACCCATGAAGGTTCCTCTCGTAGGTTCCCCTTTGGCCCCTGATGCTCATCTTGACTTTTTTTTTGGACCGCCCAGGCTGGAGCGTTTGAGAGAAGGGACCGTAGTCTATGCCGTAGGTGCGGATCGACCCTGGAAAAGATCCGGCTGGCGACCGAGGAGATGATCAGCGCGGAATCTCGAACGCGCTGAGGAACTTTCTCGGAGCAGAGTGAATGAGGATCAAGGGCGGCAAGGAAAAGCGCCCGGGAGAAGGGCAAGTTCAGCAGGTCCTGCTCCAGGTGTGAGACGCGCGGGCAAGGATCCAGAGGCGGCGGGGCTCAAGCGAGCTGCTGTGGGACGTGCGTCCTGCGCTTAAGAAGCAACAGCTGTTTGGAAGCGCAGCTGCGAGGCGGGTCAGTCGGAGGCGGATGCGTGGATATGTTTAGCTGGCCAGGCAGGACTGTGCGCCAACCGTGAGATGGTGATCGCTCTTGTCAAGAACTTGGAGGAGGCTGCAGAGGAGACGCGGTAGAGCACCAACCAGGAGAATCACTGACGGAGATGCAGTGGAAGGGCACGGATGATCAGTGGCAAGCGGCCTTCAAGGACCGATCCTGAACGGCATCCAGGTCTTCTTCGACCGCAACTCTCTGGGAGGTCGTTGCCGTGATGCAGCGGTCGGTGGGCCCGTCACAATTCGTGTTCGCAGGCGGGCGGTGGCATGAAAGGCGCGGACATCCCGCAACGGCACCTACGCCAAGCTTGATGGAACGAAACTTGCTCAAAATTTGTAGAGCCAGACTACGTCCAGGACCGCCATCCAGGCTTTGAGTCACCGAAGAAAGGGCGTGTGGCTGTGGTTAATGAGCGCCACACGGATGGCGCACGGTCACGAGGCATGCGCAGTGGGAGCCTGGAGTTCGAGTGCAGCATGGCGCACTTGCTGGCGTGAATTGGGCAGCTTGGCAGAGACGCTATGATTTGCTTTGAGCCGCAGCACGCTCACATCAAGACCGGCCCATGGAAAAGTGCGGCGATGGGCACGTTCAGCCTTATGGTCTTGAGCCTGTGAGCCCAGTAACATGTTAGAACCCATTCAACGGGTCACTCCAACTGGAGATACCGTGCCGGACGTGGGAAGGTCGTCCAATGCCGGCCATATTGTGGCGATTTGCCCGGAGGGGCACGCGCTAGGAAGTCACGAAACATCCGTCCGCAACTTTGGCTTTTCCATTCAAACACCATGCAACGGCTCTCTCCCGGACATGTTAGCCCATTCTAATTAGTGGTCAACAAAGAGCGCAGATTTGTCTGGCCAATCGATTCAGGGGTCCCCCCCGCTTTTGAACGGCTCAGAACCTGGGACAAGTTGCGAGCTGGGCAAGTCGAGCTGAACAGGAGAGCCTGTTTCAACAAACGCAGGCCAAGAGTGCCATCTCACCCACATAAAATCAACATAAGATTTAATACGGGGATGGCCATAATCCGCGGAACTCTCACGTAGACTTCCGTTGTTTGAATTTTTGGAATTTTTGTGCAAGATTCAGATTGGAAGGTATCGGCAGGTCGGTGACTGCAGATGTGGGGATGTTTTTTGGGGGGATCCCCCACCCGAAATTGTGGTTGTCCTTTCATTCATTTCCCTTGAAAAATCACTGGTAACAAAACCTCGCAAAACGACAGGCCCATGTGTTTTTTTGCATAAGAATTGCAAAGCCGATCAATTTCGGGAACGGCAGTGACTTCCAGCAATCCCGCAGAGACCTCCAGCTGCGGCTGGCTGATCATTGGATCCTCCTTCGCATCGGGGGGGAACACGTCTTTGGGTCTGTGTCAAAGTGCTCGTAGCCCAAAAGATTTCGTCAAACCCTGGTGAGGCAGTTCATTGCAGCGGGCTGTACTTACTGTCTGGGGGTTTAGGCGATCGTTCCCACATGGAACCTCACATGAAGTTTGTGGGCATTCTGTTTGGTGTGGGGGAGGTGCGGCGGTGAAGTACCGCTTGTATTAGGCGGTATACACTGCCTTGGGACCATGCCCCTTCTGGTTGCGGTACATGTCATTTTCGCCACACCTACAAAATGCCTGAATGAGTCACCACCAAAACCGAATCGGGGTTTTCCGAGCTCTTGACACGCCCCGTGTGGTGAAATTCGCCTCATTCTGTCTCCCCCGCTCACGCCGCGGCGCTCGTCTCATCTCGATTGGCTCTGACTGATCCAGCGAGACAAAAAACATGTCACTTCATTTCACGCGCCGGTACTGACTCAGAGCTGCAGCGCAAGTGAGTGCAAGTGACTACTCCAGCAACATGGAACCCACCAGAGGGTGGCTGTTAAAACCAATTTGGAAAAACCTTCGTCCAGGACCCCTGAGTCAGGTTCCATGGCAAAGTGGGATGTGTTTTTTTGTTTTTGCGGGGGCTTTACGGGGTACCATGCGGGTTTGATTCTGATTCAGAGTGCTGTTTTTGTGGCTCATCGGCTACCTTGACCATGCGATGGCTGACGGGTAGGGAGGGTTGACTTCTGTTGGCAGCGTTGCCTTTCCAAGTGAGGCTCGGAGTTACCCATGCCGCTGGAACGGGGACTTAGCGGAGGTTTTCATCGCTAGTGGTGACTAGGCCAGGGTCCCCGACTTGTGTTCATGGAGAGTGCAGCTCGTGTCGTCAGATTTTCTTGAAGCAACGCCAAGTAATCAACAAAGTTGCACAGGCCTGGTATAGTCTGAGTCGTAGCCTATGGCCGATGGTTCACCTGGGGACAAGCTTCTTTTGGGGACGGAACCCTCCCGATCTCGCGAGATCGATCGGGCCCGATCGGGGGGTTTGTGCACCAGGGAAAGAAGATTTGGTTGGGTTCGGTGCTCTTCTTAGTTTAGTTTGGTTCGAAATAGGTTGTCCCCTAAAAACAGGGGCGGCACAAGGTGGCACAGGGGCCAAACAGGTGCCATCTTTTTAACCCCCCCCGTCCCCCGTCCCTTTCAAGGGGACCATTCCCACCATTCCCATTTGTTCTGGGCCAACCAGGTGTCACTTTTAACCCGCCGACCCTTTCCTGTGGGTATGGGTCAAAATGAACCACCAGGAAACCGCAGGTGTTAATCCTTGGTTCCATTTATCAGGGTTTCATTTTGGGGTTACCCTATTTTTGGCCCACACCCCCCTCATCTGGATACCATGTGGAGGGGAACATTCACACCATTCCCATTTGTTCTGGTGTCGTTTTTACCCCCACCCCCCCCACCCCCAATCTCCAACCTTGTGTCGACACATCCAAGTCAGCCCTTGGAGTGAGCTCTTCGCCGCGGAACTGGGCTCGAGTCGAGCGAGCGCCGCGCGTTTTCGGACTTCCCGCTGCCTCCAACGGCCCAGCAGGACACCTCCTTCCCCGTTCCCACCCCGGACCTCGTTTAGATTCTGCGGCTGCACGAAATCCATTCCGCACCACCTAAGAATCCCTAGAATGGTGCTTCCCCTATAAATACCGCCAAACAGTGAAATCTCATGGTTTCAAAGTGGTGCAGAATTTCGTCCATCCACAGTAGGCGTGTCTCGAGGGTGGCCTTGGGGTTGGTTTAGAGAGAAACCTAAAAGGAAACTGCCTTTTTGGAGGGTTGCCCCACTTCGAGACCCCGTTTATGGTCCCTCCACAGGGCTGGCTCTGATTCATGTCCAAAGCAATAGTGTTTGGGGGTGACATGTTGAGTCATCGACGTTTTCTCGAGAGATCTCGAGATCTCGGTGTGTCTCAAGCGCCGACGGACCGAGTCCAAACGACGGAGTCCTTGCGCAATTTCCCCGCCCCCCCAAACTTGTTTCGAGGGCGGGTCGAATTGCCAGAGGACTTGGAGTCTCAAAGTGCCTTGGGCTTTGCTTAAGGAGACCTGGCAGGTGTCCTTCCAGGTTTCTGGGGCTGGGGGGCTGGTTTGATGGGCATTTGGACTGGCGCTGGCGGGTTTAGGGAATCCGGACTGTGGGGCCCAACTTCCATGAATCCCACTATCCCCTTGTCACTCTACATAGATATGGGGTCCGTTTCTCCCCTCCATCGGCCATGGGCAAAACTGGGACACCCTTTGTTGATCAACTTCTGTTTGCCGAGTATGATCTATTTTCCCTCGTCGGTTTAGGACATCTATCACTGGACAGATCTTTCTCCCGCAAACTTAAGAATCTGCAAGTCCTTGGATCTTCTCGAGAGGATGGCGTTGTACCGGGCCCTCAGCAAGTCCTTGCTGCGCACCATGGCCGCGGAGCGCGCCGTGGTGCCCTGGTGCGGTGCTTAGCGGGCGCCCAGCGGGGCCGGCGCTGAGCGGGGCCAGGGTGCTTAGTAAGTGGGTCGTAAGCCTTGTTATTGAAACCCACTTTGGAGACTTATAACCATGGACAGTGGGTCATAACCATTTTTTATTACCTTCCATTTGCTTAAGATAATTTTATTCATATATATATATGTATTTCCCCTGTTGATTTGAAAGGGAATCTATTGCTACTTGACTTTTTTCCAGGGGACTTAAGCAAATGGATGTTACCCACTTGTGAAGTAGCGATGGACAAGCGATTTGTTAGGGTCACAGGCCCCTTCTTGGCCCTGATGAACGGGGTATGACCACTTCATTTGGTTTCGAAGTGACTCAGTTCCAAATGTCTGAAAATTTGCCTGGCGGAGAAAAGCGGGGAGAGAGGTGGTGAGAACGATGGTTGAAACAAATGTTTGGAAGCAACCCCTAGACCATGGTCTGTTGAGGTTCTTTCGTGTTTCGGCACTAAATTGGAGTCCTCCTGGTTCGCACTCGCATAGGGATCCTGAATATAATTTTCGAATGAGGGGATTGACGTCACCAACCTTTAACAAAAAGGTTTGGGGCTGCCAACACTGCGATCCCCAACCTCACCCCGTAATACGCCGCCTGTACAATCCAACGAAGTCCACATTGTTTTCAGATTGTATCTCAAAAAATGCCCAAGAAACATGGGTGTTAGGGTTTGCAGGCCAATTGTGGGCCTGATCTGTCGTGGGAGCGCAGATAGCCAGGATGATATAAGCGGCGAACTGATTAAAGACAAAACCGATTCTTCTATGCGCTTTGGTACCCCTCATCCCCATGGTGATTCCTTTTTGGCCCGTCGAGTTGGCAATGGCAATTGGCAATGTGCGTTTCGGTTGGGTTCCGGTGGATAAGATCCGCGGATCTCCATGAGTCTCTGAGACCATTTGAGGACACCTGAAACACCCACAAGGATCCCTTCTGCCAGGACAAGTCATATGGATGGACAAAATCCATTTCGCAGCATCTGAGAAGCCTAAGGGTTTCAACCATGGCATGGGGGCTCCACCAATGGTCCCCTCTTCTTGGACCCATGGCCCATGTGCATTTCCGCAAACAAGTTTTGCCCGTGGCTAGGAAGCATTCGCTGTCTGAGCACCCGAGGTACCACCAGGAGGTGACGCTCTCCCCTTTCGAGCAGTTTTGCAAGGCGGATTCGGGTGCGCGGTGTGCCTTTGTCAGCCCCGTTCTGAAATAACTGCTTAAAGGGACAGGGTACTTAGTTAGTGGTTAGTAAGCCAAGTTATAACCCATTTAGGAGACTTATAGAGACTTATAACCATCATAAGTAGGTTATAACCAAGCATATCAACCACTTGCATGCTAAGCTCAATGCCCCTTCAAGAGGGGCCTCCGAAATTTACTTCAGTGCTTGAAGGCTGACGCGATGATCCAGAATCTGAACATACTCTTTTTGATGTACCTAGGGGTTGGGCCCTAGGATCATGCAGCCAAGCGCCCAACAGACCAGAGGCTGGTCATGCAATCCAGGCTCTTGTCGAGTGGACTTTTCTCTGCAAGAGCTCCAGCATGGCGGACATACATCCCTTCATTTAGATCGTGCTTACACATGCTGTGGATGGGCGAAATCCATTTCGCGCCACTTTCAAACCATGGGAAGCCGTTGCTTGTGGGTATTTACAGGGGAATCGTATCATTCCGTTGGGTTCCTAGGTGTTGCGAAATGGATTTTGTCCACTTCAGATCCGAGCTCCGATCTCCCGCCTTGGGGTGCCCCGAAGTGAGCTGATCTCGCCTCATCCGTCGCCTCGACAGGTTTTCGGACGCGCGTGTTGTTTTTAAGAATTCGACTCGAGGCAAACATCTACCCGGTCTGGTTCAAGTACGTGAAGGGACCCTATGAGCGCTACCAGCCCGGGCCTCTGACTTCGGCTTGACCGGACAGGGGTCGGGTTTTTTTCAAGCGCTACCCTCCGGGTATGCTAATTTGGGGAGTGGTGGTTTGTTGGGGTTGGCAAAAGACGCTTGTCCGTGGCACTGAGGGAATCAGAAGCTGTCAGAGAAGCCTTCTGTGTCACTTCCAAGAACGGGTCACCAGGTTGTTTTGCAAAAAGTTTCCCCTGGCGAAACGCCAAGAGGGGACCAAGGATTTGAGTTGTGGGTCAAAAGTTGTTATTCCTTTCCGAGGGTCGAAAGCATTTCCGAATTCGGAATTGAATAGGGAACCTCCACATTTCTGGATGGATGCAAGAAAAGAGAATGGTGACCCGGCTCGTTTTTCAGCGGTTTCCCCTGAAAACCGCTCGGTCGATCGGGTACCCTTGGTTTGACCACATCCCAGTGCCTTCATATCAGGGGTGTTTCGATTGAAGCTATTTTTGCTCTGCCGCCCTCTTCCGGGAATGCGAGCCGGGCGAGCCGCCCGAGAGCGGACTCGAACACCCGAGGTACGAGCACATGATCGCCGAGCTCCGCGGCCTGGGGCTCATGCAGGCGGGAAGGTATGGAGCGAGCCGTATGGAGCGAGGGAAGCGCCCAAAGGTGGCCGTGGTTATCAACACCGGTTTGGGGGTCCCATTTTGGTTGGGATTGGAGAATTCACTCCCATTTTTGAACCGGGAGTTTAGTGGTTGGATTGAATCGGATGTTCACTGGGGGTATGGGGTTTTGACCCATGGCCAAGTGGCGATCGGTTTCAAGGGAAGCCATCAGTCGGCACCCTCCACATGCTGCTCCTGTGGTGGTTTCGCTTGGCTAAAAGCCACACTCTTGAAGCATTTTTGGAACTACGTGGCACCGATTCCCATGTTTTGTCGGAGTTTCTCAGGGTTTACCTTGTGGGTCTGCTGTATAAGCCAACCCTTGGAGGCCCCGTGCAAGCCGGCGACACTAGGCAAAGCAATGTGGCAGTGTGTCAAGTCCAGAGACCCCTCCGAATGGGTTTCATGTCGGTGCTTTAACAGCTTCCCTCGAGAGGGAAAATCCGATCCCAGTTAGAGGCGCACACACACACACACATCCTGTTGACTTGATTGCAATTGGGTTGGACTTTTAGACTTTAACTTCTTGGGAGTCCAAGGGTTTTCCATTAAGCCACAAGTTAAGCTTTTTGCAGAGGGGTCAACAGCAACCAAGTTGAAAACAACTTGGCAACTTGCCAACGGATTACATGTTCCATTTCTGCTGACAACGGTTTTTGGTAGTGAAAGGCATGATTTGCAACTTGCGAGAAGTTGTGAGTCGTTACGTTCCGTCTTCGTCAAAACTGTTCTATAATTCGCAGGGTAAATAGCCACTATATGTTCTTTTGTTTCTTTTTTTTTAATTTGTTTTACCCGCAGGGACACCAACAGATGATGGGTAGCTTTTTCCATTTTTCCCGAGGCCCTATTTAGCACCCAATTAGGTTAGACTACGTATGACACAGAATCAGAACATCTTGTTCTCAGTGTAGCCCTTGTTTGCGGGCCAAAGATCAGTGGCTTTCAGCATCCAAGACTCCAAGGGCTCATGACCTCCACATCTGAGGATGTGCGATGCATGTTTTCGTTTGACATTGACTCAGCTTCCGGACGTCAATTTGCCAGTGCGAGCGCTTTGAGTTGTGCTCGGGTTTAGACAAGACATCCAAGGTGTGCCTTCTGACCAAAAGAGAGTCGCCTTTGTGTGACTATAGTCAACATTTCATTTGGGTGGGTTTCAACGGGAAAGCAAGAGAACCACCACCATTTCGGGGTTCCTTTTAATTTTTCTCCACATTCCCGTTTGTTGCATTGGTGCCAGTCTTGGGAAGGTATCGGCTGTGCCAAGTTAGCTATTGGAAGTGGCTTTGCCAATATAGCAGAAGGCCCAAAGATTGTCAATACCCTATGGCCAGGACACAATGTCATGATCCACACTGGTAGAACCAGCTGTCATTGCATTTTGGGCGCTGGCTTCAACTCACGGGTTCGGGACCCAGTGGGGTCGACCCCAAAAAGGGTCGCCTCTTTCGGGTCACTGGGAAACCGAGGGCAACCCCACCCCAGGAAGCAACGCCGATAGCCGATCCCTGAATGCAGGACGACCAGCTCAATGACAAGGACCGCGGAAGTCTTCACTCTGAAGAGGTTTGAAACTGGGAGCCGAAACCTTGCGGTGGATGCCCGAAATAAGTAGAACAACCGCACACCGCGGCAAGTGAAGGGGGGCGTTTGTTCTTGTTCCCTGGCAATTTCTCCAAAAGCTGAAAACAGATCGCCAGGAGCCGGTGGTGGAGCGTGCCCTGGAGTTGCTGCCCCATGACCTCGTCATGGGACGCTACCGCCGCATGATGAGGGCCGGGGACCCCGAAAGAGGCGGAGGAAAGAGACGGATCACAGCCAGGTTGGGGAAACACCGCGCCCAAAACCGATTCCTATTGGACGTTGCTTCTTGTTCAAGTTTAGATTCTAGATTCTACTATTTTCTTATGGTGCTTAAGGTACAGCTATACTGGTAGAAGCAAGAGTCAAGATGTGGGTGCTCGCGTGGGCGGGAGGCTGAACCTTTCTCATTTTCTCGGGGAGCGAGTCACCTTTGGCTCCTGCTGCAGGGTCGTGCTTAGCCGGATTTTTTTTGGGAGCTCTTTCTTTCCCTTTTCGCGGAGCGAAAAGTCAAGGCCTTGGGGTCTTGTTTGGCGGAAACCGGGGCTTTTGGGCTGCGGGGATTGGAGTTGGACTGAAGGAGGAATGGCCAGCTTGAGATTCGGATTCCGTGGTCATGCGAAGTGGCGCAGTGTACTGTGGATGGTTGCGAAACCCATTTGGCACCAACTTTTCAGAAACCCAACGGAATGATGCAATTCCCCTCTGTAAATACCCGCATTCGTTCTGGGTTCAACCATGAATTCTTAGGCGCGAAATGGAGTTTGTCTATTTACAGTACCACAGATGTCAACCAATTTTCCCACAACCACTGTTTTCTTTCTCCCCGTGGCCGGGAGTATTCAGCACGCACCCGACCGGGGTCCCTACTTGGCGTCGCTGGCACTCGACACGAGGCCCAGGAGATGATGGCCAAGAAGCTGCACCTGCCACTGGAAGAGCAGCCGGGGCCCTCAAATGCAAAGCCGCAAGCGGCCTGGGGGGGTATAGGCCACCTGGATTTCCAGTGGCCGTGTTTTTTTTTCCATGCACCAGCACCCCAAGAACCAGCAACAGTGACTAAAAAACCGGCAACTTGGCTATCTAGGCATGCCGAGTTGGGAGAAGGGGACCCCGGAACGAGTGGACATGATTTCGGTGGGGATAAAGGCGTCCGCCAATCACTTTTTAGAGGCTTTCCCAAAAACACTCATGACGCAACAAGGGCTCCAGAGATTCGGTATGGTTCTTCGGGGCTGCAGGAACCACCAACAGCAGATTTCGGTTTTGGCCCACGAGTCTCTCGTGCGTCACTGAGAATCGACTGCCAAAATTGCATTTGAGCACGGTTGTGGGAATGCGGGCTTGCGTTACCCCATATACGAATTGGGAGTTGTCAGGTTTGGCATGGGAAAACACATCTCCCATTTCGGAAGGTGTCGAAATAGTCATCCCCGAAAAAATATAACTCCCTAGATTTTCCCAGTGCTTGCAGCCACTGACCAGGGCTTTTTGCATCCAGGTTTATTCTGGTTTCCTATTCTTCCAGTGGTAGCTGGAAGTACTGGGCTAGCTTTCCACGTCCATTTACCTCATCCTGACGCGTGAGACGGGCCGTCTCAAGGGTCCACAACTGGTCAACTTGGGAGGAACAGAAGGGAACTTGTTAAACTTTTCGCGGGAAACAAGGGGACACCTGAAGCGAAGCGTCCAATGTGCGAAATCGGCTCACATGGGAATTCGGGGCCACGGATTGGTCGAGGGGGTCCGCCACCGAACAATGGTGCATTCCTGGGGGGTTCCATGTTGCAATACTTGGGGAAACAGCTTTGGCGTCGTTTGGAAGTCTGCTCATTTGCCGGACAGCAGTTGCTGTTGCACAGAAGAAAAAAACCTTGGTGTGAGTTCTAAATGGGGTCCCAGGATGAACATCTCCTTTTGGATTGATTTATGCCCTCCGGGCCGTTTTGAGGGTCAGCATTCATCATCTGATCGGCGCTTGCGAGGAACTACGACCCCATGATCCCTTACATGGCAGCGGCCTCAGGTGGGTCCCGATTTGGACGGCCTACCAAGTAGCAGGATTTAGGAGCAGAGTGTGGGGGCTTTCACTCCATTAGGTCTCTACTATCAACATGGAACTGCCAGAGGACCCCATTTGGAAGGAGAAACACGTGTTCCAGGAAGGTCACTACCATTTAGCCCCCCTGTAGCATAGAACCCACCAGAGGATCCAGGTTCGAATGTGGACAGGAGGGTACTAGTACTCTGCTTATTTCCCATGGTCTTCTTTGGGGCCCCAAAAGTAGGGACCATCCCAAAGGCACCCCCAAAAGTAGGGAACCCTTTTTATTCCACTATCATTTACTTTTCAATATAGCAGGGCTAAATCAAATCAGCATGCGCTTGTGAAAATCCAGACCTTCGTCAGTCGAAAAATGTCCGATTGTACCAAGGCGCCTTTCATTGAGGAGGCCAAGTTCCAGCTGCAGGAGGAGCAGGAGTTGCTGCAGCCACTTGCCTTCACTCGACAGGTCCTGAAGAAAAGGGATGCGAGCTGGGGCACGTCGAGAAATAGCCTAAATAGCAGCTGATTGAGCGGGTTCTTAGTTGACCCCGGATGAATCAACCCCTGTTCGTGAATATGGGGGGGTGGAGGCCCCTCAAGTGATGAGTCCCCATCAAGCCCAGGGGCACCCCTCTAACAATATACTGACTGATCTGGGGGTCAACATGAACTCGACGGTTCTGAAAAAGGATCCCAAATACCAGGTGATTTAGAGGGCTTCCACGTCTAATCAAGTGTTTTTGGATGTATCCTCGAAGACACCCTCGAACATCATGTAACATTCTGTAGGATCTCTTTTGAACTTGTTTTGCCTTTTAAGCTTCGCCACGTACGGACCGGAACCCTGAATTGTTTTGGGAGGGGGTGGTTCATATATTTTTTGAAAAAAAACATGTTTTCGTATCCCACAACATTCGAACTGTTTAGGGTGTACCCTGAAGCAAACGCCTTGTACGAGGGCTGCGACACCTCTTTCCCTGAAGCAAACGCCACGTTGATCCCACCGAGTGATCTGAAACTCGATCCCAGTGACCGCGTGGTTCAGAGAATCGCAGAAAGGTTTTCAGAACCCGCGAAAAGGAACCCTTCCACGAACCGTCCAGCAACCCTTCTCTTTCAAGAAGGTTCTGACCACCCCTCTGGCGGGTGTGTGTGTGTGTGTGCTTTGTTTTCGCCCCTGCTATTTTGCGCTGCTAAATGGAATCACAAGGAGAGATACGGATGTGTCTTAATTCGCGGGTACTGTTTTTGGCGCTGTTTCAAAGGGACAACTCCCGAGAAGCCACTCTTCGAGGGCTTTATATTGTAAGACAAACAAACATGAGTATCATCCCTAGCGACTGGTTCCAATTTGTTGGTTTGGTGGACATCTGAGGTTCCATCCTTGGGACCGGCGCCTCTTCGCGGGCTATAACACCGGTTTGGGCGAGTCCACGCCCTACTCCACCTTCATGACTTGGTGAGCCGCGCGCGCGCGTGCGAAGCGCGCGTGCGACAGCGCAAGCAACCGCAACTTGCCTCTGGCAACCGCTTGTTGCGCTCGCACAAAAGGCGGCTTGCGGCTTGCGCCCTGCCACTTCAGAAAGAAGGCAGGCATCAAAGTGCCCCGCAAGCAACAAGGGGGAAGCACGTGCTTTTTAACAGGTGCGTCTCCAGGAAACACAACCTCGAATCGTCAAACAACTAAAACGGCAACCAGCACCATCATCATCATCATCATCATCATCATCATCATCATCATCATCACCACAACGCAAACACAACACAGTTTGTGTGGTTTGGGATGTCTAAGCCAAACGGAAGGTGACAAGGTGGGAGAGACAGTCTACAGAAAACTTGAGGGGTCGGTCTGCGTCCAATTTCTCAGGGCCCGTGCTTTAGGTTTCAAAGCTGCGAAGACTTGAGGAGCAATTCCGGAAACTGCCAGTCCTTCTGGGTCAAGGCTTGGAAGCATCAAACAATGGCATCGGACAGGCTTTTCATTATGAACAAAGGACTATGATGAAGTCCCAGGTGTAGGGTTAAAGGAATGAGTTTCCCTGCAAACCTCGCTTGGTTCTAAGGAAGCACAGCATGCTAAATGGGTAGGTGTCCCTTCAAGGCAGGTGATGTTTTGACAGGTCTCATGTTAATGTCATGTTTTTTGTTTTTAACAACCAAGTGGAATCCATCTGCGCGACCCCGCAACAACTGCCCTGTATCCCTTGAATGTGCTGCAAACAAACACCCAAGCTGGACAAGGGATCGCCCCACAAAGCGCCTTGGTGCCTGGCCTTGCACGGCCCGAGTGGCTCCTGGGCACACCCCAGGTCAGCCTTCAATCAAAGCCCAGGCTTCACCCAAAGAAAACACGTTGCCAGCGCTTTGGTCCTTCGATCCACGTGGTTTGGAAAACGATGGGTTCCCAGCGAGCCGTGTTTACGTGTTTGACGAATTCTTCACAGACCGAGCCTGCGTGATTGGAATATCCGGCGATCCTGTCATCTCTTCACCTTTTGCGAGCGCATTGGATTGGAAAAGGGCGAGCTTGCCGTGAAGGGAGCGAGCGGCTTGATCTCAACTTGGAGTTGGGCGATCCTTTTGGCGAGAGGCTCAGAAAGACAACGCTCGGCATTTCTTAAATGGCACAAGCTCCGCAAGATCCCTTTACTTGGATCATTTATTTCAGTTGTACCAGATCTTTGTGAAATGGAGGCATCCTTTGATATAACCCCCCCCCCTTTTTAAGGCATGCAACCCAGCCAATTTCGGGCTTATTAAGTGGGGGAAGGAGAACTCAGGGGCTCGGTGAGCATGTGTTCTCGTGGATCCCCGGGCTGACGGATGGTCCTCCCCCGATAGAAAGGCTGCTCACCGTTGGAAGTCGCTGATTTTCGGGTTGCCCGGCTTAAGAAGATTGCTGGAAGGGAATGATGCCACATGCTTGCGGACCGACTTTTCTTTGTGAAGCCGTGGTTGGATTCGACGACATCGATCACTGGAGCGACCGCGCATATTTTCCTCACCTCGTGCGCTGGTACCGACCGAGAGCGGCTTTTCCTGGCGAACGGCACATTGACTAGCACCCCTGTTGACGGTTTTCAAGGGAAGTCGGAAAGCCTTCTGGAAGAGAGAGGGTTGCAATCGCGACAAGAACGTAGATACAATGACAGAACAAAGCGTTACAACGACAAGATGTGCATGCCGGAAGAACACCCGCAACCACCGCCGAGCTTCGGAGCCGGATCCGCTCGTCAGGCCAAGCGACATGAGCTCGCTCGCTGGGAATTCAAAGGCGGGGTGTCAGAACCCGGCGGCGGAGTCCTTCATCCGTGTAGCCTTGAAGTGATTTCGTCCGGGGGGGGATGTGGTTGAAACACTTGGGTTTTCCGCCTTTTGTGGGGATTTTCAAGCAGGAACCCCCCCCCTCCCAAAAGAAGGTGGTTGGTTGTCATAAATCCTCATGTCAGCAGATAAAGCCCATTTGGGGTCTCAAACCCGGTGCGGAAGTGGTTTCTGCTTCGATGTTTCTTTCAACAACCCACCCCAAAGGGAACCAACTCCAAACAGCGCGCGCGGCTTCGGCAAGTTACGAATGGATTTGGTCCGTTTTGGAACATCGGATTGGGGAAGTCTGTTTACAGGGGCACCAAATGAGAAGAGGATCATTGGGGCCAACCAGTGGAACGCACGCACGCCTCCTGCTCATGTTTTACTGTGCCCCCTTGGCTTCCCCAAAAAAACGAAAACCCGTTGTGAATTTCCCCCCCAAAAAAACCGAGCCCCAAACGGGCCAGCCTGGCCAATCGCCAGGCTGCCCAGGGACAATGGCAGGCGGGAGGGCGCGTGTCATGTTGGGTTCCGCGAACTCGGTGCACGTGAGCGAACTCGGGGCGTTCCCCAGAAGACTTCCTTTTCAGTGGCTCAAAGAGCCGAGGAATCACACACATCGTCAATTCCCGTCCTCCGGTCTGTGAAAATCATCAAGTTTCAGACTCTACTTCATATGGCTTGAGAAAAATCCGAGTCACACATCTTTGGCAACCACCACAAAAGTGCCATATTGCACGACCAAATTGCGCAAAAGTGCCTATTGCACACCACATATGGGGATATGGCTGGGGGTCAAAACCAATGGGATCCCATTTTGGGGTAGGTGAATTCACTACCCATTTTAGAACCTTTTTTAGTGGTTGGATTGGGATGGTCACTGGGGGTACGATTTGGATTTTGACCCATGGCCATATGTGTCCTTGCTCAGGATGTTAGGACTGCTGTTGCTGGTTGTTGGGGTAAAGTGGATGGAAAGAAAACAGCAACTGGCGATCCAGGAGGTCGGTTGATGTCTGCTTTTCCGTTGGGCTTTCGACCGTTTCCGGACCCAAGTGGACCCCAAAATCCGCGCAGCGAAGCTTCGGGGCCCGGGCCGCTGCGTCGCTCGCCGGGAGGTGCGAACGGTGAAGCGGGGATGGGCCACTCTGGCGCCGGCGCTGCAGGCCCGGGAGGAGCCGAAAATGGGGGCGGGGGAGGGAGGAGGGGGGGGGGGGTACGGTGGGCGGGGGGGGGCGGGGGAAATGCGGGGGAAGGGGGTTGCCGTGTTTTCGTTTTGAAAGGGCCAGGGTTTGGGTTGTTGTTGTTTTCAGGATCGAAGCCGACCTCCTTAAGACTTGGGGTGCTTTTGTGTTGTGTTATGTTCGCTCTTTGGAGCAAACACTGGAGCTTTTGGGGTGTTGTGTTCTTTTTCCTCTCCATCCGCGCCGTGTTTTTTCTTCAGACACCTCCATGTGGTTCAGGTTTTTTTTTGTTGGCGTTCAGGCCTTTAAAATGCAAGCTTCTGTTTTTGTGTTTGGCTGCAACATCGACTCGAAGTGTCCATGGCTCCCTGAGGGGGTCTCCTGCAAGATCATTTCACAAATTTTGGGTGGACGAAATATGAAGCGTAATCTGGACATCTGATTTTCTGTGGGACCCTAGCTATTGCGCGCCAAGCATATGTATATGTATATAAACATATAAGCAAGGTCATGTAGCCGTTGTTTTTTGTTTTTTGTTTTTGTTTTTGGGGGGGTCGGAGGGTGCACCTCCAAACAAAAAGGAGCGCGGAACATGCACGCGTTGCGTTTTGGCTTGACCTTTGCGTATCCAACATACCTTTGCGACAATTGCCTGTTTCCAAATACTTACTAGCGGCTAGCGCGCAGCAAGTTTGCAGGCCGTTTTCCGAGCACGGCGCAAGTCTTCGACCACTTCTTGCGACATTTGGGCAAATTGACCGTGTGCCTGCTAGCTCGACAAAAGCACGGGGTCTGGTTCATTGGAAAAAGGGACAACCTCCCCTCTCTCACTAAGCGAATAAGACCAAAACGGGCTGGTGTTACTTTTTGTATCTATATTTGTCAAGGTGCCATTTTCGGGATTCCGCTTTTCAGATTCAGCTTAATTTGTGGTTTGGATTGGTGGTTTGCTATTCTGGGTTTTGAGGGATTTCAAGGGAAACATCTGCAAAACAAAATGACGGATTGAATTATGTTTGAGCCTGAATCTGAACTAACTCAGCGCGAACCTCGGCGAACCATCGATGCCAGGGCGCGCTGACGCAGGCCATGTGCCAGATCCAGGACTCGACGTGAACAAATCGCGGTGCGTTCGGCCAATCACTGGTTGCCATGGCAAGAGATGCTTTCTTGGGCATGTGTTGAAATGGGTGTTTCTTTTTTGAGGCTACCGATCTTCGGGTTGCTTAAAGCAAAGCCAAGAGGACAACCACCATGGGGGGTCCTCTATCTTTAATATTTTAAGACCCCCCCCCAAAGAAAGAGAGGCTAACAGGTGGCTCCTTTGCCCCTCCTGGTGAGCTACGGCGCGATCCTGAAAAGATGGTGTTGTCGAGATGGCAAGCTCCAGCTACCACTCATAAAACAAGCAGGTGTGACCCGGTAGTGATTGGTTCACTTAAGACTTTAGACGTTTATTCCGCGTTATTCTTTCAGAGTACTCACAAATCCACTGGCCCACTGTGGGCGTGTCCTGTGTTGTGAGGGTACCCCTTGTTGGTTTTAAAGGGAAAGCTACCATCTTGGGGGTCCAGCTCCTAAGAAACACACACCTAGAGGTGCAAGGAACCCTCCTGGAGAGGGGGGGTCGTCGTTGGAGCCGTACTGCTCCCTTAGGACCGGGTGGAGATCCTGGTGGACCCGAGCACAAGGCACGGGAGACTGGTCGTCACGTCAGTCGGGGTGCACCTTGTCCTTTTGAAGCGACCAAGACATGCACCTGGACCCCTCAAACCTTCCTGGAAAGAATGGGGCGCGTTCTCCTCTTTTCATGGGTAGTTTGTGGGTCCAAGCAGCCATTGTGAGCCTCTTCGACTGGGACCTTGTTCTTTTGATCCCCCAGACCAAGAGGCAAGATGAGGTCAAAAAGGCAGGGTTTGGGGTCGGAAAATTGGGGCTCGCCGACTTATATTCCCGTGGCACCAAAAGCTCAATCCTTTTCTTTCCGCCCCCAAAAGTAGGTTTCACCCTCTCGCTTCTGTCGCGTTCTGTTTAGTCTGTTGAAAAACCATCCAAGACAAAGAAGCTTTCTCTATGGATTGAACTGTTTCTGGTTGCATGTTAATGCAAAATCCAGGTTGTCGCATCACACATATGAGCCCCCCACTCCAGAAAAGGAGCGAAACCCCACCGAACAACGTTTAGCGGGAATCTTGCAAACACCAAGTTCTGAATTCAATGGAGATTTGCATAACCACCCTAACCCGCCCCAAGCTGTCCAATCGTTCTTTTTGTTGCCCCGACTTGTTGTAACAGTGAATTGCCCATTCTGTTTGACCATAGCTCCTTTGCCAAGGGCCGGCCATTTCCGTTTTCCAGCGGGTTTTGTGTGGTTAACCGTGAAGAAGGACGCCTTTGGGTAGCTCTTTTTCCCAAAGCCAGCCTTTCCCGCGAAGGGCATAATTAGGTTTTTTGCTTTGCAAAGCAGCCTCAAGGGAAAGGTTAGAACGAAAGCCAAAGTAAGGTTTGAAATAGAAACAAATGCCATCCAAGGTCAAAACAAGAGCCATCCACGGTTTAGAAAAGAAGGTGACACGTGCTGTCCAAGGTGAAACAAAAGACCATAGGTTAAAACAAACAAGGCATCCAAGCTCAAACAAACACATGCCATCCGCCCAGACGAAACAAAACAGCTGGCTGTGGAGGCGGAGCCTCGGGGACAGTTTGCGTGCAAGACTAAAGCAAAAGCCGCATCCACGCAGACGCAACAAAACGACCGTGAAGACTGAGCCAAGCCGCGCCCGGAGGAAAATGGGGAAGATGACCCCAAGAACCTTGGGCAACTGGCAGGTCTTGGGTCTCGGACGCCGATCCTGCCGGGGCCCCGGCGCAGTCTCCACGGACCGTCCAGCTCCGTGCGGGCGCTGCGTTTTGATTTTTTGGCGAGGAGGTGGTTCGGCTCGAAGGCATCTCCCTTTGGGTCTGTCAGTTCTGGGAAAGCAAAAGGAAGAGAATTGGGATTTTTAATTCATGATGATGTCCACCAAGTGATCCCCAACTCATACACTACATTCCCCCTTTGGCTGCGCTATGTTGGAGTCATCGGGTAATTTGGTTGACAGGGACTCAGACCAGAATTCTTGGTGGCCGCACACCTTTCCAAGGCCTTGCGGTGACCTTCTCTTCGACTCTGGGGTCCTTTCAGGTTGAAGGCACCCCTTTGGCGGTTTCGAAGGGAAACCAAAAGGAACACAACATGTTTGGGGTCCCCGAAAAAATGGCGCCATAGGGGAATCTGAGAGATGCCCAAGCCAGCAAAGATGAAAGTGCGCCCGGGCCGCGTGTGGCAGAGTCTGGCTTGTTGGAGTTGCTTTGAAGGTGCCTGACTTTATCCGGAAGTCGAATCCCATCAGAATCAGATCGAAGACAACGCGATTTGTGAGGCGCCTTAAGGCACCACAGCTGACTCTGCGTCGGGACAGGGTTGTGGGATCAAGGGGTTTATCCCCACTTCTGTGATACAAGGGAACCCCCCTTTTTTGGGCGGATGAGTCTTTGGGAGGCCCTTTTTGTTGTATCACCGAAGTGGTCACTTCCCACAGTCCTGCTTTGGGAGGGCTTAGCACCAAGGGAAGCCGTCAAGCCTTCTGCAGGTTGGCCGAACAATTCGGTGCATGTTGATCCAAGGTGCGGCCACGGGTAAAGAGAAGGGAACGGCCCCAGTTTTGCAAGATGGAAGCTCCTGGAGGTTTGTACCATGACCCGTGCCTCGGCAGGGCCGGCTTTTCTGAGGTTACAGCAAGCTAAGCGCTACAACGCGATTTTGAACGCATCCGCGAAATCCCAGGAGAATAGCAGTGATACACGTCTCTCTCGCGATGCTCAGGCTCTCCGAGCGCGGTGTTTGGTGTACGAGGCGCGCGGGACACGCGCGCGACAGGGTGGCCTTGGTTTCGAGCCCCCCCCCTTCAAGCCAGGCGTACCCCACCGAATCATCGGTTGCTTGAGGGATATCCGGTCGGTGAGTCTTCAGGTAGTTTTCCGATTTTCGACACTACTTCTTTTCAAAAGCTGTGCGTTTGTCCTGGGTTCGTGTAGGTTGCTTGGAAAGAAGCCTGACTTGTGAAGCTACCCTGGTGTGTCCGTGTCCTGGGAAGCACTACTTGAGCTCTTGTACCGTAGAAATTTGATCGACTCGGGTAGAAGACACTCCCAAGAACGCTCCGCTGCATTTTGGCGCAAGGCTTGAAGGATATCAAAGCTAAGCAATCAGTGGTGAGCTCACAGCTGACCAGAATGGTGCTCGATGCCCGTGTGGATGTCCGCAACAGCAGCCCTCTCATCAGCAACGCTTTTGAGGTGCTTAAGCCTTTGTTTGAGATGGCGAACAGCCTGAATTTTAATCCTCAAGTCCTCCAGAATGTCTATGTCCAGGGAAGCGTGAGAGTGGATTCGGCCCATATTGCCCAAGCTGCCAAAGCGCTGGAAAGCGCAGCCATTCGCTTTGCATGCATTCTTGGAGGTTGTCACGCTCGTTAGCGTGTTTGTTTTGGTGCTCGGAATGAATGGGACGCTCTACGAGAGTACGACGGCAGTTGTCATGCTTCATTTTGTTTTGTTTTACGGAACATACTCTGAACATGTTTTTTTGGTTCTGACACCAGATGTGGGCCAAGGTTTCATTGTTTCATACAAAGAGGAACCACGAAACACAGTTTAAAACATGTTTGATTCTCTGTGTGCTCCCTTTTCTCTGGGCCAAGTTTAGCGAAACTCGAAAATGGACTCCCCTCAAAGAAGCTTTCTTAGAGGTTTTCACGTGTTCCACGGAAACATTTGCAGGTTTGTCTATTGGAGGTTGATGGGTATCGGTGTTGGTCTTTTTTGCTATCCTCCAGAAAATGGCTGGGGGGTCTCTCGATTTGCATTCAAACCAAGGCAACAAGGACAAAACACACAATACGGGATGCTGCCCTTGCCAAGAAATCTTTCTGACTCTCACTCTGTTTTCTGCGTCTGTCTTGCCAGCGCAGCCGGCACCCCCTTGAATGTAGGGACCCCCGCAGTTGCGATCTTTCAGACACTTCGCCGGCAACTTACCTTCCGTTGGGGGTTTAGTATGGTAGTTCCAGACAATTGCCGCTATGTCTATCGTTGCCGATGATCTTTTTCCGTCGCCCTGGTGGCAAGGAAGCCTTCTGGTTGCTTTCAGGAGGGACCAGTTTTTCTTGTTGAAAGGGAAGCCATCCAGACTGTGGATGGACGAAATCCTGCACCACCTAAGAAACCCTGGAATGATGATTCCCCTATAAATACCGCCAAACGATGGAATCTCATGGTTTCATTTGGTGCGAAATGGATTTCGTCCATCCACAGTAGCTGCAAATTGGCTCCTTTGGTGTTGCCCTGAAAGGAAGTTGTTGCCCTGCGCCCTGTTTGGGGAGACCTCCAGCCCCGGCCAATGAGGCATATCCCCTGGACCGCAAGATGGGCAAGGCCTTTGGTTGGGTTGGGCAAGTGGGTGGGTGGGGACGGGAACGGATCCCGACTGTTCAAATCTTCAATGCTGACCCCCACACATGTTTTTCGGACTTAGTTTCCCTTGCTTTTCAGTTTTTCGACCGCCCCATCAACTGGGTTTCAGTGCACAGGGCCCCCAACAAAACGTGTGGTTCTCTGGGAATGCCCCAACCGTCTCGCACGGAAAGGGAGCCCAGGGAGTGTAACACTCCAAGCGGCCAAGCCTCTTGCGAGGGCAGGGGGGCGTGGCCGAAGCCGCTGGTACCCAGACGGGCTCGGATGAATCGGCTTGGGGGCAGGAGAGGGGCTTGAGCGGTTTTTTGTTTCTTCTCCGGGGAGGCCGCTGCAGGTCCAAAAACTAAGCATCCCTACCTATCCTGTAGTCTTAGTTAGGCTTCGAAGAATTGCTTGGCTTCTGACCTTTCAAGCCTAAGGCTTGGACATCCAAGCTTTCAGAGCGGAAGGATCGTCAACCAGAAATCCTCCAAGTTTTTTGTGGGTCCCTTCAAAGTAGGCCGTCAAGCCTAGAGTATCAGTGGTATTCCCCCCATCGTCAGGGACAGTTGGAGATTTTTTCTCATCGCCTGGTGGCTTTCTATGTGAAAGTTCATAGGTTTGTGGGGTTTGGTGACAACCATTACTAGTCTTTCATCGAGGCAAGCCCCAGCCAAGAATCTAAAGTCTGATTCTTGCGCTTTGGTGGTACTGGTACCTGGTTACCCACGCCACTTAAGAGATAATATGGGTGTTTCTCAAATGCAACTCGTTGGTATTTGGATTCTGCTTTTTAGTGAACGCTGCTGTTTTAGGATTTGGACACCTGTGAGAACCACCCGGCCGACGGACGAAATCCACTTCGCACAGGGGATTGCTCGAGCCATGGCCAGCGTTTGAAAATCCAGCCAGCCATGCAAGCTTCTCGCACCACGAAATGAACATATGGGAAGGAAACCAGAACGTTTGATTTGCTAGTTTTACAGGGGAATCAAATCATTCCATGGATTCGAAAAAGTGGTGCGAAATGGATTTTGTCCTTCCACAGTGTAACCCTTGTAGCTAGGTTTACTAGCCACACCAAAGAAGGCCAAGACGAGGCCAACTAAGCTCAAACGAGGGGTCTTTGGGTGGTTCGGGTTCCTGAATGTTCTTTTGTGCATTTTCTCAAATGCCATTGACTTGGTACAAATCCTATCCAACAAATACCTATCACTCACTTCCTTATTTCATGAACTTTAAACTTTTTGGGAAGACCATTTTGGTGTAAAAAGTAAAGTTTGATTTTTTTTGAGCCATCCACTCAGCCAGTGAGATCATGACTCACAATAGGTTTAGCTACCTCCGCTTGCCATGCTTGTCCCGTTGCCCGTCAGGCCGGCGGGGAGGCACCACGGCCGGTGCGGTGGCGCGCAGGCCCCTGTGTGTGTGTGTGTGTGTGTGTGTGACTGTGCTTTAACTTGATGGTTGTTGTTTTTTGTGTGTGGGGAGAGGCGTCGTTTTTTTTTGTGTTTTTTAATTCTGGGGGGTGTGGGGGTCTAGGAATCCGGCTGCTGGACATTCCACAGGAACTTAGCCCAAGCACTGGTTTGTTTGGGCGGGTATTTGGCTAGTTCCCTGCAGATTTACTGGAGGTGGTTTTGAAAGAAGGGGGGAAGGAGTTGTTTGATACACTCAACCTGGCCTTAGTGGCACCTGATTTTGCACCTTACTTGAGTGTATGTGGCCGCATTGGGCATTCTTTAGCCTTGTTATGCCTTTGTTGCATTATTATTTAGGCTTTACTTGGCCTCATTTTGTTCAATCGCCTGGCCCTATCCCTCAATTCACGTACTTTTGGTTTGGCGGGGTTTGACGAGGGAATTTTAAGGACAAGCGATTCTTTCGCAGCACCTTTGATTTGTGGGGGCCTCTTTTGTTTCCAAAAAGTAACCATCCATTTGCTGAAGAACATGTTTTTATTTTCCCTTGCTGGTTTTAAAGGGAATCCATCACTACTGAACATATTTTTGTTTTTTTCCCGGGATCCTAAGCAAATGGAAGTAACCAACTCGTGGCTTCGAGGTTCTTCAGGCAGGCGCAACTGATTTCAGAGCCGCAAACATACCAATGGCTTGCGGCCAGAACAGGGCCACTTCAAATGGCGTGCGTGCTTTTTTGGGAATTTGTTGGGGTGGTTTAAAGGGAAGCCAAAGGGAAAGTCACCCAGTTTGGTGTTCCTCCATTTTGAGACAAACAGATGCGTGGGTTCCTGAGGTTGCTAGAACATCACCCAGCACTTAGCAAGCGCGAAACATGTCCCAGGCAATAAGTTCTTCAACTGGGTCATGTGTAGGGTAAATTTTACGTGGATCGGCGATAGGAATCAATCACTTTCTTGATTCCTGGGGTGATCCAAGTATTTGGATGGCGTGACAAGAAACAATCATCATGTTGAAAAGCACATACTTTCCAGCCCTATTCGAGCTTCTTCACCCCTCGAGGGTCCTTTATGGGTGGGAGTGGACAAAAACCCAGGGAAGAGCAAGTTGGGTCAAGGAGTCCCATTGAGCCATTCCCACCCCCCAAATATGGAGTTGTCTGAAATGTTGCGGGTTGGGAAACGCGGTCAATGCTGGTTTTGCAGGGCACGCGGGGGAACCCCCTCAAAGTGAGAAAGCAACACATCGATCCCCCCCGAAGAGAGAACGACCACGTTGCCCGCAGCAGATGTTCCAACTGTTGACAGGCCCCAGTCTTTGTATTCTAGGTCCAATTTAGTATGACATCCAACACACCGCCCTCTAAATATGGCTGAAGGGGAACCGCCGCCAATGGTCACTTTGAGATCCAATCAACATGTGACCATATTCATGGACCCAATAAAACAAGCACCAACAAGGCTGCTTTTTTGAAGCCAACAAAGTGTGCCCGGTATGCATAGCCTCACTTTTTGAGTTCCTGGACTGTACATTCTCTTTTGGGAAGACTACTTCAGTGGCACCGAAAAGCTTGAGCTTGGCCAACCCAGCCAGGTGAGTAGAAGGGAACCCTTCCCCCGAGGACATGAAAGGTCAGCTTTGGCCGCTGTTGAGGTGCGGGTCCAGCAGCTGTCGACGCTTGGCGGGCGGTCCCAGTCAGGAGAAAGGGGCCGGACTTAGGCGTTTTGCGCCAGTTTTGCGCGTTTGTCCGGTTGGGCTTCCTTGAAGTCGGCGAAATCTTGCACCTCTACTTAGGCTCCAAGTCTGGAAAAGATAAGGGACCAGTTAAAGCGCAATCAAAGATTGTGTGTGTGTGTGTGTGTTTAGATGTTCAACGTGAGAGCATAGAGTACTTCGTGGTTAAGGGCGCTGTGATCCAGATCCATCCGGCAGCGGTTTTGGACAGCCGTGGAGCTAAACCTCGTCCTTGTGGGCGTCTCAGGCGTGCGTCGAGGTCGTATGGGCTCATCCGTCTCGCGGCTTGAGCTACGCGGCTCTCAGTCTACGGTAGCTCTGCCGCCTGCCCCTGTCGCTGAGACGCCCGCTGCTGGCTGTTGGCATATGGCTTCCCAATGCGCTGACCTGCCCATTATCGTGAGGACTGCTGGCGATGCTTCTGCTTCAGTTGTTTTGACAAGTGCCCTTTTCATTTCGGATGCCACATCAAAAGGGCACTTATGTTCCTGCAGCTTTGGCATGCAATTGCGGTGCTCTTACACGCTCAGGTCTCCGTGCCCCTCCCTCACAGCCCCGGTTGGCCTCCTCTTGGGGGCTTCAGCTACGTGCGTGTTCCGGTTCTGCGAACTCGTGCTCTGGGGCTGCCGGCGAACAGTTTTAGGCAAAGCCTCGAGGACTTGCTGTAGATTCAATATATAGGTAGTTTGGCACGAATTCACGATCTTGCAAAATGGTCTTTTTTGCCGTGCAATTAGAACAAGTTTCCGCCAAGCGCATTGTAAGTAGAGGGCCGAAGGACGCTTTCACGTGCTTGAAGCAATGCTCCCAAAAGCCACAGCCGCCTGCACGCCGTGTTCCTGGTTTGTTGTATTGCCGACAACGATCTTGCACATGGCCAATACGCCTTATTCACTGATAGGCGCCCCAAAAGGGGTTTGGGGAGTCGGCCCAAAGGTGGAGCCTTGCCAAATGGGTCTGTGTTTTTTTGCCGTATCAGTTCTTTAGTCTTCGTGGGAGGTGGGGCTTGGGCGAGCCATACCCCCGAATCATACCCCGAACCATACCCCCGAGCCATACCCCGAGTCATACCCCTTAAAAACACAAAAAAAGAGCTTGCAAGAACTGTGGCATTTGCATGTGATCCATGGATAGCTGGAAGCTATAGGGGGTTTAACTTCAAGTGAAGAAGGGGGTCTTGTCAAGAAACAGTGTCAGAGAGCTTGACATGTGGACCGATGCCAGGGGGTAGGGACTCCGAGGTAATACCTGGTTCACTTGTGGTTCCTGGATCTATTCTTGAGTCTGCGATGCTTGCATGGTTGGCAATGGTTGGGCTCTGATTTCATGGGGCCAAGTACAGTTGACATGTCCACTCACACACTCACTGGTTGCTCGTGGGGGGCCATTTTGGCTCAAGTGGTGTTCCTGGACACTCGGTTGCCCACCTCCGTCTCGGCTTGCTATTTTCAACGGAAAGTGCCAATGGATGGAGTTATAGAGCAATCCTGCGGATGTCCTGGTACTGGAGTTGTCTGTAGCATCCGTGGTGCTGTGGCGGGGGGGTGCAGCTTCGCATGAGACGCTGGGACTTGCAGGGCGCTGTGGCGGGGGGTGCCGCTGCTGAGCTTGAAGCTTGGAGCTTGCTTCCCGCAGTCTGTCCGACGCGATAAAAACAATTATCTATCCTGAGCCACTGTCGCAGTGAAACACAAGCTGTCTTTGTGCTCCTGGGGTACTCTTGGTTTCTTTCCGGTCGAAAAAAAACTGTCCCCCGATTCATACCCCCGATTCATACCCGATTCATACCCCAATTCATTCCCTTCTGCTGCCATTTGCAGCCAAGAGCCTCTTGCGCTCTGGGCAGTACTAGCGAAGCTATGCCGCCCAAATCCTCAGAAGACACAAAACTCAAAGAGAAGCACTGCAGGCACCAGCTCGCGGCTCTTTTCACAGAGAAGGTGGGTTCGGAAGGCTTACTGCGATGTATCAAGCGCGACACGGTACACCACCTGTGAGAGTAGCCTCTGCGCGGCTGCCGTTTGAGGATGTCACGCTGTCTTGCCCCTACGCTGGTTTGTGACTGGCGCGGGTGGCGGGCCTGACTGGGCAGCGGCGCTTCCCCTCAAGCAACGCTTGCTTGGGTCTGTGAGCACGCGGGTCGCTTGAACTCCAAGTGGAGGTGGCCATGACGTTCGCCTCAAGCGCAGCAGCTTTCGCTAACCCACTCACGCAGAGTGGCAGCTGTCTAGTTCAGGCCACTCACAAGCGCCCCAGGCTGGCTTGTAGTAACTAAGCGGTCCAAATTCTCACGGCTATCCAGTTGCCAGCGCACGGGAGCTTTGCTCCAAAGCCACAAAGCAAGAGTTCAGAGGCGCGCGAGCCATACCCCGTACCGTACCCCCGAGCCATTCCCCGAACCATACCTGCGATTCATACCCAACCTCCCGGCACGGCCACGTCAAACAAACACATACCCAAATGGGGCCGCCAGACCTTTAGAGCATACTCCACCTTCCTTGTGTGTTTAGCCCTTCTTATTTTTATTGGTGTGTTCTCAGAATGGTGGACCTTGTCTTCCTTGGTGTTCAAAGGGACACCGTCAAGGACACCTACGACGTTGGGGATCCCCCTATTTCTAGACACGCGAAACCCCCATTTCTCGGGTTTCATGGGATCGCATCAAGAGCGTGTTGCCTCCAGGGCCAGCGAGCGCTGAACTCATGCGCGGCGGAAAAAGGGAGGGCGCCAGCGGACCGTGGGGCTCGCCGCTTTTTCGGGCGCAGCCTGCTTTTTTTTGGGGAGAAGGGCTCTCTTTTTTTGTTTGAAGCCTAAAGGACACCCCCCACAATTTGTGTGCCTCCCTTTGGAGGCACACACTGTTGTCTTCAGGCAGAAGTGAAACCGTCGGTGAAGCCTGGAAAGAACCGGTGTCCATTTCCGGCTTGCGGGTGAGTTCCAGGGGGGGCCAACTGAAGCGATCGAAGCGTCCAACTGAAGAACGAATCCTGGTCTTTTTGTCTGGGATCCAGCGAGGCTTCACGACCAAGCCCTCTTAATCTTGCTGGTGCGATAGGCAGGGAATGAGGAATGAAACGAACCCAGGAATTGGTTCCCTTAAAGGAAAACCAGGGACGGTTTATAGACGGGTCGTTCGATTTCTCATTCCCTGCCCATCGCACCAGCAAGTAATTCACTGAGGACCAAGTAGTTCACACTTCAGCTCAAAGGAAGGTCAGCTTGAGAAAGTGCGTTGCAAGTCGGGGAACACCCCAAAATGGCGGCTGTCCGTTCGATGTCCCGTTTTTTCAGGGTGAAAAGGGTACCCGGAAAAAAATCAACCACCCATCCTCACACACACACACACACACCCGTGTCACCATGTCACTCACCCAAAAAAGGCCACAAATGAAGAGCAAAAGAAGAGTCCTTCCAGCAAAGCCTCAATTCAACCGAGTCTTTGGAAGGTGGTATGTTCGAAATGGGTTCAAGCGCCTGGGTTTTTCGAGTCTTATTCGGAACCGTTCGGTGCTTCCTGTTCTGGAGCGTTTTTTTCTTCCCTGCCCAGGTCGGTGTTTGATGTAAGCGATGGTTTGGATCCATCGAGGGGCCCGCAGAGCAGTCCGCGTGTGTCTCGAAAGGGCCGCGGTCTCGTAGCAAAAGGGCCGCCAGAAATCAACGAGAAATCAACGAGGTATGACTTGAATGTTTCTGCAGTTGGAGCTTTGCCCCAGAAACACATATCTCTCTCTCTCTCTCGCTCTCTCTCTCTCGCTCTAACTCCAAACTCTGCAGATGGTTTGTCCTTTCCCATTCTTTTCGCCAGAGTCCTTTTCTCACCTCCCCATGAAAGGCATCCTTAGCTTCGAGCGAGGAATCTCTGGCGTGCTTGAGTGACTTTTAAAAAAAACAACGGCTCGTCTGAGCCACCTTTGATAGAGATGTTCTTCCATGTCCCTTTTCGGAACCTCAAGTTGCGGTTTCAATGAACCCCTGCAAATTCATCAACTTTGGAAGGGGACACGTGATGAACCCAGCAACTTGATCAACTTTTGATTTGGGGACGGTGACCCCTGTGACCCCTGTAGCCCCTGTGAATCTCTCGCTTTTTGGCTCAAAAAAAGCTCAAGCGCCCTTGTCTTCCCCCCGTCTTCTGTCAAACCCTTTCCCCATGGCCCGCTTCGCGGTCTCCCTGCTGCTGGCCTCTGCCCTGGGCTCCAGAATCCAAGAGAAGGAGCGGAGCGGGTCCGAAGCTGTGGGCTGTGAGCCAAGAGCATAGGTGTCCTTCTTGGTTGGTTTGGTCTAAAAAATACATGGCGATTCCCCCCCTAAAGGGACACCTACCTATGGCCAAGAGTTTGCTTCGTGACTTGAGTGTGTTTGGATCCCCTTTTGGCTGATAACTTGGAGGGAAGCCGAAAGGAACCCCACCATTTTGGACCCCATACTTTGAGAAGCACCCAGCTGTATATGGGCAGTGCGGAATTGGGTGGTTTGTTTGTAACCATGGTGAGCCCTAGGAAAGGAGCCAACAAATCGTCTCCAACTCGAGGGGACTGGAAGAGCATATGGGTGTGGCTCAAAATGAAGCAGGAGGGGCAAACCGCAGGTTTTGGTCCATGTTTCCACTTGCCAGGGTTCCATTTTGGAATTCCGGGTTTTTTAGCCACAGCCGTATAGAGAAATACATATACTTGGCTGACCCCCCCACTGAAGTTGCTAACAAATCCCCAGTTAAAAGCGCCCCACTCGTCGTATGTGCCAAAGCACCCCCCCCAACATGGAGTTCGTTTGGGTTCTTTCCCAGGGGGAAAAAAACACGGCCTCGAAAAGGGTACCTCCCCAACACACGCAGACACACATGCGAGGTTTGGTCAAAAATTTTCCAGCAGTCCTTCTGTCCACTTGGTAAGGAAAAGTGTACCAAACAGGATCTTGCCAGTGGACGGAACCCTCAAATTGTCCAATTTTTCTGGCATAGCTGGATATTTCGACGGCTCAAAGAAACACATGCAATGTAGGCCATGGGCTTCTCCCAAAAGTTGTTTAAAAATTCTCAGACCTCCCATTTAGCGCCCAGGCAATGGGAGAACTTCCCAACCTCAAAAAGAAGCAGAGCAGGGACCAGTAGTATGCTTCTTGTTTGTTTTGAGGCTTCCAGTCTTCCGGTGGGTCAAGCTGGTCATTTGCAAACCCCAACCAATGCAGGCAGCACCAAAGCAGATTAGAAAAAGCCAAACAAGCCTCGAGAGAACAAGCCAAAAATCATTTGGGATGTCTTTGGACAGCGGCTATGTTGAAAGTTGTGTGGACACTATTTAAAGAATTTGTATGTTTTTTTTGGGAGTGTTTTTGTGTAGCGAGGGTTGGCGATGCGCAAGACGCAGCAAGCTCAGAAGACCGGCAGCACCAGCAGACACGGAATGAGCGGCGACGAAAAGCGAATTCCGCGCTTCCGCCCGGAGTTGCCAAGTTCTTGAGTCGACATTTCGACTGGAGGCTGAGTAACAGGCTGAGTACCACTCAGCAAAGCTGGGAATGCTTCAAGGTTGAGGAGGTGAAGCCAGACAAAATTACTTGGGGAGAAATGGACATGCCGTACAAGAATCGCTGCCATGTGGAAAGGGCAATTGCCAACATGTATTGGGACGCATTTGTTTTAGGTTTTCTCCTTTGAAGGGGCTGGCATATTTGAAGAATAGTTTTCTTATTGACATTCTAGTTAAGTTCTACTTCAAAGGGAATGCCTACTCAAAACATAGTTCAACATAATAATTCAAACTGAGTGAACTAGAAGAAACAACTAGCTTGCCGCCTTTCCTTACCAGAATGCAGCTAGATTGTAGTCAACATCATACTTGGACAGGAATTCCCATTTAACATCTATTTCAAGCTAAGATTTCTAATTGAATTGATTAGCAGAACCAATCAGCTTGTCTGCCCTTACTACATTCTATTACACACTAGGATTAAATTTTAATTCCTTACCACCTATCTAAACTCTTTTCAAATTCTACTTCAAGTTCTGCTTGGACAGGAATTCCTGTTTCAACTCGAATTCAAGTAAGAAGGTTAATTGAAGTCCAGTTGAGTTACTATTTAAACTTAAAGCCTTGCAATTTAAGACTTGTAAACCAGCAGAACTGAAATTGAATTTGTCTCTGAGTATCTATTTGTTGTTTTGCTCCCCTTTAGGGCGGGCAAACTAGAAGAAACAACCAGCTTAGATTGGTGGAAGGACCTGTCATCCTGTGGGAAACTGCTTGTGCAACTGCTTCTTGGGTTCCATCCTCGTCACCCAATTGCTCTGCAAAACTGACAGCATGGGCCATATAGTAGTGCCAGACGGGGATGAACAGGAAGATGCTAGGAGAGAATTGCAGCTTCTCTGGCAGAACGAACCGCAGCAGATTCGATTCCAGCATGTTGCTTGACAATCCATGTGGACCCGAGTGAGTGATTCCGCGGCAAGCTTTGGCGTACTATGCTCAATCACAAACAAAGACCGCAGTCCACCGGTCTCAAAACATTTGCTGAAATCAGTTTTTTTTCATTTTTTTCCCCTTGCTGGTTTTAAAGGGAATCTATCACTGGACATGCTTGTATTTATTTTTTTCCAGGGGGCTTAAGCAAACGGAAGACAAATCCCAAATGGGCATGTCTGAAAAAGAGGGTACCTTGTTTTTGTGGTGTACCTTGTTTTTGTGGTGTTTCAGGAAAGCCAAGAGGACGGGGGAAGGTGCCCACAGCGAACCTCCTCTTCAGAAGCCCTGAAATTGGCGAAGGGAACTTGGCACCCCACTTGGCGAAGGGAGCGATGTGGCTTGGATTCAGTTTTGGAGTATCCCTTCAAAATCACAAAAAAGGGTACCCTCAAAAAAGACACCCAGTAAGCGAAGGCTGGCAAAGGATCTCCTTGCCATAAACAAGTGAATTGGGCCTGCATTGCACTTTCTGATTTCGAGCAAGCATGCGCGGCTAGCGCTCGTTCATCCCACTCAAGTCCATTTGCAATGCCGGCGAGGGTTTTAAAGTTTAACTTCAGCACGGGATCAAAGAACCTCTGAATCAGCCAACCCTTAGTTGGTCTGAAATGGCTGGGAAGTTGAACCTGGTTCTTGTGTGGTAAATAGGGAAAACCACCAAAATACGAAAGGGGGTTTTGTCTACCCCCCGAAATCCCCAAAGGAGGGGGTCGCCTCCCAAAAAGCCACCGATCGGCGGGGGGCGCCCCAAAATCCGCATGGGGCCCGCGCCGACGACGCGCGGACGACCAGGAGCTGCAGTCGCTGGGCCTCGAGGCCGCGGCGACGGACGTGGACTTCGAAGCTGCCGCTGCTTGGCGAAAGCGAAGAAGGGACCCCCCGAAATTGGGGGGAGGGGGGGAGGGGGTGGGGAGGGAGGGTTTGAGGGGGGTAGGGAGGGTTGGGGGGGGGGAGGAAACCCGCAAACTACCCATTTAAAAAGTGGACTGTGAACCCGGCAATTGTGGGGAAATGGTCCTGGACCCGGAAACTGCCCATTAAAGAAGGGAGGCCATTTTTGGCTTTTTGGAGCGATAGCGTGCGGGTACCACTCCAACCCAATCCGAACCACCAGGTACTCTAGGGGTACCTTCCCCGTCCTTTCCAGGGATCCTTCTTTTCAGGAAACCATCAAAATTTCCCAGGGGTCGGCCGGTTTTTGGAAAGAACGATGGTTATGAATGGACAAGGAATCAACCCCTAGAGTTACAGGCAAACTTGAGGCCCAAAAAGACGGAGCTTTTGGACCCGGCTGCCGGGTCGACTCGGACGCGGTGAGCCCCGAGGCGGCGGTGAGCTCCTGCAGCATGGTGAGCCCCGAGGCGGCGCGCGAGGACGAGGGCTACCGCGGCATGGAGCGGCTCACGGAGCCCGGCTTCCAGGCGGGCGACAAGGAGGGAAAGTGGAGACTAAGAGCAGAAGATTGGAGAAGAGCGGAATAGCAGCGGAATATCCGCCCTCTTAATCTTACATGGTTCTGGGTCGACCATTTTAGTACCAGGTTTTGATTATGACTCATTTTGGGGTGCCCCTGTTTTGGGGTGCTTTCGGACTCTCGTTTGACCCTTTCGGTCACCATCAGGCTCTTGGCGACTTATTTCCCCCGCACTCGGGCACCCTAACTCTAGATACCCAGTGTCGCGCTGCGCTGTTTTCTTTCGGTTGGAGGAAGGTTCCCTTTAAACACCGGCTACAAAAAGGTGTGTATGTTGCTTGAGGCGGGAAAGCCATTTTCACCTTTGAAGGGAAAGCAGGGACGCGAATTTGGCGTCCCCCTATTCTCACACCATATATCCATCCTCAAGGCTTTCACCCCCGAAGTGGATTCTTTGGCTGAAGGAAAATTCAACCGTTGCAATCATCCCGTTACCCAAAAAGGATCTTGCCGCCGGTTGGCCCAGGCGGGGTCGCAAGGCGAAAAAGAGAAAACGGTGGTTCGGCCGCTTGGGGGGGTCTTTTGATCACGACCTAATGTTAGTAAAAATGCCTGGTTTAGCAGGCGGGAAGTAAGGTCTGCATAAGCAACAAGCATGGCAGCGCTGCTCTCTTCGATTTTCAATCTACATCCACCCTGGCGCGACCTTTAGGATATGGCTTCCCCAGCAACTGGCAACAAGTCGAAGGTTGCAGGTCAAAGCCGCAGCGGTGGTTGGATTGCACTTTTTGAGGTGAACACTGGATGAACACTGGATGAACACTGGAGTTAGTGATGAACCATGGCTGGCCCAGCGCTTCCGCATTTCCAGTCAAGCCACGGCTTGGATACGCCATTCCACGCCACGGTGCCTTCATGGGGGTTGGGTTAGAGGGGGTTTGCCTTTCAAAGACGACCAAAACAAGGGTGGCTTTTTATGACCCACCACTGGAGATCTGGTGGGTGTTTCAGGTACTCAAAGTTTCTGTAAGGCTCGATTCCCCACCAACAGAACAAGGCGCCCAAAAGGAACCCGAGAAAAAGCTCCTCGCCCCCCTCCCCCCCGCAATAAAACAAGAAGAAAAAAGGAAGAAGAAGAAGAAGAACAAGAAGACAAAGAAGACACAGAAGAAGAAGAAGAAGACGAAGAAGAAGAAGAAGAAGCAGCAGCAGCAACAACAACAACGGCCTAGTTAGTTAGTTATTGGAAGCCTGGGGTTGGAGGATTGGAGTGCCCGGGCCCCTGGCAAAACTGGAAAAGTGGTCATGAGATTCAACCACATGGATGTGTCGTTTGTTAAGATTTTGGACCCCACTTTCCCTAAACCGCAAAAGAAGAAAGAATACCCTCCCACAACTAACATGTGCACAGACCCCTGTAGAAAGACTACTTTCCTCTTGTTAGTTGGTGGGAGCCTCAAAAAAGGACGGCACGCCGACCTGGCTATCTCAGCAAACCTCCGAATCCAGGCCCCTCAGGGCGAGGCAGATGGCCAGCACGTGCTCTTCTACGCCTATGGGCCCATGTTCAGGGGACACTCGGCTTGTGCCAAGTGTCTTTTCGATCGTCTTGGGATATGAGTAGCCTCCCAAAAGCAAGCTGAAGGAACCTGAAACAGGGAATTAAAGAGGGACATGGTCAAACGTGAAACCTAGGTGCCTTTGAGGTGCCTTCGGTTTGTTTCTGGGAGGGCTGGGAAGCCCAAAGGAAACCACTGGGTTCTTGAGTATGGGACCCTTGTTTGACAAGTATCATTTTCCGCATTGCCCTGAACGGAAAGTTCCTTGGGCGGTGCTTCCATGTTTTCCTCTGCACGGGAGTACCTACTTGCGAGTCGGGGTCCTTGGAGTTAACCCCATGGCTTGGAATTCCCGTAAGCAAAACCCGAAAGGGTCCTACAGGACGAATTGTCTTGTGTCTATGCCCCCCTTCGCGCGTGTGACAAAGGAACAATGGCTGCGCTGCGCATGTTTGTTTCCGTTTCTGGTTGGAGATGAGCTCTTGAAACAGTGGAGGCTTGCTCTTCTTCTTGTTGCAAAACAAGCGACACCCAACATTGTTTTTCCGCAAGAAGGAGTTGATGATGAAGTCGAAATGACCTTGCTGCTGGTGATACATATGAATGGGGGAACCCACAAATCGTTGGTTTCCTTTTCGTTTCCCTCCAAAAAAGGAACCACATCACACGCAGAAAATCACAATAATGACATCCCCATGTACAAAGCCACGATTTGATCCCTTGGTTTTTGGGTTCACCAACTACCCATCCACATCTCAGCATGCTCTTAGGTTCGTATATGCCCTGTCAATATGTGCCGTACCCCCCCCCCCCCGAAATTGGACGACAGCGAAGATTGACTGTTGCTAGGATGTAGGCTCATGCATTCATTGAACAAGTTTCTGTCCGGGCATGTTTTTGATGTGTGTGTGTGTGGGTGGGATCTGCCTAAGCCTATTTCCCCCTTTTTGGGGTTCCCCTCTAAAATCGGTCAAGGGGTTCCCTGGCTTGTCAGTGAACCCCTCTTGTTGAGACATGGTTCCTTGTCGTTGCAATTAAATCATCACTTGTTCATTGCCACACGAGTTTCTCCTTTGTGCTCTGTGCGTAAACCCGCGGGTCGCGAAAAGCCAGGGAAGCCATCCATAATGTAACATAGTTGTAAGAAACTCTTATCACCTGCCTTCTGGAGAAACGCCTGGCAGGACTGGGTTTTATTTCCAGCAAAGGGGCCGCTGACTGATTCTTCCATATTTTTCTGGCCAGAATGCCTGGAAGAAACTGGGAATTTGTGTTTATCACCGGACAGGATCGGATTTCTTTCCAGGAACCCAGGATGGTTCAGTTGGGGAGCATTCCGATTGAGTCCCTGAGAGCCGGAATGTCATTTTTCAGCTGGGTTCGGGGCTTATTCATCAACTGGGTTTCCAATTGTTAAGCCAGTCGGCAGGGGGGGAGACAATTCCACGTTGCAAGGGCGCATTGTTTCCAGTTGGGTTGTAGGGCAAGTAACAATCAGTTAGCACATTGACACCAATAAGGACAGTTAGCACAAACCTCAACAATACCCCAACTTATTTATTGTTTGCTATCTGCTCTATTCAGGTCCCATATGCTCTGCAGGGCAAGTCCCACCCAGGCGGCGTATGAACTGGGCATATGTTCACCGCTTACCTGACCCACCTCCCTGAAATCTCCCGATTTGGTAACTGTACTTATGGGTTGGGTATGTCACCCTCCTCCCAACGGAAGCTTCCCCAACAGGAAGGTGGCCCCCCAACCCCGCCTCCTCCCCCTCCCTCCCCCTCAGCTTCCATGATTGTTTGGGATTGTTGCTTGGGGTTTCTTATTGGCCGTCCACGAGGCTACGGCCAGATTGGGGCCTGGAAGTACAACGAGGCCACCCAGTACATCGAGTTCTGGTACTCCAAGAGCCTCTTGTCAAGCGCAATTGCGCCGACATGGTTTGTTTTTGGTCAAAATCGGCACATTTCGCACCCTTCAAGTGGGTGGTAGGTGGGCCGCGTGCCGCTCTGCAGAAGTCAGGAGTTGAGACATGGCTCTGTTCAATGCGGATTTAGGGCTGCTTTCTTGGGTACCAAGGCACCAAGTCCATCTGGTGTCATCTTGTTGCATCTAAAGGAAAAGGGTCATATGGGTGTGTGCCAAAATTGGGGGGAGATTGATCGCAAGAAGGTCGTTTTTTGGTTTAACCCACCCCCAAAAGGAGACCCTCCGCCTCAAAAACAGGCGCGCCATCATCCAATGAGGGACCCGGAGCCAAGCGCCATAGGCCATTCCACCTCTCGCTTCCTCGGTTTCTGGACTTTAAACTTCTTGTCCCTTCAAGAAAGTCAGACACTGGAATCGGTGGTTTCCCTGAAACGGCCACTAAAGGGGGGGTGACTTTGATGGGCCAGCTTCCCGAGTAGATGGCCCAAAAGAAGCAACCAAACTGTTTGTGTACCACTAAACTAAAAGGAAAGCCCTAGCCCGCCCTTTTGGAAGTCAATAAGAAAAGAAATCCGACGCGAGGCCACTGCATGGGCATGTGCACGTCCTGCTGCGACCACGGCAAAGGCAACACTCCGGGGTACATGTCCAAGGTGGGAGTTTTGCGGGCTCGCTCCTTGAAAGTTCGCTCGAAATGCACAGAATGGTTCGACTTTTTGACTCCCGGGTAGACTTAAACCCAGGCGTGGTTCATTCCCAAAAGGAGAACCTGCCTGGGTTTAAGTCTATCTTGGAGGTTGGCCAAAAAGTGGAACCCTGAATGCACAGAATTCTTCCTTTCCTCAAAACGAAGGCGAATCTTTTCGATATGGCATAGGTTGAGAACATGGTTGGGCCGGCCAAGAAATCAAGGATCCCCTCTAATTAGAGTGGAAGGTTTTTTCTCCTGGGTTCCCATCGTTGTCGGTACTAGATAGCACATAATTGGCTATTCTTTTAAAGATTGCAGGGGCTGGATATGTTTTTCAGACAGGAAGGTTCGTCCATCTGAAAAGCTCTGCTGCAAGACAGCTCTCTCTCTCTCTCTCTCTCTCGCTCTCTCTCTCTCTCTCTCTCTCTCTCTCTCTCTCTCTCTCTCTCTCTCTCTCTCTCTCTCTCTCTCTCTCTCTCTCTCTCTCTCGTTCCTTCTTCGTTCACGCTGCGTAGCTGGGCTGCCTGGAGCTTGTCTTCGGGGTCGAAGCTGTGATTGATGCTGAAGTCTTCGCACCTTCGTGTCGTGTCGAAGTTGAATCCGAGCACGTTTTCGCATCTTTACGTCTTCGAAGTCGAAGGTGTAAGTAGCAACCCAGAGGTAAGCTTGTCAATATGATGTGGCGAGCAGTAAAAGTGAAGACTCTGGTAAAGGGATAAGTCACCGCTCTCTTCCCTAGGCAGCCTGTGCCGCTTTTCAGTCCGCTTTTCACCTTCAAGCTGCTACTCCCATTTCCAGGCCCTCCAAGTCGCCCCTTGTCAAACATGACCGGCTCCTTACATGTCCCGGCTGCTCTTTCGAGTCAGGCTGCCCTCGTCCAGTTCGCACTGCTCCCATCAAATCCAGCCAGCTCCCTCAAAGTTCGGCCTGTGCCCTTTCAATCTGGCGCCCTTTGCATTCAAACTGAACTCCTATATCCAGGCTGCCCCGTTTTCGGACGTGGCTGGCCGCCTCCGTACATGTCCAGGCTTCTCTGTCAAGTCGGGCTGCTCTCTTCCCGTTCGGACTGCTCCTTTCGAAATCCAGCTTGAGCCCGCTTTCCAACTTGCACCTTCGCTCGTCTTCGCGTGCTTGCGTCTGCGAAGTTGAAGCTGAGCTGCTCGTCTTCTCGTCTTCGCGTTTTCGAAACGGAAGCCGATCTGCAGCTCGTCTTCGCGTTTTCGGGGTGAAGCTGAGCTGCAGCTCGTCTTCGCGCATTTGCCCCTGCCACTGCAATGTGTTTTGTATTCGTTTGTTGAGATTTCCAGACCCATTCAGCATTAATTGAGACACTGGGTGTGTCTTAAAATGGGGGGCCGACAAGATGGCTGGCTGCAGCTTCCTTTGGCGTTCCCTTCAAGAAAACACACCCCAAAAAGGGTATCCTCAAAAAAGAGATCCCCCAAATACCAGGTTCAGAGGTCTGATCCAATGACCAGCAGACATTGGGGCCATTCGCAGCCTTGTCGGTCCTTCGAGAAAGAGCCACTGGAGGCGGCTGGTTTGAGGATATCTTTTGGTGGTGATCTGAGGGACTCGTCTTTCCGTTTTGTTGGTGGTTCTTTGTGGTTGTTTTTGTGGTTTTTGATTTTTCTATGCGGACGCTGGAGTCTGAAGGATTGGGTAGTGTCAACATGCCTTTTTTCCCAACGGACACCAGGAGTTGCTGACCATACACAGTTTGTGGGGAACCCACAAGGAGTTGAGTGTGAAACGTTCGGTGGATTGAAACACTTTGAAGGCTGCAAGTGTAGGCAAAAGGACCAGGTTGCTCATCCAAGACTTGAGAAGCAGAACCCGAGAACACAACCTCAAGCTTCTCCCGCCCTCCCCGTACTGGGTCCATTGCAGTGGCATGAACCAACATCACCCTCTAAATGGCCATAAAGAGGTCATTTTTAGACAACGGGTCCATCAAATGCGACCGGTACGGGGCGTTTTGTGCTGAAGCCGACCCACTTCTTCGGTTCCGGGACCGATCCAAGGGCTGGGAATGGAATCCACTTCTGTGATTTAACAGAAAGGCCCTAACCCCAAGGACGAGATTTTCATGTAAAGGGGGATTCCCAAGAGTATCACAGAAGCGGGGAGAAACCCCTTGATCCCACAACCCTGATCCAAAGGGAAACGCTTGGATCGCTTACGGCGCGCGCCACGGCGCGCGCATGCGCAGGCTTTGAACCCCTCGGCGGAACAGGGCACATGGGGCGGCTACAAGTTGGCCCCTCTGGCAAGCGAGACATGCCGAACCGGCCGTCAGAACCACACGTATGGGCACCACCCATTCGCAGAATTATGTTTTGCACC